CCTATCCAGTTACAGGGGTCCTCTGCTTAAGGCTTCCAGAACCCAGGCACCCGGCCAGTTTGGCCAGATGTGGGTAGTAGTTCAGCCCCACTAGGGGGTGGCTGGAGGTGATTAGTCTCAGGTGTGAGGGGGAGGGATTGGCAGCTTGGTCTGCAATACATGGGAGGTGTGAGATTTCCCAGGAAAGGAAAAAGAGCCCAGCAGGGTGGCGTTGGGGGGCGGGGGTGTTACAGAGGGAGGAGCAGGTTGGGGAGGGGATGGGGCTTTTCAGCACCCCCTTAGGAAATGAGGCTTGACCATGCTGGTGCAGAAAACTTTCATCTAGGGCCCCTCCTGCCCCCACATGATGCCCTCCCCAGCCTCCACCTCTTCTCCCTTCTCTATCCTTTTCCCTTCTCTTATCCCCAGCTGCTTTCCAAAACTCCTGAGCACGAGTCCCATGCCCTTCACCTTCTGTCCCCACACCCATTCTTGGGCCCATAGCCTGCAGGTGGATAGACTCAGGCCTTCCACTTTGAGCTCATCAAAAAGGATCAGGGTGAGATAAAAGTCCTTCCTGAACAACTGGAAAAGTGGCCCCATCAATGATTTTCCCCTTTGTTGTCATCCTCAATTATCAGTGACCTCAATTTAAATCCCACCTAATATGCTGGGCAACTCGCCTCACTTCTCTAGGCCTCAGTTTCCTCTTTCATAAAATGCAGTAAGACCTCTTCCAGTTCTAGATCTATGATCCCTTCCTCCCCTTGCCCCTCCTCCTCTAATCTGTGACTTGATCTCTCACATTTGATGTCTACTGGTCTCATTGACCAAAACCCCCTTGAGGGCTCCATCCTATTAAAATGTTTATAAGATCATAGATTTAGAGGTGGATTGGTTCCAGTTCCCTCATATTACAGATGGAGGAACCGAGGCTTAAAAAAGCAAAGTGATTTGCCAGAGGATAACACATCTGGTGAGGGGGTGAGTGGTGAATCCGGAACCTAATTCCATTCATCTTTCCAATGCCCTCACTAGCCATAGTTGGCCAAGCACCCAGGTTTGAAATCTTGGAGTCATTTACCCTCCTTTAGCTTCACCTTTGATCAATACATAGACCTGTAGATTTAATCTCTGCCTTCATCCAAGTCATTGAGATCCAACAAAAGAAGCTTGTGGGACTTCATGGGAGATGCCCCTCCAAGTTGACCGCCATTGACTACCATTACGACTACTCTGGTTTGGCTTATTCTACCAGTTCTGAATCGACCTGATTTAGCCCATCTCTCTCCATCTTGCTCAGGAGATTAGCATGACAGATTGTCAACGGCTTTGTTTAAATTGGGACAAATTATGCCTAGAGAATTCCCCTAATTTGCCAGCCTAGTAAAACTGTCAAAAAAAGGAAATATAACTTGATGGCATTGTATGTAATAGGCATGGTATGACCTGTTCTTAATGAAGTCATATTGGTCTTTTTGATCACTGCTTCCTTTTCTATATATCTTCTAACTATCCCTTTAATGTTATGTTCCAGAATTTTACTGGAAATTGAAGTCAAGCTCATTGACCTACAATGGAAAGCTTATGCTATCTCCCTTTTTTTGAAAATAGGGATATTTTCCTGTTGCTTATCATAGGATCATAGATTTAAATCAGAAGAGCCTTAGAGATCAGTTAGTCCAACCCTTTTACATTACAAATGAAGAAACTGAGCATGCCCAGTTGATATTACCACTAGGCCCATATTTAAATAGAATGAAAGAATTTAAGTTGGCTAGAGTTTCCTGGTATACACATTTATTTCTTGGAATGACTTTCGCTTTTCTTCTCCATTGGAATCATTTGTGTTCCTGGCATCTTTTCCTATACAATTTTAGAGCATGGGATCCTACCTATTCTTTCTCCGAAGTCTTTGGAATCTGTCTTCCCCAAATCTAGGGTATAGCTTTTCCCTCCCAACCTACCAGGAGTTCTGTATTAGAATGGTTGCTCCCAAAGATCCTATCATTTCTACTTTAGCAACTGGTTCCTCTATTTTTTTTTTATTGAGATCTTTGCTTTAAGAAATGAAGACTAAGGATTCAATTAAGGAACAAAATTAGTAACTGCAATTGTAGTAGGCAGATATGTGGCCCAGTGAACAGAGCACTAGACCTAGAATCAGAAAGACCTGAATTCAAATTTAGCCTCTGACACTTATTTGCAGTGTGACCCAGGGCAAATCACTTAATCTCATTCTTCTCCAATTTCTTCATCTTTAAAGTAGGGATAATAGCACCTACCTCCTAGGATTTTTGTGAGGATCAAATGAGATAATATTTGTAAATTGCTTGCAAATCTTAAGTGCTACATAAATGCTAGCTATTACCATTAGTAGTCCAGAGAACTGAGGCTAAATCATGCTACTCACCTCCTGACAAAGAAGTGGATTGATTCAAGATGTTAAATGAAATATATTTTAAGACATGGCCAATGTGGGAAGATATTTTTCTTGACTATTCATATTTGTTATAAAGTCGTTTTTTTTTTATGGTTGAGGGTGGAATGAATCAAGGAGGCTAGGGATAGGGAAGCCTATTAAAAGAAAAGACTGTCATCAAATCTTTTTTTTTTATAGTTAACTTATTTTTAGTTTTCAACATTCGCTTCCATAAAATTTTGAGTTTTAAATCCCCACCCCACCAAGACAGGGTGCAATCGGAAATAGGCTCTACTTATAAATTCATGTTAAGCATATTTTCCCATTAGTCATGATGTAAAGAACAGTTAGCACTAATGGGAGAACCACGAGAATGAAGCGATAAAACAAAACAATGAAAGAAAAGGAGAGCAAATAGTCTGCTTCCATCTGCATTCAGACTCCATAGTTCTTTCTCTGGGTAGGGATAGCAATTTCCATCCTGAGACTTTTGGAGTTGTCTTAGATCCTTGCATTGCTGTGAAGAGCCCGGTCTGTCAAAGTCAGTCATCCCGCAATGTGGCTGTGACTGTGTACAACGTTCTCCTAGTTCTGCCAAATCATTTTTTAAAACGCACTGAACAAAAGTTCAGAAAGAAGCCCAGACAAGCAGGACAGCTTTGAAAGTCCCATCTTTCTTTTATTATATACTTTAAAAGGACAGTAAACTGTACATACTATAAACATGCAGCTTCATCTACAATCCTTTTTTGTTCTGCTATGCATATGCATGTGTTCATTTTATTTGATATTAAGTTCAGAATTTATAAAAAATAAAATTCTCTTAAAAAGATAGAAGTTGTTGCTTGAAAAACAATTTATCTGAAGATCCTTTAACAAGGGATTGGACTGAATAACCTGAGACATCCCTACTAGCCCTAGAAGGTTATGGTTCTGATTTCTTTGTTAGCTTATAGGTAAAACCTAGTCCCTACTGTTATGAAGGAGTTTGCTGATGACAGTATTTGTACAATGTTTTATAGCTTCTAGAGTCCCTTTGGATGCTTACTTGTATTTAACCATCACAACAACAATACTGTTCACTTGTTTCAGTCATGTCCAACTTTTTGTGACCCCATTTGGGGTTTTTTTGGGCAAAGATGCTGGAGTAGTTTGCCATTTCCTTTTTCAGCTAACAACCCTGTGTGAAGCCTCAATTATTATGTCCATTTCACAGCTAAAGAAACTGAAATGAAATGACTTGCCCAGAATCACACAACTGTTTTGAAACTGAGCCAGGATTAGACTCAACCAATTAACAAGCCTTTATTGTTATTGGGGAAATGGAGACTTCAGCACCTATCATTTCTTTTTTTTTTGGCTAGGCAATGGGGTTAAGTGACTTGCCCAGGGTCACACAGCTGGTAAGTGTTATATGTCTGAGGTAGGATTTGAACTTGGGTCCTCCTGAATCCAGGGCCAGTGCTCTATCCCCTGAACCACCTAGCTGCCCCACCTATCATTTCTAATAATAGCTCTACAGTAGTTTTTAAAAGTTTAACTAAGGTTTTTTGAGGATCAGCTATGTTCCCCAAGCTGTAAGCCAAGAGGGGGACAAGGAAGACTGTAAAATATGACCCCTGCTGGATGGAGCCTTGGCCTTGCACTTTTCAACATTTTTTAAATTAGTGATTGATTAAAGACGAAGATAGCATGGCATCAAGCTTGTGGATGGCCCAAGCTAGGAGCTATAGCTAACATGTTGGGTAACAGAAGTGAGATGTAAAAAAGTTGTGGAGAGCTTGGGAAGACTGTATGATGCAGGAGTGGAGAAAAATTTATACTATGACATTAACATTGTAAAAAGAAACCATTTTGGAAGGCTTAACAACTCTGATCAACACAAAGATCAACCAGGATTCCAGAAGATAAATGATGAAAAGTGCTGCCCACTTCTTGACCAAGAGGTGAGGGACTGAACATGCAAAAGAGAACACCGATTTTTGGACATGGCTGATTTGGGAATTTGGTTTTCTTGATTACGCATATTTGTAACAAGTTTTCTTGTTTGTCTGTTTTGTGGAAGGGTGGGAGAGGAGAAATTAAATGTTATATAAGAATAAAATGTAATTAGAAAAATAAGAAATTTATTGAGAGGTTAGAAGTAGTAGAAGGAAGGGACACACACACACACACACACACACACACACACACACACACACACACACACCCCTTGGAAGCTTTTTGGAGTTCAGTCAGTCAATACACATTTGTTAAGTGCTTACTGTGTGCCAGAGGCCAAACTAAGTGCTGGAAATACTTTGCTTTGTTTTTGGGGAAGGGTGGAAGAGGAAAAATAAATGTTATACAATAATAAAATTTAATTAGAAAAGTAAAAAATTTATTGAGAGGTTAGAAGGGCCAAATACACACACACACACACGCACGGAAGCTTTTCGGAGTCCAGTCAGTCAATACACATTTATTAAGCTCCTACTGTGTGCCAGATGCCAGACTAAGTGTTAGAAATACGTTCTTTGTTTTGGTTTTGGTGGAGCGTGGGAGAGGTGCGTAGAAAGGAAAGACTAGAGTAGTGGATCACCTCCTCAGTCGGGTCGCGTCAGACTTCGGCTTCAACTTCCCCAGACCCACCCCTTCTTCTGGTCTGGGTAGGTGGGTGGGGGGAGATACGGAAGTGGAAGTGTTGGTTTGTGGGGGAGGGGAAGGAGCAGCTCGAGTTTAAGAGCTAAGAAACCCTCGGCATCGCAGATTTCCAGGTGCCTGGGGCTCCCGCGGCTCCCAGCCCCTTCTCGGCCTCAGGGTGCTCCTGGCTGAGGGGTGGGAGGTTGAAGGGTGAGAGGGACCCTGGGTCTCCAAATTCCAAGGACGCCCGCCCATTTTGCATATGAATGATTCATTTTGCTTGGAGCTGGTGGGCAGGGGGTCGCCTTAAAAAGCTTCGGACCCCGCCCCCGACTCCCAGACTAGCTCCTGGCTCCCGGGATTGCATTCTCTGGTTTTCCTGGGAAGGAAGGAGCTGGAGTGCACAGCCGCCCTCCTGGGTTTCAGTACCAGGTCTGCCTTTAGCCCACGCCCGCACCTGCTCGCCCACATCCATCCCTGGACCGGTACTCCGGAACCCCCAGGTCTGCTATCGCGGCGACCCTGCCGGCCACGCCACGCTGTCCGTCGGACCTTGGACGGCATTCCACTCCGCGGGACGGACTGGTAGGTGAACGGTAGGCGCTCTATGCCATTCTTTCCAACATTCCGTCCGCTTCTCCAGCTGCCTGTCCCTTCCCCAAGGTTAAATCTCTCACCCCCTCTATATCCTCCTGTTGCTCTCTATTGCTCTAGGGTCCCGGTCTTCGCTACTCTACACTCTGTGGCTCTCGGAGATTCACCCGCCCAACTTCTCCAGGTCTCGCCAGCATGACACAGAACCATGAGGGCAGAAGTCCCTCTGACCCCCAGCGGCCCTTGGATTCCTCCAAGTTGCCCTTCTCCATCGACTCTATCTTGTCCAAGGCCAACCCTCAGCCACGGGAACCCGCTCGAGTTTCGGGGGTCTTTGGCTTGGCGCTCCGAGAACCCCTGACCTCCCCGTTCACCCCGAACTGGCGAGTGACCTGCGATTATTCTGTGGGTTGGGTGTCCTCCTTTCCCAATCTTTATGTGTACCAGCCTTCTCCTAAGACCTTGCTGTCGGCGATCCGCGTCCCACACCCTGCCGGTGTCTTTCCTGACGTCGCCTGCCCTGTCAAAGGTAAGGGTCGGGCCCCTGACCCCCTCAGCTCAGTGCAGCGCATCCCTCTGTCCGGCTCTCTGAGTATGCGGTTGAGGCCCTCTTGGAGCTTGAGGGTTGTGCCCTGCAGCGGAGTACCTTGGGTGTCTGTAGTAACTTAAGGGTCGGGGTGTCTGGGGATGAAACGAAAAGAAAAGAAATTCGCTTCCTGTCAGCTTGAAAGAAGAATGGGGAGGAGGCTGGGTGGGAAGTTGTCGGTCTTGTAAGGGGGCAGAAGACTTGAGGAGGAGGCGGAGGAGGGGTATTGGAGGAGATGGAGGCATCTCAAGGAGGAGCTTTTGAGGGGAGGAGAGGATTGGGTGAGGAGGGAGGTTGAGAACAGGGGGCTTTACACTTTCAGGGGTCTGCACGTGAAGGCTTCCCACTTCAGAGAATCCTCAGAAGCTGGAAGGCAGCTTAGAAAAACTCAAATCAGGATTCCCATCCCCAGCCTTGATGAAGGCAGCTTTCACCCCTTAATCCGTTGGAGGTCTGTCTCTCCCGGTGTCCAGGGACTCAGCACTGCAACAGCAGGGCAACCCCACCAACCCCCTTCCTACATTAAATCATGCTGTATTCAAGAAACAGCTGTAGCTCCGCATTTTATGTTAATACTAAGGTTTGCACAAAGAAGTATCCTCACAACATCCTTGGTAGGTACTAATATTACCCCTATTTTACAGATGAGGAAACTGAGGCAGACAGAAGTTAAGGGACTTGCCAGGATCACATGGCTATTAAGTGCTGTTAAGTTCCTGACTCCAAGCCCGGTGCTCTAGCCATGGTACCATCCAGCTGGTTACTGCCTCAGTTCTAAACCACCCCCGTCAGCAATTCAAGGTTCCCTCCTTGTAATCTTAGTAGTTCAAGCTTTATCTACTCACTCCCCGCATCTTTTCCCTTCTCACTAGACCTTCCCTCCACCTTTTGCCTTCCTTCTAGAACATTTCTAGGTCACATAAGATCTCAAAGCCCAGGTCAAGTTCGACCTGTACAGGAACCTTCAGTGACTACTCCGCTTGTGGTGATCTCCCAGGACCATCCTGCCCTGCCCACTCAGTCTAAAGCAGGGGTTCTTAACCCAGAGTCTAGAACTTAGTTGCTTTTTTTAGCCTAGTAATTGTATTCCAGTATAATTGGCTTCCTCTGTGATTGGATAAGAAGGGGTCCTTAGGCTTCTCCAGACTGCCAAAAGGGTCCCTGACACAGACAAGATTAAGAACCCCTCCTCTGAATGATGACAATAGGTTGTATTTCTATGGAGTTGGGCAGTTAGGTGGTGCTGGCCCTGGAGTCAAGAGGACCTGAGTTCAAATCCAGCCTCAGACACTCATTAGTTGTGTGACCCTAAGCAAGGCACTTAACCCTGTTTGCCTCAGTTTCCTCATCTGTAAAATAAGCTGGAGAAGGAAATGTCAAAACACTCTCGTATCTTTGCCAAGAAACCCCAAATAGGGTCATGAAGAGTCGGACATGAAAAAAAAACCCCACAAACAAACCGACTAAACAACAAAAATACAGTATTGTTGGTCCTTTGATTTTGTTTCCTGTTTGTGCTTTGCTCCAAGTCACCCTGTGAAGTGGGCGAGTCATGCCTTTATTTATCCCTGCTTTATAGAATTAGAGGCAGCAAGACAGAGCAGTAGTGGATAGAGTGCTGGACTTTGAGTGGGGAAAACCCGAGTTCAAATTCACCATACTACCTGTGGGACCCTGGGCATGTCACTTAACTAGCCTCTGTCTGCCTCAGTGTCAAAATGGATGATACATGGAAAGAGCCCTGCCTCCCCAGGGTTATTGGGAGGATCACATGAGCTAAGTCAAATCTGCAAGCATTTATTGAGCGCCTACTATTTGCCCTGAGGACACAAAGAAGGGAAAAACAGTCTCAGCCCTCTAGAAGGCCACTGTCTAATGGGGAAGACATAACCAGGCAGAAACAAGGTAGAGACAGGATGAACAGGACGTGATTGCTCAGCGACAGCACTGGCATTAAGCTGGGCTTCTGGCAGAAGGTGCGGTTTTAGTTGAGGCTGGAGGGGGAGAGTTGCAGGCCTGGGGGAAGGGCATAGAAAATGCCAAGAGCTGCAAGATGGAATGTCTTATTCGAAAAACAACGGGGGACAGTGTGTGTAAAGTGTTCTGGAAACCTTAATGTGCTATATAAGTGTTAGCCATTATGGGCTTGGAGTCAGGAATGGAGAGACTCAGTCCCATCCCCCCCCCCACACTGACTGTGTGACCCTGGGCAGGTTAATTAACCTTTGTGTGCCTCCGGCCATTCTAGAAGACTTCCCTTACAGTCAATCTGCATTTGTAGAGTGAGTCTACCCCAGCAGGAGAGGACATCTACCAGCCTCCAGAGGAATGTCTGCTTTGTCTCATGTAAAATCCTCCAGGACCAGACCAGCCGGACCTCAGAGAAAGAGTTGGAAGGGACCTTGGAGATTGGTCCTGCCTCTGCTCCCAAAGAATCCTCCTTATAACGAAGCCACCAAGGCCTCCTCTGGCCTCTGCTCCAAGACCTCTGAGGAGGGGGAGCACCACCCTCCCATGTCTGAAGCTGTAATTGTTAGGAAGTTCCTGACTGTCACCAGCAACTTGCTTCTGGGTACCTCTGACCCACTGCTGGTTCTGTCATTCTGGGTCAAACAGGGCAAGTCTGTCGTTAGACACAAAACTTCTTCTGTCTGGCATTCAAGGCCTATCGCCACCTTGCTTTCCCAGGCTTCTCTACATGCTGTTCCCCTTCTCTGTTTTTCTAGAGAAAGTGGGTTAGTCTCTCTCTGTCTTTTCCTGTCTTCTTCCTCTCCCCTTCCTTCCTTTTCTCTGTCTCTGTCTCTCTCTTCTCTCCCAATTTCTCTCTCCTCCCCTCTCCCTCACCCCTAATTTCTCTCTCTTCTCTCCCTCCTCCCTCCTTCTCTCTATCTCTCTTCTCCCCATCTCTCCCATTGTCCTCTCCCTCCCTCATTCTCTCTCTCCCTCCCTCTTTCTCTGTCTCTCTCTTTCTCTCTCTCTCCTCCCCTCTCCCTCCTTCCTAATTTCTCTCACTCTCTTCTCCTTCCTCTCTCCCTCCCTTCCACTTTCTCTCTGTCTCTCTTCTCCCCCCCTTTCCCTACTCCTCTCTTTCTTCTCCTCTTTCTCTCCTTCTTTCCTTCTCTTTCTCCCTCCTTCCCTCTTTCTCTTTCTGTCACTCCCTATCTATGTCTCTCTCCTTACCCCCCTCTCTTCCTGCTCCTCCTCCTTCTTCCTCTCTCTCTCTCTCTCTCTCTCTCTCTCTCTCTCTCTCTCTCTCTCTCTCTCTCTCCCTCCCTCCCTCCTATTTCCACCTCCAGGCCGCTGTACAGGCCTGCCCCCTTGCCCAGAATGCCCTCCCTCCTCTGCCTCTTAGAAGCCTTTGTCTCCTTCAATGCTTGGCTTGAGCTCCCTACTCCATATGGGGGACGCTGTTCCTGCCTTTGCCTCCTCTCATGACCTTGTTTTTGTATCTTCTTACACATGTACATGTTGTTTCTTGTTCCCCACCTGCGTCCCCGTGAGATCTAAGCTTCATAGAGTGGAAGCTCCCTGAGGCCAGGCACGGTTTCATTTTCCATGCCTTATCGCCTAATAATGCTTGCTGGCTGATTAAGTCCAACCCTCTTCCTTGTGACAGCCCTTCGAATACTTGGCAGCTCTCACATTCCCTTCAGTCTTCTTTTCCGGGCCACAGAATCCTGCTATGACAGGTCCTTGAGGCCCCTCACCACCCCGCTCGCCTTTCTCTGGTCCCTCACCAGCTTCTCAGCATATCCTGAAGCCCATATGGTGAAGCCCACGACCGAACTCCCTGCTCTAGACCTGGCCTGACCAGGCCAGAGTATTGGAGAACTATCCCCTTGCTCTTGAAGGGAGGTTTTTTTGGTTCTTGTATCACTCTCCAGCTGCTAGCATAATGCCTAGTATGCAGTAAGTGCTTACTAAATGCTTGTTGCTTGACTATAAACACTTCTGCCAACCCGCATAGTGTTGTGAGGATAAAGCAGATAAAGCCCTTTGCAAACCTCAAAGTGCCATATAAATAAATGCTGTTAGTAATTGCTTCAGTAAATGCTATTATTAAGCAAAACCACATTCAGATGAGACTTTTTGAGTTTTCTAGGGCAGATTAGTAAGCATCCTTACTAATCTGGTGAGGATCTTGTACTAGAAGGCTGATCTCCCCATTCCCTAATTGTGGGATTCCTTGGTCAACCAGTTCACCTACTTCCCAGGGTTCCCATTTTGGTGAGACCCCCCCCCCTTTTCTGCCAGTCCACAGCTGTCTTAACTGAGCACTCTGGCCTTTTTACAAACACCTCCCTGCTCTCTATTTAAACATCTGGAGGTAGGAGCTAGTTACATCTGTGTGGTCAGGTGACACAGACAACCCTCTGGGATTTTCCTGGTGTGGGGCCACTTGAGGGACTAGGGGAAAACCCAATTAGTTCAAGCTGATTCCTTTAGCAACACTTTCTTTTCAGGGCCACAGGCTGGGAGCCCTGGCTGGTCAAACTTCTGAGAAGAGAGTTTCTGGTTTCCCTGTTCTGGCTTTCAGGGCATTCCCAGCCCAGAGCCCTCTAAAAGGGAAATGGAGCCTAGTCCATAGCTTTGCACATAGTAGGCTGCTCAATCTGTATTTATTGAACTCTGTAGGTTGCTCCACATATGCACATCTATACATGTGTGTATGTGTATCTGATTAGATAGATATAGATAGATAGATAACTTGCTCAGTCGACCAACAGACAAATAGATTGTGTCTGTATGTGTGTGTATATTGACAGGTTTATTGAATGGAGAAAAGATTTTCCCCTGGGCTTCAGTGCTTGGCAGGGACAGTTTTCTGAGTACTGTCTAGCTCTCTACCAGATCACCCTGACTGAGGACTGGGGAGCTCTCTAACCCTTTCTCTTCTTCCTCTCCCTGCCTTCCCAAAATTCACTGATGGAGGTAATGCTGAGCACCTCATTCCTCTCATTTGTGACTATTGCCTGGCATTAGGGGTAGGAGGTTGAATGTGTGGCTTGGGATCACAGCTTTTCTATCTAAATTAAATTTAAACTAAGCTGTTGGATCTGCTCTAATCACTCGCCTACCTGGCCAGAGAGAAATCAAGAAGAAAGATCATGGTTATCTTTAGGTAAAGCACAGACCTGATCATGTCACTCCCCTGCTCAAGAAGCTTCCATGGCCCCGTTTTTCCCTCTAGGGAGAATGACAGACTTGCCTGAGCATTTAAAGCCTGTCCCAGTCTGCAGCCAGACTCTTTTCCAGGCTTGTTACACAGTATTGCTCATCTTGTGCTCTGTCCCAGCCACACTGACCTACTGCTTCCTATTCCCTTGAATTCTCTTTCCCACCTCAGTGTTCTCCTGCGCTGGCCCCCCTCTGGGAGCACCTGAGAGGGGAATGGCCTTGCAGCCATGGGGACCTGGAAGGGCTTCCTGAGGAAGGTGGCATTTGGACCAAGTCTTAAAAGGAGCCCGGGAAACTAAAAGGTGGGGGCCAGGAGGAAGAGCCAGTATCCCTCCAGGTGTGGACAGCCAGTACAAAGATCTGGAGAGACAGGAGGTGAAGTGGTGTGTTTGAGGACCTCCTGGTAGACCAGCTGGCTAGTAGAGTGAGTGAGTGGATGGGAGTAAGGCATGAAGGTTGGGGGGCGGCAGGAGAGGGCCTGGTTATGAACAGCTTTAAATGAATGGTGTATCTCCCCTCCCCTGCAGTAGAATGTAAGCTCCGAAGACAGGAACCATTTAATTTCTATCTTTGTCTCTCCATTGCTAGCATAGGAGAGTGTCTGGTATACAATAGGGACTCAATAAATGTTTGTTGCTTGCTTGCTTTGCCCAGGAGGGTGGCAGGTGGGGATAGATTTGTGTGTAAGCTCAGGTGCCTGATTCTTCCCTTCCAGGCCAGGAGCTGGTGGAGCACTCAGCCCTGCAAGGACCTGTGACCTGGGGCCAGACTGACTATCTGAACAAGGTAAATGCAGTCCCCAAGTCAAGCCGGAAGAGGAGCCGAACAGTGTTCAGCTCTGAGCAGCTGGAAGAACTGGAGAAGGCCTTCCTGAAGCAGCCGTACCTGGTGGGGATGGAGAGGACCCAATTAGCCAGGCAGCTGCATCTCTCAGAGACCCAGGTGGGAAGCCCCCAGCCCTCGTCTCTCCACTTTCCTGCTCTGACATAGCTGGAGGATGGACATTCTTATTGTGTGTGACCCTAGAATTTCACAAGGTTAGGGCAAGTAGGTGGTGCAGTGGATAGAGCACTGGCCCTGAAGTCAGGAAGACCTGAGTTCAAATCTGGCCTCAGACACATAAAACTTAGTAGCTGTGTGACTCTGGGCAAGTCACTTAACCCCAATTGCCCCCCCAAAAAAAGAATTTCACCAGGTGGCCACCCATCCAGTGATGAGCATAGCTGGTCAGTGAATGGCAGGACAGTCTCTGGGCCCATTGCCTTTCCAGCTCAGTGACCCCACCCTCACCCAGCATTTGTGTTCTGTTGGTATAATCTTCCAGAGCCAGGGGACCTCCTTACACAGAAAGGAGGCTTGCAGAGGAGAAAGACTTGCAATGTAGGAGCATGGGGGGGAGGCAGACTTCCAGGTGGGAGAAGTTGAATATTGGGAGATATAGGAGAGAAAAGATGGCAATGGAGTTTTGAGTTAGATTGTGGTGAGCCTCGAATGCCAGACTAAGCTGATCCCCAAGATGCCTCCCAGAGCCAAGCCTAAGTGACTGTTTTTGGTTATCCATGAAGTTTTGACCCACCCCCAAAACTGTTTTGTGACTTCAAAGTTCCCACCTACTCTGCAAGGATGACCCCAGATCTCCCCTGGCATCTGCTCCGGCTGGTGACCTCTGGTCTTCCCCTCTCCTACAACGCAGGTGAAAGTGTGGTTTCAGAACCGCAGGATCAAGGGGAGGAAGCAAAGCCTGGCACAGAAGAAACAAAAGCTGCCCAGCCCAGCCAAGGGGTCCTTCTCCCCGCCCATGTCGCCCCAGGAGCCCAGTAGCAGCAGCGGAGAAGACAGCAATGACAGTATGTTGGCACTGCCAGCTGAAGCATAGCCCCCTTTAGTCACCACTGACTTAAGTATGTCCTGGGTGGTCCAGCTGCGTCTCTCTTCCTTTCTCTCCCTCCCCTGCCCTGCTTTGGGGTAACACTCAGGGAGCACCAGGGCTCCCTCCAGTCTTTCCTGACTTTAAATTTCATTTCTGTGTCCCTTCCTGTGACATAGAAAGCTCATCTACCTCAGGCTGGGCTTTCCTCTTTGACATTGGGGAGGGCAAAGAGCAGGAAGTGGGAAATGACCATCAGACCAGTATTGAGCCCTTTCTTACCTCTTCTCTTGTTTTGCATCTGCCCCCGATCTCTTATCTGTCTGATCCAAGAGGGATGCTGTCTTTTGTCTTCATGCATCTAAGTGATGCCAATTTCCTGAGCAGCCATGTCCTTGGGCTCTCTGGTCATCAGATCACAGTTCTACACTGCTTGGTACCATGACCGGGGACGAATCACTTCACTTGCTCAGGCCTCAGTTTCCTCAGATGCAACACAAGACTTTGGGACAAGATGCCCTCTGAGGGGCTTTGCATTTGGGACCTCAGATCATAGATCTAGGCCTGAGAGGGACCACAGAGGCCACAGTCTAATTTTCTCATTTACAGATGATAAAACTGAGGCCCTGTCACACGAGGCAGCGGGGGAAGTGGAAGAGCCAGGATTTCCAACATGCCAGCTGTCCACCCCCATCCATGAGTGGCCCCTGCTAGTAGTCATACTCTCCACTCCAGCTTGATGTCTGCCAAAAGATTTGTGGAGAAAGGAATAAAAATGCCTGGATTCAGGTCCATTCTACTCTACATTCATACTCTGGTCTTCCATCCTGCCCAATCATCCTTTTAGTTATTCTTTTTTTTTTTTTAGGCAATTGGGATTAAGTGACTTGCCCAGGGTCACACAGCTAGCAAGTGTTAAGTGTTTGGTCTGAGGTCAGATTTGAACTCAGGTCCTCCTGAGTTCAGGGCTGGTGCTCTATCCACTGCGCCACCTAGCTGCCCCTTAATTATTCTTTGAATACCAGAGTTGAAGTAAGAGTGGAGAAGACATTTTAAAAATCGTTTAAAATTGAACAAACATTTATTAAGTCTGACCATAGATAAGGCATGTGCTAGCATCTAAAAATACAAAGCCCCCCCCAATTCCCTGCCCTCAAGCAGCTTACACTCTACTAGGAGGGAAGGCATGTAACACAAAGCAATTTTAAGTTGTTGTGGTTCAGTCATGTCTAAGTCTCCATGACCCCTTTTTGGGGTTTCCTTGGCAAAGATACTGGAGAAGTTTGCCATTGCCTTCCCCAGCTCATTTTACAGTGAGGAAACTGAGGTTTACAGATGAAGAAATAGAGTTAAGTGACTTGCCCAGGGTCATACAGCTAGTAAGTGTCTGAGGCCAGATTTAAACTCAGGAAGACTCCAGGCCTGGTGCTCTATCCACTGAGCCACCCTGCTGTTCCATTTTAAGAGGAAGAGAGTATTACTAACTGGGAGGAAGCAGAAAAGGCCTTGCGGAGGAGGTGGACTTCAGCTGTGCTCAGGACTTTGTACGGTTTGAAGGGACAGGTAGGAGTGACCACATGTGCAAAGGTATGAAATAGCAGGTTTAGGGGAACTTGATAAAAGTGTGCACTGAATGCAGTGCCTGGCACACAGTAGGTGCTTAATAAATGCCTGTTGATTGACTAATATATGTGTATTGTATGACTAATGAGTATGTGAAACAGAATAGCATGCAATTCAGCTGGGAAGAGGATCATGGGATTTAGGTGGGGGGGGACCATCTATGTAATTTCTTTCAAACCCCCTTATTTGATGGGGGGAACAAGCAGGATATCCGAAGGGCTGCTATTCGGAAGGCATATTTGCCTTGGTCTGCTTGGCATCTGAGGGCAGAACGCGACAATGAGAGAAAAGATGCTTTTCTTTGGAACCAAGCATGTGTGATAGAGATGGTGGGGAACAGCCCTGAACACCCCATCCAGACCTTGCCCAGGACACAGATGTCTGCTCCCTCCGCCTGTGTACCCTAAATGCTGCATGAAACACAAAGCCAGCTTTAGAGGGAGAGCACAGCCCGCTGGTCTGCCTCATTTTCCTTACCCCTTTCTCCATTTTATTGATGAGGAAACAGGCAAACAGATGAAGTGACTTGCCCAGGGTCACACAGCCCGTGTTTGGATTTGGATTTGAACTTGGGTCCTCCTGACTCCAAATCCACCTTGACTGACACTATGACCTGAGACAAGTCACTTTACTTGCTCAGGCCTCAGTTTCCTTATCTGTAAAACAAGGGGTTGGGACGAGATGCCCTCTGGGGGGCTCTACATCCGGGCTCCCACTGACTGTCCTTATCAAAGGGGAAGGGATTCTTGTCCTGGCAAAGCAGGGTGGGGAGGAGGGTGGGTTAAGAGCTGTGTTTGGGAGTGGGTCTGCATCCTGTCCTCTCCAAGGGTTAATTCTTGCAGAAGCCCGGGTTGCTCAGTCCCTGGGAAATGCAGGTGGAGCAAGGAAAGGGGCCTGTTGCTAACTCAGACAGCAGGTGTGTCTATTGGTCCCCTGGGCTGGGCATGCAGCCTCTTGACTCGGCCTCCCCAGCTGAAGGCTGACTCCCACCAGCTCAGAGGGAGGGAAGGAAGCACTTAACCCATTCTTAACTGGGTTATATTTCTCCACCCTCCTCCCCCAAATCCCGTCTTTCCCCTTTGCTTAAATCCTAGGGAGCATGTATTTCTTGGAAAACCCATTTTGAGAAGGGCAGGGGATAAGCTAAGAGCTGAGTCAGGCCCCAGGATGGAAGACTGGCTAGGGAGAGGCCATTCACCTGTTCTTATTTCACCACCTTGCTTTGGGAGGGCTATGGGCTCATTTTTGGAGATGTTGAATTTTTTTATTTACTTGGACTAGAATTTTACAATCAATGATGCTGTATTTTTAGGGTCCCTAAAGGAGGCTGCATCTTCCAGAATGGCCAGCAATTATCCTTGTTCTGTCCTCCAAACAGCAGGGCCTTGGGCTTTTGAATCCAGCCTCCCAGGGAGTCTCAGAGGTGAAGATGACTCCAAGTCATTTGTCCCCTTGGAAGGGCCACCTGGAGGCACATCAGGCTCTGCAGAGCTCCAGGAGAAACCTTTCAAAGCTGGTCTGGCCACACTCGTCCTCTCAGCCCACCATCCTTCAGCAGTCCAATTCCACAAACATTAAATGCTTATGATTTGTGTCCAGTGGAGTGTGGAGTCAAGAAGAGCTCAATTCAAATCTCCACTGACACTTAGTGTGACCCTGGGTCCATTACTGGACTGCTCAGTGCCCCAAGCAGCTCCCAAAGAATAAGGTAAAGATCTTCATGGATAGAGAGATTTTTCACACAGGGAGACTCCCACATTGATGAAATCACTGCTTGGAACAGCAACAAAAAACTCCAAGCCTCCGGGAACACAAACACTAAAATCCCTACAGTGTTCCCTGCCGTCCAGAAGCTTTCTACTTGGGTGGGCAAAGGGGGAGTGGGAGGGGCTGGGGATACAGGATGTGTCTGTACAGATAAGTAAATATAAAGTGTCTTCAGTGGATCTGTGATCTGGAGGCTCCCTCCAACACCTCTGCCCATACTCTCATCCCCCCCCCCACCTCAGGCATGCTGCATCCTCCCAGATCCATAGATCCAGCCCTAGTCTCCCTCCTGAGTTCTTGCCTTGCATCACACACTGCCTGGGGTCATCTCCAATTGGATGTCCTGTAGGTATCTCAAACCGAACACGTTCAAGTGACTGCAGACATCTTTCTCCCCACCAAACCCTTCGCTCTTCCCAACTTTCTTGTTTCTTTGTAGGGCATTACCATCCTCTCAGTCACCCAGGCCTGCAACCTGGGGTTCTTCCTTGACTCTTGGACGTTTGCAGTCACTCCACATATCCCTGTTGCCAGCTCTTGTCCTGTCTACCTTCACACCCTCTCTTCTATGTCCCCTTCTCTCCACTCAGACTGCCCCCACCCAAGTAGGTGTTCATCACCTCTCCTCTCCACTATTACAAGAGCTTTCTAATTGTTCTTCCTGGTGGCTCCTAAGTAATAGTCCTTGAAAAGCTCCAGCCCCTTAGGTTTACCCCCTAGAACCCAGAGGAGAGTAGTAGTCATTTATCCTCTGGGGAGGGCACCAGGCCTGCCAGTGGGCTTGGAAACTGAAGTTACTGCAGAGGGTTGATACATTTATAGTAAATTACAACATAGTTTCTGTCTTAGATTTTAAACTTGTTCAATTGTGAAATTTAGAGGAGTTTATAGGAAAGCGTGAAATAAAATAAGATTTTAAAATATTTTTTTTTAAAAAAAGATTCTACCCAAGCCAGATTTTATCAGCTTTTACAAAGGGTATTTGCTAAACAGATAAAGCAAGCATAGTTGTTACAGAAATACCCCCCCCACCACAAGGAACACATTCTCTTCTTACACAGGCACATATACAAGGTCCCCAGGAGAGCTTGCTCACACTTAGAGAGCACATGTGGCCAGCTGGTAAAGTCACAGCTCCAAGAAGTCTAGGCTTTGGTATCTGCATTAGTTGGGGCAAACGGAACTGTTACTGGCTGTGTGACGGTGGTCAAGTCACTTAACCTCTGTCTGCTTGTTATCTCCTCTGTAAAATGGGGCTAATAATAGTACCTACCTCAATGGGTTGCTGTGAAGACCAAATAGCATTTGTAAAATTCTTTGCAGACTTTAAAGTGCTTATATAAATACTAGCTATATTATCATTATTATTTTTCTCAGTTTTTTGATCCTGGAGTGTCTCTTCCAGCCATCTTACTTCAGTCCACAAGCCTTTATTAAGCTCTTACCACGTTCTGGCCCAAAGGTCTCATTCTAAAGGGGGAGACAAACGTGCAAGCTGGATATATACAGGGGGAGAATGGAAAAGGCCTCCTTTGGAAGCTGGGATTTGAGCTGAGTTTTGAAGGAAGCTGGGGAAGTCAAGGATGAGGCAAGCTTTGTTTAAAAAAAATTAAAATTAAATTTTAAAAATTTAAAATAATTTTTAAAAAACCGTCCAGTGACAGGTATCCATTTGTTTTCAGCATTTTTTTTTGTTCATTCTGGAGACACAGTAATACAGGGAGTTGGCCTCCAGCTTGCACGGCATGGGAAGGCAGGTGACCTTGGGGACGGTCTCCAAACACTGGGGACCCGAAGACCCCTGAAGATCCTGAGACATTAGCCCTTTGGGGGAGAGCTCAGGGCACGAGAGATGCGGATGGAGTCGAGGGAGGGGATCCAGGCAGGTGGAATGCGGCTGGTGGGGCCAATCTCCCCAGAAAGTCCCAGAGGAGCTCCCGAGGGGCTGCCTAAGGTCCCCCCTCCAGAGCGGGGAGGGGGCTGCGCCCGAAGGGGCCCGAAAGAAGATCGCGTAGTTGTTAGCGCAGGCGGCAGAGACGCCATCTTCCAGGGAGGGCCCTGGCTGGGGAGGGGAAGGACAACAGAGAGAGGAGAGGGTTAAACAGGTGCGGCACACCTGCAACACCCGCTGCTGGGGATGCTGAGGCTGGAGGATCTCGGCAGATCCCCGCTCCTCCCTTTAATAACGAGAAAAGGAGGGAGTGTGGCCACAAGGCGAGAGACTTAGAAATGGGGCCTGGCTGGGGAGGGCGGGACCAGAGAACGTGCGAACCGAAGGGGGCAGGGCTAGAGAGCTGGAGAGGGAGGGGGAACTGGGGAGGAGGGGCCGGAGCCGGAACGGAGAGAGAAAAAGAGACAAAGAGGTGGAGAAGGACAGTGACAAGAGAGACAATGACAGACGGAGCTAGAGCGCGGAGAGGGAGGAGACCGAGGAAGGGGCGGGGCCAGAGAAGGGGAGGGGGAAGAGGGCGGGCCCGGGAGCAGAGCAGCGCGTGCGCGGGGAGAGCGGGCTGGTGCGGGGTCAGGTGTCAGAGGGCGGTGCCAGCGCCCCCCAAGATGGCGGCCTCCATGTGCGACATGTTCTCCTTTTGCGTGGGCGCGGCGGGCCCGGCCCGGGGGCCCGTGGAGGTCCGCTTCGTGAGCAGCGCCAAGGTGAGGCGGGCCCGGGGCCCAGCCGCCCCCGCCCCCGCCGGGGACCCCCGCCCCGGAGCCCTAGGAACCTCCCCGGTCTCGGCCCTTCCCCCACCCCCACTGCCTGTCCCCTGCTGCGGCCCCGAGATTCCTCCGGCCCCGCCGTGACGGCGTCCCTTTCGTGCTCTGGCAGCTGCGGTGGCTCCCCCATGCTCCCCGCCCCGACCAGGCTCCTCCCCCACCCTGTCCGGGCCCAGATCATTCCTGGGCCCTCGCCCCTCCTCCGGCCTGGCCGCCAGCCTCTTCGTGTCTCACGCGTGGCTTTGGCTTTCCCACCTCTGGGCCTTTGCCTCGGCCGTCCTCACGCCTGGAGTGTGGCCACAGGACCCCCGATTCCCTTCGAGGCCCAGGCTCAGCGCCGCCTCCCCCAGGAAGCCCCTTCCCGCCCCCCTTGTTAGCGCCTGGCCCCGAGGAGAGACCCCACCACCATCCCATTCCGTGGCTTGGGCCGTACATAAAGCCCCCCTGGGCCCCCAGAGGGCCAGATGACCCTTGCCAGAAGAAGCCCCTAGCCTGGGAGGGGGATGAGAATCAGACATATTCACCCCGATTGCATAGTCCTCGCCTCTACCCCCCCAATTGTATGATTTCTGCTCCCTCCCCTTGCCTCGTCCCTCTTAATCCCTGCCACGGTTTCGCTGCTGGAGGCTTCCCTGGCCCGTTGCCTCCTTCCCCTCCCCAGAGAGGGCCGGGATTGGGAGACACCCAGGATCCCCGAGCTGGGAGTGTCATTGGTCCACACCCCTTGGCTTGGGCAGGAGGTGTCCGTCTTTGGGGGGGTGTCCCCCAGGGCCCTGCCTGGGTCTTCCTCTTTCCTCCCTGCATCCTACTTCACTTGGTGAGCTGATGAGATGATGATCTCATCAGCTCCCAAGAATTTCGTTGCCATCTCTGCTGATGACTCTCAAATCTGCCTTTCTTGCCCCCTCTCTCTGCTGACCCCTATCACCCCACATCTCCGATTGCATTTCAGACATTTCAGACTGGATGTCCACCAAACATCTTCAGCTCAACAGTACAAAACAGATATCATTATTTTTCTTCCTCCCGCCCCACCTTCCCTAGGACTGCGGAGGGCTCACAGTGTAGGAATCATCCTGGGCTCCTCACTCTTACCCTTTCCCCCCACCCCCATGTCCAAGCTCTTGCCGAGGCCTGTCTATCTCACCTCTACAACATCTCTCCAGTATGTCCCCTCCACTGCTCTGGCCCTGACCCCACCTCACGTCCTCACAGCCAGACTATTACAATAGCTTTTGAGGGGTCTGCCTGCTGCAGCCTGTCCTTCATTCAACTACCACAGTGATTTTCCATTCTCGGAATTTGATTAGCTTTGGTTCAGTCATGTCCAATTCTTCATGACCCCATCTGGGGTTTTCTTGGCAGAGATACTGGAGTGGTCTGCCATTTCTTTCTCTAGCTCATTTTACAGATGAAAAAACTGAGACAGGGTTAAGTGACTTGTCCAGGGTCACACAGCCTAGTAAGTGCCTGAGGCTAGATTTGAACTCAGAAAGAAGAGTTTTCCTGACTGCATGCCTGGCAGTCTATCTACCGTGCCACCTAGCTGCCCATGGGGTGTTTGGGGAGGACTAGCACCTCTGGTGTAAGGGCTGCTCACTTACCTTTGGTGTCTGCTCGGCACCAGCCTGTTGCCTGTGGCACACATAGTGGCCACACCCTGGCAAACCGTTTCTGCAGACGGGCTAAACCAGGCTGAGGCTAACCAAGGCCTCAGACCTGTCAGAGAGCCGGGGGGTGTCTACCCCGAGCATGTGAAGATGCTCCCTGGTGGGAATGGGCGAGTGAGAACCACGTGTACCAAGGCCATGACGGTGGCTGAAGCAGGCATGGTGGCGCAGTTAAAGCTTGGTCAGATGTCTAAGATGCCAAGGTCCTCCACTGCATTCTGGGCCGTCGCCAGTCCTGAATTCTCTCCTGCCACTGGACTTGAGAGACTGGAAGAGAGAGCGAGGCTGGCGACTGTGTGCAGCTCTGCCTCACTCACATCTGATTCACACACTAGTCCAGACATCAGCCCGTGATGTCCTTGGTCCTCTTTAAGAATGAAGGGCAGACAACAACAATAGCAATTTCTCATTGGTCCTGTGTATGGCTTAATTAGGCAGCTACGTGTGGCAGTGGCTAGAATGCTGAGCCTGGAGTATTCAGGGCCAGCCTCAGATACTTATTGTTGTGTGACCCTGTTTGCCTCAGTTTCCTCATCTGTAAAATGGGCTGGAGAAGGAAATGGCAAAGTGTTCCAGTATCTTGGCCAAGAAAACCCCAAATGGGGTCACAAAGAATTGGACACAACTGAAAAACGATCGAACAACTACAAAAGAGCTTGATTTGTCTGTATTTGTCTTATGTTCTCTTCCCGGCCCTCGTGAGATTGTCAGCTCTCTGAGGGAAGGGACTGTCTTTTGCCTCTCTTTGTATCCCCAAAGCTTAGCGCAGTGCTTGGCACATAGTACGGGTTGGCCGATTGGTTACTTACGTGGACGGTGCTAAGCTGAGCACTGGGGATACAAAAAGCCATCTTTTCCTCCCTCTCTAGGGGAAGGGGCTCTTTGCTACGAGGCCAGTCCAGAAAGGGGAGACCATCTTTGTGGAGAGGCCTCTGGTGGCCTCCCAGTTCCTTTGGAATGCACTTTATCGCTACCGAGGTGAGCTGCCCTCTCTATGCTCATTGCTGGGGTTCCCTGGTGCCTGTTGCTGCGTGTTCCCGACAGTATCCAGCGAGGTGTGGGGTGGGTGTGTATCTTTGGGATGAAAGACCCTTCTTCCCTGGGGTACAATTACGCCTGTTACCTTCATTATATCACGAAGACTAATATGCTAGTTGCAAAATTGTAGCGATAGGATGGTGGCAAAACCACCACAGGACCACAGACTCATGGGTCAGTGCCCGGGCTGGAATCTGAGCCTGGGGCGTACAGATCCTGTCCCTGCGCTCAGGGACGTAGCTGTTGTTGCTGGGGCCAGTCCTCGGCCGGGACACGGGAGTGGAGCGAGGGCTTGGAAGTGGGAAGGGACGAGGAGTCTGGCTCATTTCTCTTATGTGACCTGCTCCCCTGCTGAAGACTGGCTAGTCTGCAGGCCCCTTGGCCACTGCTGAGAAAAGAGGGAGGGACGAGGGATGTGAGCCCTGACTGAGGCCCCGGGCCCATCTTCTTCCTTATCCACCTCAATTCCGCCTCCTCTTGGGGCTTGACTCCTTGGATTATCCAGTCTCTTAGTTTCCTCCTCCCTAAACTGGACACAACAAGTTTATCATGGAGTTAAGAGTTTGCAGAGGGTGTTGCAGACATTGGCAGCAGAATGCAAGCTCTGAGGGGCTGTTCTTGGTGGGGCACCGAGTCTGACTGGTGAGATCAGTGCAGGGAGATCCCTATGGGAACAGGACCAGCTCGAGAGCTGCCCCGGGGGCCCTGCGAGAGTCAAGGGCCTGCCCAGAGCTACACAGCCAGGGCGTGTTCAGGAGCAGGATTGGAACCCAGATCTTTGTATGTTTAATTCCAGTCCATCACCCCACCTCTTAGGACTCAGGTTTGTGGTGAGGGATACACTCTCCAAACCAGCTTCCCCTTTCACTGTGCCCTGTGGAGGACCCTGGCACTAGAAGGGATGACCGAGTGTGCCATCCCTGTTGTCTCATCAGAGGCCCTGGTGCGGCTGGGGCAGGTGCCACAGATCAGGACCTTGAGGCTCAGGCAGTAACAAGGGTCATATGTCTAGTGACCGAGGCAGGGCTTGAGACCAGACTCGGGTCTAACAGCCAGCTCTGTACTTCTGCATTAATGGCCCAGACATCCTTGGAATTTAATGTTGACCGAGTTGATTCTGTGGTGGAAAGCTGGCAGCGTTTTGATACCCAGGACTGCAGAGGAGGGCCAGTAGTACTTGCTGCTGCTTGTGGGGCAGGGGCGTCGGGAAGGCCCCCTCACCAGCTCCCACTGCCTTGTGTTCAGAGGCCAGTGGTGCTGGTAAGAGGGAGGAGGAAGGGGAGTCGTTCTTGGGGCACCCCTGAGCCAATTGCAGAAGGATGGTCCCTGCCCTCAGAGAGCCATGGTCCAGTGTGGGGAGCAGGGAGAGAGAAACTAGTGAGAAGGACCCTTGAGTGCAAATCCATTAGGTTAAAAGACTTGTGAGATGGGGGGAGAGGTGGCCGGGGGAAGTTCCCCGGAACATGGGGATTTTGAGATAGGTTTTGGGATGAGACGCCTGCCTGGAGGGGAAGAGGCTGTGACTGAGCTTCTGTGTGTGACTCGTTTGCCAGCCTGTGACCACTGTCTCCGGGCCTTGGAGACGGCAGAGGAGAATGCCCAGAGGTTGTCGGGGAGGGCCTGTGGCACCCTGCCTCATCCTGAGCAGTGCAGCATTCGGAAGGACCTCCACCAAATGTGTCCTCACTGTCAGGTGAGACTTAGCCGAGGGGCGGAGGGGAGAGGGGAGGTGGTGGTAGACCACGGGGAAGAGCCAGAGGTTGTCTAGGGCTAGTAACTGAATTACAGCTGATGTTCAAATGGTGTCTCAGGTTTATGAAGCACTTTTCTAATGTTTCAGCAGTTCTGGTAGGTGGGGGCTGCAGGTATCTGTTTCCCTATTTTACAGATGGGGAGACTGAGTCTCAGAGAGGTTGTCTGCCCAGGGCCTCGTGGTTGCTGTGTAAGCCCAATGAAGTTGCTGTCCTCTCTGGCCTCAGTTTCCTCATCTGTGAAATGAGGGAGTTGGACTCAGCAGGCCCTTGGATCTTTTCTGCTTGGAGAAGCAGGTTTGAGTTGAGATCTCTCCTGAATCCCCGAGCCTTTAGTGAGAACACATGGGTGCCCACCATGATGATGACAACAGCAGTCATAAGAATTCACCTCCCGATGGGGTCTGTAAAAGGACGGTGAATCCACAGCAGAGTCACGAGGCCTTCCAGTGCAGTGTCCACAGGATGTTGGCAACAAGTGGCCGAGTCAGGCACATTGGATCTGGGATCAAAATTGCAAACTCTGTTTGCCCCAGAAGGTGGTGCCTGGTAGGTGACCTTTAGCCTTGGTGATCAGTATGGAGTAGGCAGTGACGCGGGAAAAACCGCCCAGCGCATCATTGTAGCACCTACTGCGTACATTCTGAAAAAGACCTTGAAATGTCCCGGAGAACTCAGTCAGCAGCTTGGCCTGGACTTCAACCAGGCCCTTGCCCCTATTTGCCCACAGTGTTTTGAATAGATGTTTTCATACCAGGCTCTCAGCTACCTCCAAGGTGTGTGGGTAGTGAGGTGGCAGAGGAGACCAGAATGAGAGGGGACAAGAAGAGGGGCCCCTCTCATCTGCTTGGACCCACCTGCTTCTCAGGCTGTATCTGGGAGCTTCTGGAGGATGACCTGGGTTTTTCTCCCTTCTCCGGGGAGCCACAGACTGTAGAGCATTAAACAGAAGAGTCTGAGGGCTGTGTGTGCAGCAGCCATCCCAGAACCATTTCCCTGTGAGCTCCATCCACCAAGATGAGAACATCTCTGCTGTAATGATCATCGCAGTACTGGCTCCCATTTCTGAGACTTTGGAGATGCTGCGGAGGGCTTTTGGGACGTGATCTCAGCACATGCTCATGCTTGCCCAATGAGGTCATCAGTACAGATATCCCTATTGCCCAGAGGAAAATGAGGCTGAGGCTGTGACTGGCCATGATTAGAGCCAGCCTCGGGTGAGGCAACGGCCAACTTCAGTGATCTCCTTGGAGTGTACCTCCCACCACTGCGGGTTGTGACTCCTTTAGGCTTCTGGTTGTTTGTGGAGGGTTGTGGTGGCTGAGGAATCTGACCTAGTGCTGGGCCTCTTCAGACATTGCCACAGTGGCTGTCACACGACAGACACACAGCTCCTGGCCCAGCTGGCCTGTATTTAAAGTCTGCCCCTTTTGTACTCTGTTGGTGAAACCTCCAGGAATGAAGGAATAGATAAGTGAAAAAGAAAGGCATTTATTAATCGCCTACTAAAGGCAAAGCACTGTGCTGAGTGCTGAGGAAGAAATACATAAGCAAGGAGTTCCTGCTCTCAGGGAGTCTGCACTCCAATGGGGGAGACTCATTCTGGAGGTTTCAGCTGCATTGAGGCTAGCATTGGAGAAGGACGTTGGTGTCCCACAATGGGCCCATTTCCTAGGCTCCCAGAAACATCGGCGTAGAGCTGGAACGGTTTTTATCTAGTCCGACCCACTCACTTTACAGCTGAGAAGACTGAGGCCCAGAGAAGGAAGTGACTGGTTTAAGGTCACACAGGCAGGCTGTGGGGCAGCCAGGCTTTGAACCCAGCCCGCTCTACCAGGGTCTGCACCACACTCTCTCACTGTTTTCCGTAAGTCCTGCTCATTCCCTCTATGCCTTCCCTCCCAGACTCTCCCGTCATGAATGACTTGGATATCACTTCATTCTCTTCCTGTGCCTCAGTTTCACCATCTAGGTTTGGTGGTAGTAGGTGGTGGGCTCAAATGACATAGCCGATGGTATCTGTCAATGACAACATGAATAAAAATAGCTGACCCTTTTCTGATATCTAAAGGTTCTGGCAGAGTCCTTTATAACCTAGAAGGCAGGTTTGGGTCTTCCCCTTCTATCCGAATCTCTCCCTTCCCCCATTCCCTTGGAAATCTTGCTCCCCCCCCCCAACTCCATGTTTGCATTGCTACCTAATTCATTTGTTATGTGCCTGTTGTATGCATTATGGAGAGCTTGATGCTGGCAGAGATAGAGACAAATGAGAAGGTCCAGGGAAATAAGACCTGCCCAAGTGACTCTGATGTAAATTATGGGAAGCCTTTGACTAGGAAAGGGAAAAAAACTGTCTGGTCTGTAAGAGGCAATTAAGAATGGAAGTATGCTGCTGACACGAGCCCTGAAGGTGCTGCGGGCTGGTTCCATTTGTGGGGAGCTCTCTTAGGATCACAGGATCATCTTCTTCCTCTGACGTCCTTGGGGGCCTCCTTAGGGCAGTGCGCATTTAGCGTTAGCGTTGTATAATTAAAATTTATTTCAACAAATGCTTGCCATCTGTCCATCCTGTCTTCCTCATAGACTGTAAGCCCTCTGAGGGTAGGCCTGTTTCAGTTCTTGCTTATTTGTGTATCTTTAAGTGAATGATGAGGCCCCCCCCACCAGGGCCCCTCATAGACCCTCCCCTCTGATTGGCAGGTGGCATATTGTAGTGCGGAGTGTCGCCAGGCAGCCCTGGAGCAGTACCATCGAGCCCTGTGCCTGGGCCCTTCCCAGAATGACCCCGAGCATCCTCTCAACAAGCTTCAGGAGGCCTGGAGGTCAGCCTCCCCACTGCTCCCTAGCCATCTTCCCTTCTCCCTCCTTCCCTTGATTGCCTTTTTTTTTTTTTGGCTAGGCAGTGGGGTTAAGTGATTTGCTCAGGGTCACACAGCTAGTAAGTGTTATGTGTCTGAGGCCAGATTTGAACTCAAGTCCTCCTGAATCCAGGGCTGGTGCTCTATCCACTGCGCCACCTAGCTACCCCTCTTCTTCCCTTGAAATCACTTTCCCAGAACTTCCTTTGCTGTGGCCTCCCTGGGCCTGGGGGATCTCAGTCTATTCTACAGCCCTTGCCCAGCCAGCCCAGGATGTTGGCACAGGCAGGAAGGCTGGATCCTTCTTTGGGCCGAGGGCCCACTGGAGGGCTGCTCAGCCAGCTCCGGACTCCAGAGTGTATCCAGGGTGTCCAGTAGGACCCTCCCTGACCCCTCCCAGCATCTCCTTGTCACAGGGCCAAGAGGCTTCTGTCCCTTCCTCCAACAGTGAAGTCCTCAGGGTCATCGAGGCCGGCCTTGTCCCTGGCTTCTCTTCCTCTTCTCAGTTTCTGCTGGGTGAGGATGGGGTGTAACAAGTCATTCCAAGGCCCCTCTCCAGAGTTCCTGACCCAGGCTTGTTTCTCCCCCTGCAGGAGCGTCCACTATCCTCCTGAGACAGCCAGCATCATGCTGATGGCCCGGATGGTGGCGACTGTGAAGCAGGTGAGTGTCAGCTCCTGCCTCCTCCTCCCCCTCCCCTCCCCCTCCTCCAGGGGACACAGCCCCGAGCTGGCACCTTCTTTGCCCCAGAGCTGCCCAGGGCTGTGCTCTCCCCCCAGGATGACTTTAATTCAGCCAGGTGGGCATGGGCAGCGGACTCGAGGTAACTCTGTGCAGAGGGCCCATACAGGCAGGACGGCCCAGATTTCTGGTTATCCAGATGTGGGACATGAGCCTAGCTGTTACCGGGCCCACCAAAGAAAAGCTGAAGGCCCATGTGGCTTCTTGTCACAGGGAAATTATACCCAGAGGTGTCTGAGATATAGCTGGCTTGGTACAAGTAAGAGTGAACGATGGGCATGCAGAGCTACCACCTGCAGCCAGCCCCCTCCCCCAAGGGGTTCTTGCTTCCTTTCCTGGGTTTCTGGGGCAGGTGGGCAGGGCCAATCAGAGGAGCAGTGTGCCCTGGGGTGGGGGTGGGGAGGACAGTGTAGATGCCCTGGGGCCCTGGGCAGGGGGGAGCACACTGGCCTGAGACCATGTAGCTCTGTGATGTGTGTGTGTATTTGCCCTGTAGGCAAAGGACAAGGAACGCTGGATCAAACTCTTCTCCCAGTTCTGTAATAAAACGGCCAACGAGGAGGAAGAGATTGTCCACAAACTCCTGGGAGACAAGTTCAAGGTCAGTCCTGGGTCCCCCCAGCAGGCCTTGCTCTGCTGCAGCAGCCTCTGGCTATGCTCGGTCCATGCTGGCCAGCCTAGGGGTGGGGGGGGTGTTGATGGGCCCTGCAGGGTACAGGAGGCCCCGTCTGAGCAAGGAGCGCTCCCTTCAGGGAGCTTCTGGCCTGGCAGCCGATCAGGACGCCCCCGGGCTGTGTGTTCCTGACAGCCCTCAGGGCCCCTCCTCTTGCCAGGCCTCTTGGCTCTGCCTGTGGTCACTTCCCTGGGCCTCTTTTCTTCTGTAAAGTGAGGGGGTTGCTCTGGATGCCCTCTGAGGCTTTGTCTGGCTCTGTACCTGGGATCCTCAGTGGTTTGGGGCAGACCTCTTGTAGTGGCTAGAAACTGGGGGAAGTTATTGAGCAAGAGCTGGGAGGTAGCTAGAGGGGAACAGGGAGAGGTGGCCTGCCGAGGTTCCTCCTTGGCCTCCCCCCAGCGCCCGGGAGACTGTCCCGGGCTTGGGGATCCCCAGGAGCTTCCTCACCTCTGCCCCCTCCTCCCCGATCAGGGCCAGTTGGAGCTTCTGAGACGACTCTTCACTGAGGCTCTGTATGAAGAACAGCTCAGTCGGGTGAGTCGGGCACAAAGCCTCCTCCCTGTCATGGCTGTTGTGGAGTTGTTTCAGTCCTGTCTGACTCTTCTGACCCTATTTGGGGTTTTCTTGGCAAAGATACTGGAGTGGTTTGCCATTTCCTTCTCCAGCTCACTTTACAGATGAGGAAACTGAGGCAAACAGGGTGAAGTGACTTGTCCAGGGTCACACACCTAGTAAGTGTCTGAGGCCAGATTTAAATTCAGGAAGGGCTCAAGCTGTATCCACTGTGCCACCTGGCTACCCACATCCTCCTTGGGGTCCCTTGATTTGGGGAGTGGGCTGATGTCAGATTGATTCTTGGAGTCTCTTAAAACTGAGGTGGTATGGGATCTGGAAATAGTCCTTTGCTGGGAGCTTGTCCCATCCTGGCATTCCCTGGACATCTACTGGGTGCAGAGGAGGGATTCGGGATCAGAGGTCAGCTGCTTAAGTCCGGTGGGGGCTTTTGGCCTCACCGGTTGAGCCAAAGCCAAGGTTTGACTGACCTCGCTGGCATTCCTGCCTGCCTTGAACATCTTCGGCCGACTCTGAACTCTGAGACTCCCCAGCCTGTCTGCATTCAAGGTGTAGGACGACAGTGGATGGTAGTGAGCATTTATTGAGTGTTCATTGTAGCCAGGCGCCATGTAAGTGCTGGGGAAACAAAGAAAGGCAAATGTAGTGCCCCCTCCCAGGAGCTCCCGTGGAAGAGGGGAAACAGCAGGTACCTGGGTAACACAAGGTACATGTCGAGCAGAAGGAAGGCAGTCAGAGGGGAAGACATTGGCAGTTGTGGGAGAGCCAGGACAGGCCTCCTGCAGGAGGTGGGATTTGAGCCAGGGAGACCAAGAGGCAGAGGAGAGGGTGCAGGCAGTGCAGTGGTGCCATGTTGGGTTGGAGGAACAGCCAGGAGGCCATGGGAATCCACGGGAGGGAGTCAGGAAAGAAGGCTGGACAAAGAGGAAGGGGTTAGCTAGCTAATGGGGGGCTTCAGAAGCCAAGCAGGGTTTGTGTTTGATCCTGGAGATGATAAAGAGCCCCCGGGGCTCCTGGAGCAGAGAGGATGCCGTGGTCAGAGCCTTCCTTTGTAAAAATCACTTTGGCATTGATGGCTCGGCCGGGGGGGGGACTGGAAGCTGGCGGGGGCATGCAGGCAAGAGGACTGGAGATGGCTTGACTGTGTGCCGATGAAGGTGATCCTGAGGACGGGGGGTTATGGAGCCCTCCGGGGGTCAAACCAGATGAAAGTTCCATCAGGAAGTGTTTAACAAAATAAAAATACAGTGTGGCCTTGTGGCTTTCTAAGTTACCATACGGCCCAGCAAATAACAGGGAAGATGCAGAGTTCTTCCTTAGCCACGTGGAGATGCCTCCCAGGGACAGCTGGAGATTTGTGCCTGGAGCTGAGGGGAGAGCGTAGGGCTCGGCCTGGTGACCGAGGAGTGGTGGGATGAGGGACCCCAGTGGGCAGGGAGGGCAGGGATTAACCAGGGGCTGCTCTCTGGGGCGCACGCTGAGGTGAGGCCAGAGCAGGCCAGGACCCTGCCTCTTCTCATTTCTCTCTCCCTCTGGGTTTAATGTGCAGTGGTTTATGCCAGATGGATTCCGGTCTCTCTTTGCTCTTGTTGGGACAAATGGTCAAGGAATTGGGACCAGGTAATGACGACATTGGCGGGGGGCCGGGGCAGTGGAAGGTCAGCTGCCTCCACCAAGCATGTCCTGTGGGCAGAGCTTTGGGCTGGAGCCGGGGTGGGGGAGCCAAGGACAGTGGGAGGTGTCCCCTCTGTGGGATGAAGAGCTGCGTTGTGGGGCCACACTGCCCTGGAGGTGGGCATGGATGTGCCCTGAGCTGGAGCACCTGTGAGACCCTGGTGAAGTAGCCAGTACCAAGAACAGATGAAAACTGAGGCGGGACCTGCCTGCTGGCAGCTCTCCTCTAAGTGACTGTTCCCGTGGCCTGTGGTTTGGGTCTTGTTCTGTTTTTGCGCCTCTCAGGGTTGGCCTTTGCTGCCTCCCCCGGCCACAGAATCAGCTGGGGGGAGGGGGCTCAGGCAGGGGGGACCCCTCATCTGCTAATGCTCAGCTTGCTCCGTGTTCTCCAGTTCCCTGAGTCAGTGGGTCCACGGTTGTGATGCCCTCAACTTGAAGCCCCAGGAGCGCGAGCAGCTGGATGCGTTCATTGATCAGCTGTACAAGGACATTGAGAGAGGTGGGTGGGGCCTGCTTGCTTGCCCCCTCCCCTCACATATGGACAGCTCCTTCTCTGATGGAGCAAGACATACGGATGGGAAACCTGCCCAGAACGTGAGGGCCCGAGGCTGTCCTGCCTGGATGGCCAAAGTCCGTCATTGGGCTGGAAAGGGTCTCGGGCGGGAGGCAGGCAGGGGGTTCACAGAGGTGGTGGGCTTAGGCCAGGTCGTGCCAGCCAGGCCTCCCCTGCTGCTACACCTGTCTGTCCGTCTGTCTTACAGTGAGTGGTGAATTCCTCAACTGTGAAGGGTCTGGGCTCTTCGTGCTCCAGAGCTGCTGTGAGTCTTTTGTGGGGGCGGGCAGGGCCCCAGGGGCATCTCTGGCTCCTCAGGGGCTTTGGATCTCCACGGTGTGTGTGGGACAGCCAGGTCCCCCATGAGGGGAGGAGGGGAGTCTTTTTACTGTTCGCCCCATGGGGCCATACGCCTCCCAGGCCTTTGTGGACATCCCCGGCTGCCAAGGAGGGGAGCAGGACATTGCCCGCTTTATGGGGCTCATGTGCCACCCAAACATGGGCAGTCTGATGAAGTTTCGGGGACCCTCCTCAGAAGGATGATTTTTTAAAAAATTAAGTGAAGGGAATGCTCAGTTTCAGTTAGTCAGTGAAAATGGACCCACCAAGTCTCTGTGGGTCTGCGCGTCCCAGGCGTGGAGCCCTTGTCTCAGGGTGGGGTGTGGACTGTGGGAGTCTGCCCGGGGAGGCAGAGACCCAGGCTGCCCATGCCAGCTGTGCGTGCCCTCGAGCACGTGAGATGGCAGGGGCGCAGCCTCGCTCCCAGCTCTCATCCATATTGAGTTGGAATGGGCCGGGCTTTCAGTGCTAGTGGATCAGGAGGCCTTTATTGAGCACCTGCTGGGCCCTGGGCTGCTCCTGCCCTCAGGAGGCTACACTCTATCCGTGGCAAGGACGCTGGTTTTGGAGGCAGAGGAGCCATCTCCCTGACCATCTGTGTGAGCTTGGCCTCAGCTTCCCCATCTGTAAAACGAGGATTGCTCATAGGTCCCTGCTGGCTCTGAGCCTGGGATCCCACAGGTGTCAGTGATGTTGGGCAGTGTCCGGATACGCAGCTTGTGTAGACTCCAGGGAGCTGGGGGAGGCCTTAGCTGGTCCCTTTCTATTTCTTACCGACCAGCCTCCTGACCTCCCTTCTTTCTCAGGCAACCACAGCTGTGTCCCCAACGCAGAGACCTCCTTCCCAGAAAACAATTTCCTTCTCCACCTCACGGCCCTTGAGGACATCAAGCCTGGAGAGGTAACGGGGGGGCGTGGCCAGCGCCCTTGGCTGGGGGGGTTGGGGTGGGGTCCCTACCGGGCTGGCTGGGCTCTGAGCTCCCCACCTCCTGTCCCGGTCACTCCACCTACTCTCCTGCCATCTCGCAGAACCAGAACTCGTTCCTCAGTCCTCTTCTAGGGCAGCCCCTGGCTCTCCCACGTCCCATGTGGGTGGCCTGGGCCTCCCTCAGAGTAAGCCTTGGATTCAGTGGCAGCTCCAACGCTCTGGGCCCTGACTCCCTGGCTCTCCCCACCCCCGGCTTCTCGTTCTTGGCTGGGCCCTGGGGGGTGGGTAGTTAGAGGGGCTCACAGCCTGTCTGTAGCCCAGCCTCCCTGGGGGTCACAGAGTGGGCATGGCCATAGGCTGAGGAGAGGGCCCTGTCTCTTTGTCGCCCTCCATCCCCTAGGAAATCTGTATCAGTTACCTGGACTGCTGCCAGCGTGAGCGGAGCCGGCATAGCCGGCACAGGATTCTTAGGTACCCCAGGAGGGAAGGGGGGGGATGAGCAGGGGGTACGGGAGCAGCTGAGGGGATGGGAGCAACCAAGGGTTGGGGCAGAGCAGCTGGGGAAGGGGCTCATGCCTCTAGGGCCTGGGACGCCCAGCCCCTGAATGCCCGGCTCCATGCTCTGCAGAGAGAACTACCTATTTGTTTGCTCCTGCCCCAAATGCCTGGCTGAGGCAGAGGATCCCAGTGTGACCTCTGAGGAAGAAGAGGAGGAGGAGGAGGAAGAGGAGGAGGAGGGTGAGCCGGAGGACGCCGAGCTGGAGGATGAGATGACTGATGTTTGATGTCCCGACCCTGACCTCCTCATGCAGGAAAGGGGTCTTTGGGAGCTGCCTCACAACCTCATTCCCCATTCTGCGAGGAGCATCTGACCTCCCTGCTTCCCAGTCTGGCTGCCCAGGGAGTGGGGAGTCGTGAGCCTGGTGTGGAAAACTGGGGCCCTTGGACCTGTGGAGGGACAGCCAGGTGGGGGGGGGGGACCAGGCCTCCCTTCCGCTCCCTGCCTCTCTAGAGAGCCCCCCGCCCCCCACTGTGAGAGTATTCCAGTGGGGAACCAGGATTGGCTGCAGTTTCTTGGAGCTCCTGCCTACCCCAGCCTGTTAATTGATTTATTTATTTTGGGAACAAAGTTTCAAAGCTGAGTTATTGGGCACTCTCAATGTGGGGCCCCCACTGAGGAAGCATCAGTCGGCCTCCCTTCTCTTCCAGGGGCTCTCCCCAGCCTCGCGGGTCACTTTTAGTTGATTCAGGAAGTGGTTGGCCCCTTTGGAGGAGGGCTGCAGGCCCATTCTGTCTGGGTTTGCCTCCCTCCCTGTCTAGGGGCTCCCCAGCTCCAGGGTCAGGCTAGATGCTCCTTCCCCAAGCCCTCAGAATCTCGTCTTGTGCCTTTTCTTCCCTGCCTGGGCAGGGGTGGTGGTTGGAACCTACTGGGCCTGGGGGAGACTTGAGCCTTTCCCTGGAAGGGGTCGGAACTGGCCCCTGCTGGCAGCTGGAGGGCTTGGGGCTCTCACAGGGGGTTGAGCGTTTGCTCTTTGCCTGGGATCATTTGGGGCGAGAAGTGGGTCTCCTCCTGGGGAGGAGCCCCTGTTTGCCTGCCCCCAATCCTTCCTATATGGAGGCTATGTGTACTGATAGCCTCTGCTTCAGGCCTCCAGTCACGGGTTTCAGGGAGCTGGTTTTCTTGCAATGCTATTCCTTCTTTCCTCCTCTCCTTCCCACCTTTGGTGCTGTGCAAGCTTGTTAATTGTGAGGACCTAGGGACCGAGCAGGCTTCCTGGGACAGAGAAGGGCCGTGGTGGCCAGCCAAGGGCTAGCATGGCTCCATCTGGGGGCTTGCCATCCGCGACCTGCCTTTCTCCTCTCTCAGTATAAAGCATCTGGCCCTCCCTAATCAGTGCCTGCCCCTCCATTGCCTAGAGGGGCCATTCACCGGTCTGGACCGTCCGGCCCCGCCCCATCGTGTAGAAGGCAGGCGGGTAGTCCCAGGTCTCTGAATCACTCCATGTTGTGCTGTGTGACAGGATGTGCTGCTCCTTTCTTCCCTCTCTGTGTCCCCTGCCCCCACCCTGAGGAGGGGATGTGTCACGTCTTCCATTTCCCCTTCCCTGTTCTGTCTGGTGCTCACTTCATGCAGACCACCATCCTACCCAACCGTTCAGTGTTCTCAATAAACCGTGGCTGGCGAACAGGCCCCTCTGTACGGATCCGGGAGTCTCCAGGGTCAGTGCGCTGGCCTCACGTGGGCCCCCAGCTGACTGAGCAGCCAGGTTGGGAGGGCTCCCCTTGCCCCTGTAGCCCTCACTTAGTCGGGGGCCTTTTGCCGTTCTGTCTCCCCCTCCTCCTAGGTTTTTCCGGGGGGGGGGGGCCTGTGGCAGGAACCACAGCAGCCTTTCACAGAACATTGTGGGGTTTGCAGAGTGCCTCTCTACAACCTTGTGAGTGGCGAGAAAAGGCATTGTTGTCCCCCCTTTCAGATGGAAACAAAAAGTGTAGGTGACTTTCACACAGGTGGGAGGGGGTGAGGACCTGGCTCTTTCCCAGTTGCTGTCCTCTCCTGACATACCTCTTGGCGGTCCCTCTTCCCAGCCTTTGGCCAAGCCCAGGCCTCTTCCAGTGCTTTCTGCCTGGGTGGGAAATATCTGTCGCAAGACCCAGAGGGCCCCATCTAATCTGAGAGGCTCTTCTCATCACCCGCTGCCCCCTCCCCAATAACTGACATTGTAACCCTCCAAGATGGGCAAAGCCTGTCCCCCAGGGTCTCAGAGTTTCACAGTGACTTGTGAACTCTGACACCAAGGCAGACGCAAGCTCATTTATTCAAGGTCAAACCTCCAGGCTGCCAGAGGCCAGGTTCAAAGCCTGCTCTTCGAGAGCTCGTTTGAGGCATTTTCATGGTCTGTCTCGGCTCCCTCAGGCACCAGCCAGAAAGCCCATGGGGAGCCCTCCTCTGAGGAATGCTCTTACATGCATCTAGTACAGGAGAAACCAATTACACGGAAAGAACAGTTCGGGACGTGTTTGGTTTGTTTTTTCAACAAGTTCATGGAGCCCAGGTGCTGTGCTCCTGCTTCCCGCACCTGCCCTGGCTGCCACCCAACGAGCCCGGGCACCTCGGGCACATCCCTTTCCCTCTTGGTGTGTGCTTCCTTCTCTAGGTGAGGAGGTCAGAGTGGAGCCCTAGGGGCTCTGGACGATTCTGAGAGGCAGATAATTGACAACATCACTAAAAATCTAGGAAGACTTTATTGTGCTAACAGCAGTGGCTGCCCAGGGGGTGGGGGAAGGGGGTTCCCCCTTTGCCCCTCCCTCACAGAACAGCACCATTCTCACCCCAACCTCCCTGGTCCCTTTGCCCCAGCCTGTGACCGGCTTAGCTCTAGGTATCTCAGAGCACTGTGCCCCAGAGGTGAGGGGCTTTGGGCAGGGCATGGAGGGAAGGAAGAGGAAGTCAGTGGTACATTTGTTTTACCAAAGCAAAGGATGGGAGCCCCCACTTCCCTCAGCCTATCCCCAAGACATGGCTCCTTCCCCCACTGTTGGCCAGCCTCAAACAGCAAAAGCTCAGGGCTTTGGTGCCTCCTTCCCCTGAGGCTGGGGGCCTGGCATCTCTTCTACCAAAAAGTCCAAGGCGGCTGCAGCAGTTCAAAGGTGGGGATGCTGGTGACGTTGACAGGGATGGAGATGATGGCCCAAGGCAGACCGTGCTGTTCAAGAGAGCGTCTGATCATGTAGCTGAGGGAAGAAGGAAAAGAAGGCTGCACCTGGCTGTGGCCCACCTGACAGGCCATCTCTCCCCCGTGACAGCCGGGCTCCTTGCCAGCAGGGACCATGCCTCACCCATCTCTGCCAAGCAGGAAGAGGGCCGGGATGTCTGCTGTGCGGCGGCTGCTGTCCTGAATCATCTCCACGTAGAAGCTGTCATTGTCGGCTGCGTTGTCGGAGATGATCACCGCTCGACCGCCGTGCTCCTGTACCACCCTTGTCTTGGACAGGAAGGAGCAGCCTCTGGCAGAGACAAGATGAGGCTATCAGGAGGCATGGAGAGTCCAGGAAATGGACCAAATCAGGTCCGCCCCAGGACCAAAAAGAAACCCACAAGTGGATGTCAAGGGAATGACTGTTACCATGGATAACCACCAACCCAACAAGTAAGCCATCAAAACCAATGTGTGCCAAGGGAATAACCCTGGAAACCTGAACCCAGCTGACAACCCCCCCCCAGGGGTCCCACCAGCCACCTCCAACAAGCTTCCCGTCATCCTGCCTCCCCTCCCGCCCCATCTGGCCCCAGACCCCTGGTCAGACCAGGCCCTCACCCCCGCTCCACCAAGGCAATCTGGTCCTGGATGAAAAACCCGTTGTTGAGTGGTCCGCAGGCCTCCGGAGGGTCAGCTGGGACAAGCTGGATCTGCTCGTACCTTGTGTGCTGCAAAACACAAAGTCAGGCCATGGAGCTCCCTAGGAAAGAGTCAAGGGTAGAACTGGGGAGTAAGGGGGCAGCCAGAGGCTGTGTCTTCACAGGCAGCTAGGGCAGGGCTGACTAGCACCAAAAAAGGGGCAAATGACTTGCTTGAGGTCACACAGCAAGTCATAAGCATACTGGATGGGAGAACCTGGGTCTCCTGTTTTCATTAGACTCAGTGCACTCCGTGAAGGGCCTGCCTGCTTCCACTGTGCAAGGCCCCCAGGGAGCACACTGGGATGTGCTCTGGGATGGTCCAGCCCTTGATGGGGATTAGAAGGGCAGGTGATCCTTAATTCCCCCAGGCAGAAGGGAGAGGGAGCAAAGCTCCCTGTCTTAGCCCTGCACTTACGAAGACACCCCCAAAATCCTTGGCAGGAGTGACAGTGAAGATGTAGCGAATGTCCCCTGGACTCAGCACTTGGAAGTACAGATACTCATGGATGCGCAAACCTATGGAGAGGCAGAGAGGTGAGAGCCTGGGGGACAAGCCAGCCCCACAGCTCAGGGTGTTCAAGGACGTCATCAGGCCTGAGCTCCGAAGGAGCCCCCGAGGTGATGGGGAGGACACAGACCCGCCATCAGGGGGAAGTCAATGGGAGACAGGATGGCGCACTACAGAGTCTACACACGCAGTGTGAGGAGAGTGGGATCTCAGCTTTGCCCGTTCCCAGTCTGGCCTATGGCTAAGGTGGTGGAAGATGGAAGAACTGATCCACTGTCCCTCTTCATCGGCCTAGGGCAGCCTGACCTAAATGGGGGAGAGGAGTGAGACTCCCCAAACTTGGGGAAGACAGAAGGGCGATTTTGAGCCCCTGGGCCTGGGCCATGCAGGGGTTTGAGGCCCGATGACTGTACGAAAGGGATTCTAGGGCAGAGGTGCCAGGGAAAACCCATTGCCCTAGGTTTCTGCAGGGATCCTCTCACTTGTGTTATGCAATTGCCTGGCATCTCAGTATTCCTGTGGGAACCTCAGAGGGAGGGAGGGCCTGGAAGTGTGGCACTGGCTGGGAACCGAGTCCAAAGATCTTTAGTATGCTGGAGCCAAAAGGCCTTGGAGAACAGCTAGTCCAACTCCACCTAATTTTCCAGAAGAGGAAGTGATTTGCCTGAGGTTGCCAAGATAAGCATTCGGTATCTGTGTTACTAAAACAAACAAGCCAACTGATTCAACAAAAACTTTGTACCAGACTCTGTGCCAGGGGGTGAGGATAGATAGAGACAAAGTGAACACTCATGCCTACCTTACCATAGATCTAATGCTGGAAAGGGACCTTGGAGGACATCAAGTCTAACCCCCTCATTTTATAGGAAACAAGTCCAGAGAAAGGTCAAGGGACTTGTCCAGGGTTAGTAAGTGTGTGGCAGGGCTGGTAGTATGCAGTAGATGAAGTGCTGGGCCTCGTGTTGGAATGACCTGAGTTCACTATTTTTAAAAAAAATTGTTTTTAAATTTTTAGGCAATCAGGGTTAAGTGACTTGCCCAGGGTCACACAGCTAGTGTCAAGTGTTTGGTCTGGGGTTGAATTTGAACTCAGGTCCTCCTGACTTGAGGTCCAGTGCTCTATCCACTGCACCACCTAGCTGCCCCAAGACCTGAGTTCAAATCCAGCCTCAGACACTCACTACCTGTGTAACCCTGGGCAAGTCACTTCACCCTGTTTGCCTCAGTTTCCTCATCTGTCAAATGAGCTGGAAAAGGAAATGGCAAACCACTCCATGATCTTTGCCAAGAAAGCCCCAAATAGGGTCAGAATTGAACAAGGGCTGGAACTTGGGGTCCTCCTGATTCTAAGCACTATCCCCCTTTAGGGACTTATATTCTATCCTAAGGATGCAACTTGTACTCAAACTGAGAAGGGCTAGAGCAGACAGGAACAACACAGGAGGAGGAGAAGCTCTGGGAAGTTCTGGGAGGAGGTGGCTTATCCTTGAGCTGGGTGAATAGTTTAAGAAGTGCAGGTGAGGAAGGAAGAGGAGTAAGTACACGGAAGCCGCAAGTAGGACAAGAGAATCCGAGCTGTCCCCAGCAGGGCCCTTGGTAATCTAGGGCAGAGGCTGCCCTTCTCAGGAAAGGCATAGGGCTCGAGCCTTTCGTCAGCACCCCCAGACCCCTGCAGGGGCCTTCCTGACATGAGCGCCTTGGCCCCATCTGGTCTCCATCATCATTCCCAGACTCATCTCCCACCCTGAGACCGGCGTTCGGGGGGGGGGGGGCGGGAGGCGGGGTTGGGAAGGAGCGCCATGTCCTGTGACCCGCGTCTACCCCTCCACTAACACCCTGCCTGACCAAGTATCCCCAAACGACTCTCCCAGACTCCAAGTTTCAGAGAGAAGGGGAGTTTCCTACCCTAGCAGTTCCCTCTGCAAATGAGATCGCGGGTCCACCCCCATCTCCTGCATTTAGCACGCTTTCTGGGTGACGCACGCATCCATCTGCTCGTGTGTATCCAACACCCCCCTCCCCCGACTGGGAGGCCCCTCAAACAGGTCAGGTGTGTCCACGCTTGGCATTCTCCCCAGTTTCTAGCTTGGATTTCTCTGCAAGAAACAAGCAGCTGGAAAGTTGTCTTTTGGAAGTGAATTTGAGCCCACTAATCTCTGTCTACTGAAGAGATCTCTGAGTCCCAACTCCTCACTGGATGGGAAATTCCCCCGTGCCCAAGGTCACCCAGGCAATAAGTGTCAGAAGAAGGATTTGAACCGAGAGCTCTGTCCACTGCCACATCAAACTCATCTGACCACAGGCTAGTCTTAGGATCACAGCTGGAGCTGGAACCACCTAGTCCAACCCACTTACTTTACAGACGGGGAAACCGAGGCCACGGGGGAGGAAGGGACTTTAAAGAGTCACAGATGGAGAGCTTGAAGGGGCTTCAGAGTCTAACCCATGCATTTTACAGAGGGGAAAACCGAGGCCCGGGTGGGGCAAGCGACTTTACAGGGTCACAGGTGGTAAAGCTGGAAGAGGCTTCAGAGTCCAACCCACTCATTTTACAGAGGGGGAAACCGAGGTCCGGGCAGAGGAAGGGACTTTATAGAGTCGCAGATGGAGAACTGGAAGGGGCTTGGAGGCCACCGAGTCTAGCCCTTCATCTCAGAGGGGAGCAGAAATGAGGCTCCAGGCCTGGGCACAATTTTGTTCAAGGTCATTTAGACAGGTAGTGAGGAACCCAGCCCCGAGCAGGATCCCAGGTCCTGCCCGAGGCGACCTCGGGAGTCAGACAGGAGTAGGGTCTGCCCCCTCCCCCCGACGTGACGTGACAGACGAAGAAATTGAGCCCCAGCCCCGGGCCCCTCGGGTCTCCGAGTGGGGTCAGAGATCATCAGTCTGCCCCCCCCACCCCGGCCCCCACTCCCCAGCACATTTGGTACATCTGGCGCTCGTTCTGGCCCGGCCGCCGGCCAGGCCTGGCTCACCGTGGGCCAGCACGCACGTGGAGCACCACAGCCAGAAGCAGCCCCAGCCCGCGACGCCCCGGACCATCTCGGGCCGGCCGGGGGACACTCCCTTCCGGGGCCGCTGCCGCCGCCTCCGCCGCTGCCGCCGCCTCCGCCGCTACCGCCTTCTCTTCCAGACCGCGCGCCCCTGACAGCTGCTTCGGTTGACCCGCCCCTGGCCCCCGCTGCCTACGCTCATTGGCCGGGCCAGGGGAGAGACCTGATTGGGAAAAACGCCCGTTGATAGACCGCCTCCTCCCGCCCCTTCCACTTTATTGGTTAACGAGGAAGGCGGCTAGGGCTGTTTGGGTCCAATGCCTTTCGATATCTTCTGTTCCCGCCTCCCGCCCCTACCTTCTTTTACCGATCTCCTACGCCCTATGTTCATTGGTGGCAACGAGGAGCGTGGATGACAGCCGATTGGTGGAAATGGCTGTCAATAGCCTTGTCATTTTGGCGTCTGCCCTAGCCGATGCCCCAATTGGGGAAAGGGAGCGGGGCTAAGATCTGATTGGACCCAAGTCTCACCCTGGCTCCTCCCCCCCGCCTCTACAACTTTGTTCGGAATTACCAACCCATCCCCAATAAACAGGAAGCAGGAAATTGCGCCAGCGGCCCACGGGGCGGGAAAATAGATCTTTGGGCCTACCCAGTGGATCGCGTTTCTTCCGCTCTTTAAGATTCCCCGAGCATCTTGGAATTGGCCGAGGGGGCGGGGAGTCACCAGAGCGGTCCCTCCCTGGGTCAACGAGTTTGGAGGACTAAAAGCCTAGCGTGGAAGTTGTTGGCTAGAGATCCTCGGCGCGTGCCTCTTCCGCCTGCCCCGGTCAGTTACGCAGCCGTTGTACAGATGATGAGTGTCCTTACCCCAACTCCTAGTCCAGTGACACGTTGGTTCCCAGAGAATAGCTACAACTTCACCTCATGGTTCCAGGGGTACCCCTGGAGGATTGAGGTGTCTTTCTAATGCTATTGGCTGGAGCTCCCTTTCTGGCGTGTGATTAGCGCCCCAGTATCGTCTGGCCAATTAATACCAATGAGCTCTTACAGAGGGAGGCTTCCTATAAAGACGGAGTCCAGTCCCTTACAAAGCCCCGAAAAACAGAAGGATGGAAAGAAAATGCAAACAGAGGCAGCCCTTTCCCACGCATAGGCTTGCCCACGTGCTCACGGGCTGGCCAGGTGGGAGGAGGGACAGCACCTGTGCCCTCTTCACGTCTGCCCCGCACCTGGCCCTCCTGAGCTCGGAGACGTGTGTTTACAAATCTTGGCCAGCAAGAAGGAATGCAAAAAAAAAAAAATAGGAAGGAAGAAAGCGAGAGATTTAACCCTTGAGTGTCTTTTGGATACACATTCAGCTCAGCAGTCAATGAAGAGGCTTTCTTTGCATCCTCGCTCGTGAGGGACATCGGCCACAGAGTAGCCATGCATGCATGCTCTGAAGTCAGGGTCACCAAGGGTCCACCTGGGTTGCAGCAGGCGGAGAGATATTTGTAAAGTACTTAAAATGCTATACGATGTGTTCCAAAAGTTTAGTAACTTAAAACTACCCTAAGACTGTTGGGACACCTTATATAAATGTCCTCGGATGAAAGGATGTATGTGTATAATAAGATCTTAGATCTAGAGATGAAAAGAGACCTTGGAAATCATAGAGTCCAGCCACCTCATCTTAGAGGTGAAGAAACTGAGGCAAACAGGTAGTGACTTGCTCAGGAACTTAGAGCTAGTAAGTGTCTGAGGCAGGATTTGATCCTTGGTCTTCCTCTCTTTAACTCTAACCCACATTGCACCAGTTTGGAACAGCCATTGGAGTGAATGGGATAGCCAGTCAATTAGGGAGGAGTCAAAAGATCTCTTCTCTTCAGTGAAAGCTTGTAAGGACCCAATCACCACCCTTTCCTGACTTTTTCCAGCTCTGGTTAGCGGCAGGTGAGTGGGATGATTGGAGGCTGGCTATGAGAGTCATTCAGGGCTTGGCTCCAGCAAGGCACGAGTGGTGAAAGGACCAGAGAGCAAGAGATGCAAGCAAAGAAGACGGTGAGTTGTTCAACTGACTCATTAACGGATCCAGACTGCTAAGGGAAGAAACTGTCAGAGCTGGGGTGAAGGCCAATGAGAGTACTGATGCATCCAGGGATGAGAAGGCATCATGAGGATAAAGAAAGGGGGAATGAGGCACTGGAAGACATGGAATGAGAGGAGAATATGGTAGATAGAGGAATTTCAGTTTTTGACCATGGGATGGTGTCCCAAACCTCAGATACTCAATAGCTGTGTGACCCTAGGCAAGTCAATTAACCCTGTTTGCCTCAGTTTCTTAATCTGTAAAATGAAGTGGAGAAGGAAATGCCAAATCACTCCAGTATCTCTGCCAAGAAACCCCCCCAATGGGATCACAATTGAAACAACTGAACAACCCAAAACTCTCAGAGTTGTTGTGAGGATCAAATGAGATAATATTTGTAAAACATTTTCCAGTTCAAAGCCCTATATAAGTGTGAGTTATTATTACTACTATTATTATTATTATGGATGGTCTAGTCTCTTAGTCTCATAGAACTTTAGTTTCCTTATCAGTAAAATGAGGATAATAATAACACCTACCTCCTGGAGAAGATAGAAGGCAGTTAGCACAATGAGGCATCGGACCTGGAGTTAGGAAGGCCTGAGTTCAAATTTAACCTTAATTACCAGCTGTATGATCCTGGGCAAGTCTTTTAACCTCTGTCAGCCTCCATTTCCTCATATGTATAATGGGGATAATCATAGCACCTATCTCCCAGGGTTGTTATAAGGATCAAATGTGATAATAATTGTAAATCATTTAGCATAATGCTTGGCACCTAGTAAGTGCTTAATGTTTATTTCCTTCCTTCCTCTTACCTGGACTATTAAAATGGCCTCCTAGTTGGTGTCTCAATCTCTTCCCCACTCTAGTCCGTCATTCACACAAGCTGCCAAAAATGATTTTTCTAAAGCTGGGTCTGATTATGTCATTTTCCATTCTTTTTCTCTCTTTCCCTCTCCCTCCCTACTTCCCCCTTCCCCTTCTCCTGCCTGTCTGTTTCCCTGGCCTCCTTCAGAATTCAGATTAAGTGTCTCTTCTCCCCCTCCCATCCCCCAGCAGCTAATGCCTTCCCCTCCAAGATTATCTCCCATTTATCTCTTTTATATAGGTTATGTGTAAATCTAAATATGTACATGTTGTTGTCTCAGTATGTGCAGGACCTCACTTCGAAACAGTTCTGACTTTGGAGTCAGAAGCCATAGGTTAAAATTCCTCTTGTGACATTTGCTATGTCACATATCATTGGGTAGATTACTTCAACCTCATTGGCCCAAGTTTCATCTTTTAAAATGAGTTCAACTAGATTAGGCTCAGGTGAGGGGCTCCTAACTTTTTTTTTTTGGTCCTGAATCCCTCAGGCAGTTTTGTGAGCGTATGGACCCCTTCAAAATCATATTTTTAAATGTGTGAAATAAGATACCTAAGATTACAAAAGTAATCAATTATGTTGAAATATAGTTATCAAAGTAGTAAAAAAATTTGTTGACCCAGCTTAAGAATAACAATAATGATAGCTTTAACAAATTGTGGTACATGAATGTAATGGAATATTATTGTGCTGCAAGAAACAATGGATATCATGAATACAGAAAAGTGTGAGAAGACTTACACAAAGTGATGCAGAGTGAAATTAGCAGAGCCAAGGAAACAATGTAAATAATGGCTACAGTGTAAAGGGGAAGAGCAATAATGGTGAAAAAAATCAAAAGTGAATGTTATAAAATAACAAAGAACAAGCAAGGCCCCAATGGAGAGAAGACACCTAAGGTCCATTGGGGTGAAACATTGTATATGTTTCTTTTTTGATCAGTTTTGTTGATTGCTTTTTCTTTTCTTTCTCTTTTTCCTTAAAAATTATTTTTTGTTATAAGATGGCCAGGGGTAGAAGTAGAGGGGTAAATTTAGGCGATGTAAAGCAAAACCTATGAATACAAATTTATTTTTTAATAGAGCCCCTGCTTTAAATCTAGGCATTCCTAAGTAAATGATAGCTCACATTTATTTGATGAGTCGAGGTTTGCAAAAACTGAATATACATTGTGTCATTTCAAATCTTGCGATAATCCTACATGATGAAAGCTCTTCCTTTTCTCCATTTTACAGATGAGCAAGACTGAGGCTCAGGAAGGTGGGGTGACTTTGCCCAAGGTCACATACCGACTAAGTATCAGAGGCGACACTTGAACTCAGATCATCTTGATCCCCTGGACTAGCCCTCTATTGGCTGCATGAACCATGCGACCTCCAAACAAGGAGGTTATCCAGGCAACATGTTTTTAAAGTTAAGTTTAAGGTTTTCCCAATATCTCTTAATTCTTAATTCTCTTAATTATTTATTTTGTATAATTGCGTAATGTAATTATCTAGTTTATTATTTAATTATTCTCTTATTTGTTTACTTGTTTTCTCCATTAGATTGTGACCTCCTTGAGGGCAGGGACTGTCTTTTACTTCTTTTTGCATCCCCAGCGCTTAAAACAGTGCTTGGCATATAGTCATCATTTAATAAATGATCACTGATGTATTTATTTATTGAAATGGTTTTTTTTCAATTTTCAAGCATTTATTTTTCTCCCTCTCTCACCTCTGCCCACCCCCGAAAAAAAAGAAAAGCAAAATCCTTGTAACAAATAGGTATAGCCGAGCAAAACAAATTCTCATAACTGGTCACATCCAAAAATTGAGTCTCTTTTTGCATATTTAGTCTAGGAAAGAGATTCCAGGTACCCGCTCTTGGCCTGTGGAGACTCTCCCTCCCCAGCTGAGGAGGGCGCGCGCCTGGAGGCCCGTCGAGCCCTTCTTTCCCTCCCTCGCCGACTCTATGGCCGCTCCAACCTTAGCGCCGCCCGAGGGCCCCGCCCCTTGGCTCAGCGCGCCCAACGGCTCAGCGCGCCGAAGGTTCTGGCCCGCTGTCGCGCGCGAGGCATTGTGGGCCGCTGGAGGCTGCCAGAGCGCGCAGAGGAGTGGGCCGCCGGAGGGCTCCCGATTCGCAGTCCAGGATGATGGTGAGTGGCCGCCGGCTCTATCCGTTGCCATCCGCGTCGGGGCGCCTGCTGGGCGGCCGAGGATCGTCCCCAAGGACGCCGCTGCGTCCTTCGGGACCGCTGTAGCGGGGCCAGGGCACCCGCGGCGCAATAGCCGCGCTCGGGGCTCACCGTCGGGCTGGGGCTTGGCGCAGCCTCTGGAGCAGGGGCAGGGGCTAGGCCGCGGGCGGGAGCCGGGCATCCTCGCGGTGCCGCGGCCGAGCGGGGAGGGCAGGCCCCAGCGCCACCCGGGCCGGCTCGGGACTCGGACTCCCAGCATGCCCGGAGGCTCGGCCTAGAAGGAGCTGCTGGGCCCCGGGCGCGGGGCATGCTGGGAGTTGTAGTCCGGGCGGGGCCACGGCGTGGATTCCACGAGGGTTATTAAAGAGTTAATTGTGCCGAACCCGAGGGAAGCTGTGGAGTTGCAGAGATACCGTGGAAGAAACTGAGGCTCAGAGAGGGAGGCGAAGGCCCTGGCCTTGCTCCCACCTCTGTGAGTAGAGCGCCGGGGGTTCGAACCGGGGCCCGCGGAACGCTGGCCTCAGTCTGGTCATGTGAATTCTGCTCCAGGAGGAAGGGGTTCCACCAAGGTTGCAGCTGTCACGGGATGTTAGCCGGCTGCCTCGGTGCGTCCATCTAATCGGCATTTATAGAGCGCTTCTGTGTGCCAGATACTTAGCTCTGATGCCCTCCAGGAGCTTACAGTCCAATGATTCGTTCATTCATTCATTCCTGCTCACACAGTCCTCATTCTCCTTGACCTTTTGGTCACTTGGATTTAGTTATTTCTGTGGAGATGGTTCTCATATCTTTGGATCCAGCTTTCATTCGTTCCTCCAACAAATATCCCCCCTCCCCTCTTTTTTAAATCTCCGCTGTGTTGGTTGCTGTGCTAGGGAAATAGAAAAATTCCTCAAGGAGCTTACATTCTTTGTGGGGAAAGTGATAGTAGATAGTATAAGGTTTTCGAAGAGTTTTGCAAAAGTTATCTCCTTTCATTCCTCACAAATCCCCATTTTACAGATAGGGAAACTGAATCAGGCAGTGGGTAAGTGAAGACTCCAGGTCTAGGACTCTGACCCACTCTACCAGCTAACTGCATCTGATATACCTGTAAACCTGTGGTATTCCCTCCTACAAATACATAACACTGTCCAGTATATCTGCTACCTAGCTGCCTCTTGAAATGTAAACAGATAAGTATTTACAAAATAGTTCCAAGGGGCTTTCTGGGTGCAGAGAAGAGGAAAGAGCGTTCGGAATGGTTCAGGGTAAGGCTTGGCATCTGAGCTGGCCCTCAAAAGGGAGCAGAGAATTGGTGGGGGAAGCACTTCAGGATGGCTCCCCTTGATTTCTCCATGTGTTGCCTCACCCCCGGATTGGCCTGTCTCTTCCATTGAGGGCCCCACTGTCCCAGCTGGCCCCCTCTGGGACGACAGATCACTTAGAGCCTGAAAGTTCAATCAACCATCCAACAGGCCCAGGTGAGAGCAGTCCAGAGGAAGAGAAAAAACCCAGGCCAGTAGCAGGGAGGGACTTTCTTGGGACTTGGAGCCTCCTGCCTAGTTCTGCCAGTGTCCTCAATCCCTGCAGGCCCTCACTGCTGGGTGCCACAGGTGCCATCTCATCCCTCCCTTCTCTCTCCTTGCCTTCAGTGCCTCCTGTCTCTGATCCATCTTTCATGCAGCTGATGTGAGACTATTATGAGGCACACTAGATCCCACCCAGACCTTCACTGCCTCTCTATTTGCCCCCCCCATCTGGCCTCAGTCTTCCTTTCCAGCCTTAGCTCACGCTTCTTCATCCACTTGACATCACGTGGGTGAAAAGTGGAGCTTTTGTCCCCCCTCTCCACAGGCCGAGAATGGCCTTTTATTCTTCACCTGCCATTCAGGATCCTAATCTTCCCTTAGGCCAGGACCTCACTTTCCCTAAAGCCCCTAGTCTGACCTCACCTCCTTTTTCCTTCTGAGTACTTGGGGCCAGCCCAGTCTCTGGGGAAGGGGAGCACCTTGAGACCAGGACGTTTTTTTTTTTCTTTTTTGTCTTTTTATCCCCCAGTGCCCAAGAGCCTCCTGTACAAAGTAGGCATCTGATGTATATTGAAATATGAACATAGGGGCAGCTAGGTGGCGCAGTGGATAGAACACCGGCTCTGGATTCAGGGAGACCTGAGTTCAAATCTGGCCTCAGACACAACACTTACTAGCTGTGTGACACTGGGCAAGTCACTTAACCCCCATTGCCCAACAAAAAAAGAAAAAAGAAAAAACAAAAAGAAATATGAACGTGGATCTAAGGAATTGGCTTCCCGCCTTGTTTTCCTGCTCTCTGACCCCTTAGAGGTAGGAGTCACTCAACCTCTATGCCTCAGTCTGCCCTCATCATCAATGGACATAATAGTCACTTGCCCTCCGTGGCTCTTTTTTGTTAACCATAAAGTGCTTTACAATTGCAGAAAAGAGAAAAACCTCAGGAGACATGGAAACAAACAGGACACTTAAAAAAAGCTACCTTATTTTTATTGACCACTTTTGTATTTATATCCCTTTGTTTCCAAATATTTCCTTCCTCCCCTCTCCACGGAGCCATACCCTGTGACAAAGATTTAAAAAGAAAGAAAAAAGTAATTCTGTAAAAGCACATGATGACCATACCTGCATGTGCTCCATTCCTGTGTGGGATGCCCTTCCCTTGGTGCACACACTGCCCCTGCCCCCCCCACTCCCCTGTACCCCTCAGCCCCCAGGCCATACCTGCAGTACAGGGAGGGAAGGTTGGGTTCTCAGAGTCCAGCGTGGCCATTATAATTGTGTAGCATTCATGAATAGCTGTCTATTTAGGCTTTTGTTAAATTAATATAGGTATTTTAATAAACTAACCGATATGAGGGAAAGTGCTTTGTGATTGAAAACAGGTCTGTTGTGTAATTTCCAAGGTGCCACATGTACTGGCCTCACTTGCCCCTTTTGCACCTATGCAACACACTTGGTGTGTACGGTTGGTAGCGTGGCTTAACTCTGTCTGGCTTGTTTTAGATTGTAAGCACACTCAGCATGCCGGCATATGCTTAATAAATGGATTTTTCTGTTTTGATGATTGGGTAAGAGGCCCCAGGTTCTTGACTTCTATAAGTCACAGAATCACCCTGGGTTGTCAGTCAGCAGGCCGCCAGAGCACAGCGTCGAGGCTGGGTGGGATCTCAGCCACCCCCTCAGTATGGGCCAAGGCTCTGCAGATCCAGTTATGCAGCAAACCTCCCTTCACTTCTACAGACCGAATCATGTCTGACAGACATATGGACGGCTTTTTAAAATGTGTCAGTGTTCTGATCAGTAAAATACCAGTTCATTTAAAAGTGTTATGAAATTCAGTGTAACTATTTGTCATGGTATATTTTCTCAATTAACAGATACCACTAGAATGGTGACGTAATGTGGAAGTCTTTGACATTTTTTGTCCCCCTTCTCAAGATGGTGGGAACCTCTGCCTTAGAGATCTTTGGAGGGGAAAGCGCCATGAAGGAAAGCTACGTTAAAACAGGTCACAGAATACAGGATCCAGGTGATAGAGCCTTCCTGGCGTCTGCCCCGCCAGGCTGCACTGGGGGCCAGTAGGGCCAGTTCTGGGCACCACAGTGTAGTTAGGACATTAATCTTCTGGACACAGTGGTTGAAAGGGATGTTTAGACTGGGGTAGAAGAGACTAGAGAGATGAACCCATTCTCGCCATCTTGCAGATGAGGACTAGATGGGTTCTCCTTGATGCCGGATGGAAGGTGCTCGGTCTGCAGATTTCTGCGCCAGCTAAAGCTGAGGAAAGGCTTCCTGACGTGGTCTAGACTTCGAGGCCACCCTGGGAAGGACGGACCTCCTCTCAAGGGGGGATGCAGAGGGAATTACCGGTGCAGTGTGCATTGGACCACTTGGCCCCTGACAGCTTTTCCAGCTCAGAATCTCTGGTTCTCTGACTTGTCCAAGGTCTGTCCAAGGCTCCTGCTGTTCTCCATCCCCACCTTCTCCATTGGCTGCCTCACTATTGGCCTGACCATCTTTGCTGCACTTGACCCAGGCTTAGAGCCTTTGCTGGTGGCCTAGGCAGTCGGGGAGGGGTTGGGGAGGGCTGGAATTCCTGGCCTGCCTTTCTTCCTGGATCTTTCCTCTGCCCGCTTAAAGCCAGAGCCAGCACTCGGGGCAGCTTCTGCTGAATGGCACCCTCAGTGGTGTGTGACTTGGGGTCACTGTGGGAGCTGTGACAGAGAAGCCAGACAGCATGCCACCAGGAGCCCTCTCAGTCACTCAGCAGGCTTTTAGGAAGTGGCCCCTTGGAGTTCATGGTGTCAGAGGCCAGTCAGAAGCTGAGCCTTGAAGAGGCTCATGATTTGGCCAGAAAACAACAGCAAAGGGCAATAGAGAAAGCTGTCTCCAAGACTTAATTTCTCCAGCCAAGCCTTCCTTAGAGAACCCAGCCTCAAGCCTCGTCTAGGCCAGCTCATAGGGGGTCTGTAAAGTGAGGTTCTCCCCTGTTTGAGGGGACCCTTCTGGAGGGCAGGGATTTTTCTCATTGGGGCTCGATGTCTCCAGTACCTGGCCCATGGAGGATGGGGACATCACCTGTGATTTCACTGGTATCGGAGAGTCCTAGCTGGGCAGCTTGCTCCTTTTCTCTTAAAGAGTTGCCTACCCTGCAGTGAGGGTAAAGGTACTTTTCTAGGGTCCTACAGTCTGCATGTGTCACAGGCAGGATTTGAATCCAGGTTTTGTACCTTTTGAGGCCTGTTCTTCTGCTAGGCTGCATTGCCTCTCTGACACATAGTAATATGTTTAATAAATGCTTGTTAAGTGAATTTCTTAGGTCTCTTACCACTTTAAATCCCAGGGAAGCCCTGATTTGCTTATGAGGAAAAATGTCTTGGGAGGGTAGCCTTGCCATCCATCCTCAGTGCTGGGGTTTCATCTTGATTTGTACTCTGGGGACTCCAGACACTTCTTGGTTATTTCTTCTCATCTGTGGATAATGTAGAATGCTGTTTAGCCAGCAGTGAGGGGCTCCTTACTGGGGGGAGCTTTGTGGTGTCAGCTTGCAGTGGCATCCAGACTGAGGGGTTTGAGCAAGGGCCCTGAGCTACAGACAGTTTGCTTTGACTGTCCCTCACCCCCCACTCTGCAGCTTCCAGCTGGTTACCATTTCTTGGCCCTGCTGAGGGCATCTTGTCTAAACATCCCTGAAACACACCTGAAGCCTTTGGCACTGAAGGCTCTCACTAGGGCCCCATCTGCTCCTCTGACTGAACTGTGATGTCGAGACAAGCGACCGTTCCATCCAGGGACCTGAACGGACAGAGCTTCCTTCTTTCTGCTTCATTCCAGTGTCCTGATTCTTCCTGAAGGCAGTGCTGGCTGGATGGAGTTGGGCTCTTTTAACGGAGTTGGGGAGTTGTATTTAAATCTTTTTAAAAAATGATTTTAAAATTCAACTTTAAAAAATTTCATTTCCAAATTCTTTCCCTTTCCTACCCTTTGGGAAGGCAAGAAAAACAACCCATTACGAGTAAGTGTAGTCACTGTGTCTACTGTTTTGGCTGATCACACTTGCATATATCGAAAGGAATGGTTGAACATAATCCCTGGCCCATTGTCTCCCTTTCCAGCCCACGCCGGTTATCCTCCTGAAGGAGGGAACGGACAGCTCCCAAGGGATCCCTCAGCTTGTCAGCAATATCAGCGCCTGCCAGGTGATTGCAGAGGCTGTCCGAACCACCCTGGGGCCCCGAGGGATGGACAAGCTCATTGTCGATGGCAGAGGTGAGTCTGGGCTCCACTTTCTTCCTGGCTTTTGGAGATGAGTAGAGGCCACCATGGACCTCCCATTCTCAGGGTGCAGGTAGAGCTCATTTCATCCGGTTACTTTAGAGGACGATGGATGGTAGGAAGGAAAAACCTTGCACAGAGGACAGAAAACTCAGTCAGACAGTGAACCAGTACGGGGGCATAGATGGAGGAAGTGTAAGATGTTCTCAGAATGGGAAGGTTAGTGTTGGGGAGAGAATCTGGGAAAGCTCCTTGGAAGGGGTGGGGCCTGAGCTGGGCTTACAAAGAAGGGAAAGAAAAGAGCAGGGAAGGCTTCTCTAATCAAGTGGGGGCTGGGCAGGAATGAGCAAGGTTAGCATAGGGGACAGTGAGGAACCCACCTGGGCTGATGTCAGGGGACATAGGCAGCAAGCAGTTAGTAAGGGTCTCCTACCATTCGCCAGGCCATTGTTGGTTTGAAGGGGCCATGGGAGTGTCCATTCCTCCAGGTGACGCTCAAGGCTGTGCCCTGGGCCACCTTTGCTTCTTCTCTAGGCTGTTTTCCTTGGGGATCTCATAAGCTCCTGTGGATTCCATTATCTCTGTGCTGGGGAACCTCCAGTCTGCCTGTCCTGCCCCAGACTTTCTGCTGACCCCCAGTCTGGCATTTCCAGCTGCTTTTTAGACGTCCGAAATTGAACGTTCTGTAAACACCTCGAACTCCTCGTGTCCAAAACTGCCCTCCTGAGCGCCCCCCCCCAACATTTCCCTGGTCCCTTTGGAGTCCTCCTTGACTCCTCCTTCTCTCCCCCCACCCCCATCCAGGACAGTGCAGCTCCGGATATTTGAAGACCTTCCTTCCGCTCTGTGTTCATTTTATGTGTCGTGTCTCTCCCATTAGCCTGGGCGGTCCAGTGGGCAGAGACTGTGTTTGCCTTTCTTTGTGTTCCCAGTTCTTAGGGCATGGCATGGTGCATAGCAACTGCTTAATAAGTGCTTGTTGACTGACTGAAAGGGACCAGAAAGAGTGTCACGCCCGGCCCTCTCGTTTTATAGGGGAGGAAGTGGGCTGAGGAGGGTAGGGCATGCCTGGGGTCATGTAGCTAGTAGTGTAGTGACTGAGGTAGAATTTGAATGCAGGGCTCCAGGTAGGGAGGGTAAAGAGGGCATCAGCTCCCCTGTGTGTGTTCTCAGACAGGCCATGCTGCCTGGCAGTGGGAGCTGCTAGAGGCCCATCTGGGTGGGGGTACCCCCAGGGCACTGAGGAGGGGGACAGCACAGCCACAGGTATGGGGATGGGGAGAGCCCTTTGCAGACCCCGAGCTCTTCATCTACAGTGCTGGCTGGCTGGCTCCCTGCACACTTGGCCTGGGGGCTGTGCTTTTCCAGAAGTTGGAGGCACCTTCTCTGGGTTCTGGCCAGCATAGCTTTAGAGCTGGAAGGGACCTTAATGACCATTTACAGAGGAGGAAACTGAGGCAGATGGAGGTGAAATCACACAGCTAGTGAGGGTCAGAGGTGGGATTTGAACCCAAACCTGGTGTTCTCTTCACTGTGATTGTCCAGCTCCTCTTGGCAACGCGCCCTGCAGCCCCTTCCTCCAGCCCCATGGCGTCCACTGGGATTGCTGTTGGTACACGAAGCCCGGGGTGGAAGCTGTAGGGGATGGTCCCTCCTTGTCTGGCGATGAGTCTCTGCACTTGTGAGGTGCAGACAGAAATTGCTGTAGGAATGGGTGGCCCGGCACTCAGTTTGGACTTGGGACTGGAGAGTGCTGGTGCTGGTGAGGCTCGGACTGTATGGGGTGGGGCAGGGACGGCTCTTTAGACCCGGTCCTTCAGGAGCCTGTGATTGACAGACAAGCTGTCCTGTCAGCTGCTCTGGCAGGTCAGAGGGCAAGGAGATCCTGGGTCATCTGGGGTAGGTGGGATACAGTGGGAGAAAATGGCCTAAGCCCACCAACATTCCTTCCAGGCAAAGCAACGATTTCCAACGATGGTGCCACGATCTTGAAGCTCCTGGACGTTGTCCATCCTGCCGCCAAGACGCTGGTGGACATTGCCAAGTCACAGGATGCTGAGGTGAGGGAGCCAGCCTGGGGGAGGGGCAGGACAGTGTCTGGATACCACCCCTGTTGTGGGGGGGAGGGGGGGGCAAGGGGTGATTTTCTGTCACATCCAGAGTCCTGGACGACTCCTTCAATGAACAGGCAGCTATTAAGTGCCTACTGGGTGCCAGGCACTGAGCTGATGCGGGAACAACACCCACCCCACCCCCGAGGCCTAGAAAGCTCTTCCCCTGCCTCTGGGTTGCCTGGTTGGTGCCTGTTAATTGTTTCTGTTAAAAGGAATTATTTGTAAACAACTGAATAGAGATGCAAGCACTAGGCTTCAGATCCTGCCTGTGACCCTGTATAAGTCACTCTCCTCTGTGGGTCACATGAGGGGCTCAGACCCTATAGCCTCCAGGGTCCTTCCAGCCTTTGCTCTGGGGCCCTAACTGGGCAAGGTGGCGTAGGGGTGGATGCCCCTTGAACTTTGGGAATTAAGTCATTCTGTGGCTGCAGGTTGGTGATGGGACCACTTCAGTGACTTTGTTGGCGGCAGAATTCCTGAAGCAAGTGAAATCCTACGTGGAGGAAGGCTTGCACCCCCAGATCATCATTCGGGCTTTCCGCACAGCCACACAGCTGGTAGGTGAAGCCTGGACCACGCTGGCCGGGCCTGAGGCTTGGTGTCTTTTCTAGGATAGAAGACACTTTGCTAGCACCACAGGTAGGTAGCTCCTGATCCCCCAGACCCAAGGTGGTCTCCCCCCCCCCAGGAGCCTGGGACCTCCGTGGAGGTGGTAGACAGGTGGAACATGAGGTGGGAGCCAGGAGACCTGTGGGCTAGGCCTGACCTCTCTGTGGGGCCTGGGGCAAGTCAGCTCCCTTCCAGAGCTGAGACCAGGTTGTGAGGGAAAACACATGGAATCGCAAAGGCCTTTGAAGTCGATTCGGAGCCTGTAACTGCCTGTGCCTGGAAGTCCCCAGTCATGGCCCTCAGCCTTTGGCGTCCGCCTGGCCTCCAGCACAACAAGCGGGGCAGGGCCTTGAAAGGCCATTCATTTGTGGGATGAGTGAGAAGCAGCTTCCTTGGGGAAGCAGGGCCTCACTTAATCTGCAGCCTCAAATGAAGCGGCTTTTTTCCTTCTTGGCAGGCAGTTAACAAGATCAAGGAGATTGCTGTGACCATAAAGAATGAAGACAAGGAGTAAGTCAACATGGTGCCTAGGTCCCAGGCTCCTCCCGGGCAGGTCAGATGCAGAAACATGTTGTTGTGGGCCTGGGGCTTTTCAGCTCCTGTGGTGCCCTAGGAAGAAGCCCAGCCTGAGCCAAGTGCCAGAACATGGGCTTTAGTTAATGGGTGTCCCAGGGACTCTTGGGCCCACAGGCACCATCTGTCCCTAGTAATAGGTTTGAAAGGTGGATTGGAAAGGGTTGGCGGGAGGATGGGAGGGGAGAGGGGGCAGGGCTTGCACAGGAAGGTGGCCCTCGAGGGCCTGCTACTGACTGCCTGTGTGTGCCAGGGAGCAGAGGCGGCTGCTCGAGAAGTGTGCCATGACTGCGCTGAGCTCCAAGCTGATTTCCCAGCAGAAGGCAGCTTTTGCCGTCATGGTGGTGGACGCCGTTATGATGCTCGATGACTTGTTGCAGCTCAAGATGATTGGCATCAAGAAGGTTCAGGGCGGTGCCCTGGAGGTGAGTGCTGCTGCCCTCAGCCCCACAGAGGCCTGACACCGGCCCCCGTAAAGGGTCACATCCCTGGGAGGCTCTGTCAGTGGTGTCATCTGGGCTCTCCTAACTGGTGATATTTGAAAATCCTGCTAAATGAATTAGTTATGTTTTGGTATGGTACCTCAATGGGTAACTTGGCTGGGATGCCAGGGTTTGTTTTTGGGGAACAGGGCTCTCTGGATCACTTCTGACGAGGCCACCCTGCTTGGTAGATGCAGCGCCAGGGCCTCTCCTGTAATGGCTGTGCCATTGTTGGCACCATCTTTGAAGCAGTTTGCCATGTCAGATCACCTGGCTTATCCTGAACTTGAAATGACAGTGCTGGAGTGCTTGGATCCAGACAGCCCTATGCGCTCCGGGGGCAGCCGGCCAGCCGCCACCTTTGCCGGGCAGTTGGCCATCAGAGGTCGCCTGCGGGTGAAATCACTTTTGTCAGAGAATGGCATTGATGCTTGGGAGAAGAGAAAAGGCAGTTTCTCTTGGAGTGGGTAGTGTTGGACCGAGTTGTGGAGGGAGACCTTGGAGGTAGTCTCGGTTGTAAGGGAGGAAACCAGCTTTGGCCAGAGACCAAGATGGCAGAGGAGAGGCTTCTTGTGCCCTCACCATGGGCTACACTGGCTGTTTTACTGTGATTGGAAAGAGGAAGCGTCATGTACTGGTGGGCATCGAGTGGTCAGGAAGACTACAAGCCATTGAACCTGGAGGAGACTCACGTGGCTCCCTAGAACTTTTCTCTGAAACTGTCTTCCCCACATCGATGGAACCTGAGGGCTCAGGGTTCTTCTTGTTCTGATGCCATTTTATTTTCAGTTCTGAATTCCCCCCCTCCCTCCTCATGGAGAAGGCAGGAATAACAGAGGCCATTTCAGAGATGTACATCTCACAGAACAGATTTCGGCATTAGCCACATCCAAAAAAAGAGAGAGGCAGAGAGAGGAGAAAATAAGCTTCATTCTGCCCTCTAAGTCCATCAGCTCTGTCCCTCGCGTCTTTTAGAGAAGAGAACCTAGCCGTAGAGGAGGGGTCCGAGTGAGCCGAGGAAGGGAGTCAGGCCTCCTGAGAGGGCCGTGGGCTGACCAAGCCTTTCCAGTGTTGAGCTCAGAGAGTCAGCTTAGTACCAGGCTCTGCCTGGTCTGGACAGAGGGTTCATTAAAGGAAATAAAACCAGGAACTTTGGATCGACCTGCCCAATGGCCATGGAATAGGAATGCTGGCCCAGAAAAGGATGGATGCCCACAGTGAGGAGGGTGGGATGTGGCCGGGGGAGGGGAAGTGGTTACTAGCCAGCAATCCCCCCAAGGCAGACATGCTTCCGGGCAAGGGAAAAAGATGAGATTTTGCTTTTTCTCTGTTTTAAGGAGAGAAATGCTTATTTGGGAGCACTTCAACAGACAGTAGATTTTTCCCCCCTAGGCAGTGGGGTTCAGTGACTTGTGCAGGGTCACACAGTTAGTAAATGTCAAGTATCTGAGGTTGGATTTGAACTCAGGTCCTCCTGACTCCAGGGCTGGTGCTCTATCCACTATGCCACCTAGCTGCCCCCCTAGATTTTTTTTAAAGGAAAAATATCTAATGAATGACTCACACTTACATGAATAAATTAATGAAATAATGTTTCCTAAAATAAAAATGTGATTATAAAGGGAAATAAGATCATTGCTATTTCCTTTGAGGTAGGACAGACCTTTCTAGACTATTCCTAACTAAGGGTTGCCTTACTCTTCAAGGAGAGAGATGGAATGTGGTCAATCAGTGTGGCCTTCAAGGTCACCCAGAGGCCTCCTGGGTGCCCTTAGTGGCTGCCTGTGGATCTGAATAAGTAGGTAGGTGGTAGTCGCTCAGGCCATGACTGGAGTGTGTGTTGTTTTGGGTATTGGGTTTTAGAAAAGACATTGAGAGGGGCAGCTGGGTGGTGCAGTGGCTAGAGCTCCGACCTTGGAGTCAGGAGGACCTGAGTTCAAATCTGGCCTCAGACCAAACACTTGACACTTTCTAGCTGTGTGACCCTGGACAAGTCACTTAACCCCAATTGCCCAGCAAAAAGGAAGAAAAAAGAAGAAGAAAAGACATTGAGAAGCCAACAGAAGTTAAGGAAAACCTCATCCAGAAGAAGAGCCAGGGGGTCCTGGTGGGGAGACATTGCTGAGACTCTGATTTATACGTGACTTATATGTGATTTGTACAGGAGAAGCATCCTGCCCATTTGAGGGACCCTCGTGGTTCAGGGGCTGCCTCCAGGGTGCCTGCCCAGGATTTCCTTCACGGGGGTCTTTAGGCAGAGGCCGGAGGACTGTTTGTGTGGGACGTGGTCCAGGGAATTCAGGGTGGCATGGCGTAGCTGGTCCTGAGGGAGTCTGTCCTCAGGGTTCTCCCCCGCACCCCCTGTGTCTACACAAACCAGCCCCAGCCTAACCCTGTCAACTTGCTTCCAGGAGTCGCAGCTGGTGGCTGGTGTTGCTTTCAAGAAAACGTTCTCTTACGCGGGGTTTGAGATGCAGCCCAAGAAGTACACCGACCCCACGATCGCCTTGCTGAACGTCGAGCTGGAGCTGAAGGCCGAGAAGGACAACGCCGAAGTCCGCGTGCACACCGTGGAGGTAGGCCTTGTGGGACGCGGTGGAGTCACCTTTGGGGCCAGGGGCTGGGCTGTCTCCGTAGCTAGTCAGAGCTGCGTCTCTGAAGGCTGCTCGGGGGCTTAGGCCGCTGGGGAAGGGAATTTGGGTGCTGGTTGCTAGGGATCCGCCCTCTTCTCTGGGGTCTCGTCTTTCTGTTCTGGCCTCTTGTTGGCTGGCCGTGAGCCCCTCCCAACTGTTCTGGGTGGCAGGAGGTGGCGAGCTGGGCCCTGGGCCTTTGTTCTTGCCTTTGGTTAGGATTACCAAGCCATCGTGGATGCCGAATGGAACATCCTATATGACAAGCTCGAGAAGATTTACAACTCGGGGGCCAAAGTTGTCTTGTCCAAGCTTCCCATCGGGGATGTGGCTACTCAGTATTTCGCTGACCGGGACATGTTCTGTGCCGGCCGTGTCCCCGAGGAGGATCTGCGCAGGACGATGATGGTGAGTGCTTGTCAAGGGCTCCATTTGGTCTCTAGGAGTCCAAGGGGGGCTGCTGGGAGGTTGGGGAGCCCAGCCTCCCCCTGTTTACCTCGTGACCACAGAGTCTCTGAGGCAGATGGCTGGTCCCTAGCTAGCTTTTCACAAGCCCCCAGCATGTTCATCAGCTCCTGCCTCCTTTCAGTTTCAAGATTGTACCCTGGGAATAAGCTCTCATTTTCTTATCATCCTTAGCAAGGTATAATTAGGGCAGGATGTCTGCTGTTCCCTAAAATCCTAAGGAAAGCCGTGGCCTAAGCCTTGTGCCAGGATCCGCTGCCATTGGTGGAGGGAGCGTCCCGAGCTGGCTACTCCCCATGCCCTTGGGAGCTGTTGGTCCTGGAGGCATCCACACAGCTGCTGGCTTTGGCTCCAAGGCAGAGCTCCCAGCAGCATGCTGAGCGAGCTTTTCCCATGGCTCTCTGAATAGTTTTTACTGGGCTCTCCCCTCCTTCAGTGGAGACATCTGTATTGTAGCTGCTGCCTTCACTTCTTAGATTGGGCCTAGTTGGCACAAGGACGGCTGGAGGAATGCCCTGGCTCTGCACTAGCTCTCAGGAGAGTGATTAGGTGAATGGGAGATCTTGCCCTGGCCTCCTTAAACCGTGATGCTTCCTCCCCTCCCCAGGCCTGCGGGGGCTCCATCCAGACCAGTGTCAATGCTCTGACCCCTGATGTGCTGGGCAGCTGCCAGGTCTTTGAGGAGACACAGATTGGAGGCGAGAGGTGAGCCTGCCTCCCATGGGGGCTTGGGTTGTGCTGGTAGGAGTTTGGTGTGGAATGTGCTGCAGTCAGCTGAGATGCAGGAAGCTCGTCTGTGTGTGCAAGGGGGGAATTGAGGGAGAGTGCCGAGGCGAGGTGCAGGGGGCAGTGAGTGGGCACGGGGGTCAATGAGCATGAGCTACAGGCTGGCTCTGAAATCCTGTTGCTGTTAGCATGCTGGGGTGGGCGGGGAGGCTTGTCCTGCTCACCAGAGCCTGGCGATTTGGGCCATGGGGAGGAGAGAGCTCTGGTAGAAGCATGCGGGTGTGCGTGCAGGAGGAAGGGGAGTGGGCAGAGGAATTAAGGGGGTCTCGTTTTGGGGCCCTCTCTCCCATCAGGTACAACTTCTTCACTGGCTGCCCCAAGGCCAAAACCTGCACAATTATCCTTCGGGGGGGCGCCGAGCAGTTCATGGAGGAGACGGAGCGCTCCCTCCATGATGCCATCATGATCGTCCGCAGAGCCATCAAGGTGCGTGGCCGGCTGGTGGCCGAGGCTTCCAAGGGAGACGGGGTGGGGGCGTGCCACTCTGGGAGATACGCAAGGAGCAGACAGTGAAGGCCTTGGACGTCTCTCCAGCGTCCTGGGGAATAGTTGGCAGCATCGGGTTGGCAGCGGTGTGCCTGGCTGGGTGGCGTGGTGACGACTGGGCGCGGGCTCGGCCCCCCCACCTCACGGCGGGCTCTGCCATCTCTGCAGAACGACTCCGTGGTGGCTGGGGGCGGAGCGATCGAGATGGAGCTCTCCAGGTACTTGCGGGACTACTCGAGGACCATCCCAGGCAAGCAGCAGCTGCTGATCGGGGCCTATGCCAAGGCCCTGGAGATCATCCCCCGACAGCTGTGCGACAACGCCGGCTTTGACGCCACCAACATCCTCAACAAGCTACGGGCCAAGCACGCCCAGGTGGGTCCTTGGTGCCGGCTGGGCGCCTCGGGAAGCGAGGGCTTCCTGGAGGCAGCGAGGCTTGGGCCCGAACTTGGGGAGGTCACAGAATCTTCCCAGGTGGACCCGCCACAACGTTGCCCTCTTACCTGCCTCTCTGAGGCCGTGGCCTGGTTTGTGTGGCAGTGACAGTCCCTCGTCAGTCAGGTGCCTTCAGTATGCCCAGAGGAACCATGGGGTGTGGTCCAGGTGTGGATTGCGTGCCAGGAGGGACTGCCTGGTGCTAAACTTGGGCGCCTCCCTGGTGCTTAAGGTATCAATGGACCGGGCCGCACGAGGGAGCCTTCTTCGGAGGCCTGGCCTCCGGGGCTGAGCCGCGTAGCGCCTGGTCGCTCTTGTGCCACTTGGGTCTCTTGTGGTTGATGGAGGGCCCCTCATCCTGTCTGTTTCAGGGTGGCATGTGGTACGGCGTAGACATCAACAACGAGGACATTGCGAGACAACTTTGAAGCCTTCGTGTGGGAACCCGCCATGGTCCGCATCAATGCCCTCACTGCTGCTTCCGAGGCCGCCTGCCTCATCGTGTCTGTGGATGAGACCATTAAGAACCCGCGCTCCACCGTGGACGGACCCCCCGTGGGCCGGGGCCGGGGCCGAGGACGTCCTCACTGAAGAAGGCCCTTCTGCCCCGCTCCGCCCCCGTCTGTCTGCAGGGCAGGCACGGTTAGTCGGTGTTGAGGGGCAAGAGGGGACAAATGCGCCTGGCTCGGTTCCCCTGGAAGGATATTTAAAATAAAACTCAAGACCTAGGTCGTTGTTGAGGGCGATTCTTTGGACCCAGTGCAGGGGTGGCTGCTCTGACGGCTCCCCGAGGATGAGCTGCCATCTCCCCTGATGGACCAGCCACCCCAAGGTGCGGCCTAGTTGTACCTGGGGGTTGGGATACGGCAGACCCAAGACCCTTCTGTCAAGGCTGGGGGTGTTTGCTGGCCTCGTCCAGTTGCCCTGGCCACAGCAGAGGCTGGGGCGCAGAGCTCAGGAGGCCCTTAGCTTGGTGGGAGGGAGAGTGGAGCAGGTGCATGGGGCTGAATGTGGGCGAGGGCTTTTTCCGGGGGCGCCTGAGGCTCCTAAGGCTCCTAGGAATTTGAGCTGTTAGAGAGAGTGTGTGTGAGTGTGTGTGTGTGTGTGTGTGTGTGTGCCATCATTTTACAGTGCTGAGGTGACTTGTCAAGGTCAAGTACTAGAGCAGAGTGACCCTGGTAGACTGGCCCTGTCTTCCCCCCCCCCGCAGGAGCTTGCCAGGAAGCTCTTGTATTTCTAAAGCTCCAGTGTCTCCCCTTTAGCCTAGGGGTGGGATCCTCCCTTCTGGGAGCTCTGGGGGGAAGCTGGGGGAGGGGCAGCCCTGAAGGGGCAAGGACCACAGCCCTTGAGAACACTGGGAGCGGCTGGGCTGCCTCTTGGGGATGGCTTCAAGTCAAGGCCGTCCGCCATGGCAGAGGAGGCCCGTTGGAACCCAACCTGGAGTTTCCTGGGATAGGGGCGAGTGGGGAAGTTGCCAGCCCTGCGTTTTAATCCAAATTCTAGGCCTGATGGTAGTTGGCCCATTTTGCTGATGGAATTAGAGAGGTGGTATGGCTTGTTTTGGGAGGCCTAGTGTCGGGGGGTCCTGGCTACCTAGCCCTTCTGCCTCTGGCCAGGCCAGTTGAGTGGACCGTTGGGGTCTGGTGCCACTGGAGGCCTTCTTCCTCCTCATCTCCAGCTAGAGCCTAGGCCTTGCCCTAATGCTTGAACACAGGTTGGGGGTCCCCCCCCCCCGGATGGGCCTCGCTCGCCAGGAGGGGAGCCCTTGGTCGTGGTCCTTCTGCTCCCAGAAAGGGGGCTGGTTGCTGGGGAGGGCCAGGCTCTTAAGGGGGGGCTCAGGGCTTCAGAGGGGAGAGCTGGAAGGGCTAGGTGTTTCCTCCTATCTTGCAAATAGGAAGTCACCAGGCCAAGGTGGGGGTTCTAAGTATCCCAGCCTGCGTTGGAACCAAGGGCTTCTGTTTCTCAACCTAGTGCCTTTGGCATTACATCATTCTGGCTGTCTGACCAGCATTTATTTGATGTCTACTGTGTACACCTGGAGATACTCATTACTGCCCCCCCCATTAAAGCCCAGGCCTTCCCCACCTTCTGCACATGGTACAGAGGGTCACTCCTCCCTCTCGAGCCCAGTGCCCTGTGCCTAGGGAGCCACAGTCGGTTTTCAGAACTTTATTGGACACCCAGTCATTAACTGGGATGCCCACGTGAGGTCCTCAGAGATACGTACACGCTCAGAATACATTCGGCAAAGGGTACGAAGCAACAACACCAAAGTGCATCTATGGGTGATGCTGGAGCAGAGCCCCCGGGGCAGGGGAGGGAGCGAGACGAAAGGGAGACCCCAAAGGCTCATCCTGCCTGCTGCATGGGAGGGAACCCTCTGGTGTTCAGGCTCCGCAGCCTGGGGTGGGGCTGGGGTTCTGGAACCCTGTGCTGTCTGTATTTGGGAAGGACACTCCCGGGGTGGAAAGAGCAGTGGTGGGGGAAGGGGGAGATGACGAGCAGTCCCGGGGGAGAGGCCTCCCCTGCCCAGCTCAGACCTGACCTGAACAAAGGCCCGGCAGCCACTTGTCCACAAGTCAGGTCAAGCTGGGCCACTGGGAGATCCGGCCTGATTGTCAAGAGGCCCTAGCTGGAGGGACCAGGATGGCCTGGGGCCCCAAGGAAGGAGGCCAGGGTGGAGGAGGAGGATTTGATTAGGTTTCCTGGGTCTGAGTCCCCCCTTCCCCCCTTGCCTGGGGGGAGGGGGGAGGGACCAAGAGCAGAACCAGTATGTCCATCCATAATAAATAATATATACACACTCCATATAGAAATATATAAATCAATGTAAGCCCTGGGGTGGGGCGGCGGGGGTGGTGAATTTGTTTGCACGTATCTCCTGGGCTGTTGGCCCTCCGTGACTAGGCATTCATGACCCTCATGGGTGATAGGCAAGCCTTGGCTCAGGGAGACCCCCTCCTAGTTACAACATGCCCGCCTACCTGAGGTCCTCCCTCACCAGGCTGGGCCCCGCACTCCCTGAACCATCCCTGCCACCTCCAGTAGTCAGCGTGGAGCCCATTAGCTCCTTGGGTCTGGTCTGGTGGGGGCCTCCTGCAAAGTGGTGATTTCTCTGCTCAGAGAAGGGGGATGCTAGGCCACTGTGAGAGAGAGGCTGGATTTCCTCCCCCACAGTTTGTTAAGGAGTTCAACTGAGCTAAATTGGGGAAGGGAGACATCGCTAGAGATTATCAGGATGCCTGTGCCCACCAGCTTTGGTGTCTGCCCCACTCTCCCCTGCCCAAGTTCTCCATTGCCATGAGGGGGAGTTGAGATGCCCCACACTGTGGGGTGACCGTTTGGCCCCTGACGTGTGGCCCTTGGTATTCTAGGGGGTTTTCTTTCACTTCCCTCCCCGCCCACCTCAGCATCACACTTCTGGGAAGGTAGCTCTGGGGGCCAAAAAAAGTGCTTCAGGCAGACACCCTAAGACCCTGGCAAGGGACTGGGTGATCCCCTGTTCTGGGAGAGGGATTGCTGACCAGGTGGGTTTTCAGGGGCAGAGCTTGGGCCTGTGCCCCTCCAGTAACCCTGACTCCTGAGGATGATGGGAACAGGACAGGGCTAATGGACTCTACAGTCACCATCCTAAGCTCCAACTCTGATAGTCAAACAGGCAAAAACAAGACAAACCCCCAACCCAGATTTTTGTTGGTAGGGAAGCATCTCTCTCCCACCTCCCACAATCTGGTAGCAAAGATCAGTCTTTTTTTTTGGTGGGGGAGGGGGCGGGAGAGTGGGCTATGACCCTCACTCCCCCTTCCTCCAAAAAAGCTTCAAAAGGATCAAGAATGTCAGTCCTCAGGCCATGGAGAGACTATGGCCCTGGAAATGAGTCGGAAAGCCCAGAAGTGCTCCCAAGCATCAATGCCACCCATGCCCCTGTGTGGGCAAGACTGGAGGGGAAGAATCTGGCCAGGGAAGGAATGGCCACCTGGCAATGAGAGGCAAAGGGACAGAAAGACAGGGGAGGGAGGGAAGCTACCACACCTGAGGAATGAGTGGGGAATGCCACATGGTCATGGGAGCGCAGCCTTAGAGATGGGAGGACTTGGGTGTTACCAGTTCCACCAACCCACTCATTTTACAGATGAGGAAACTGAGGCCTGGAGGCAATGTTACATAGGTAGTAAGTGGCAAGGCCTGGATTTGAACCAGGTCCTCTGGTGGCTATTGAAAGGGAGGGGAACCTGGTGGCACCAGGATTGAGTGCCTGTGAACCCCCAGATGAGTTAGTGTCTATGTACATACCCACACACACAAACCGCCCCTCCCCCCCGAAAGTAGGGCAGGAGAAGGTAGCAGAAGGAAGTCAGCCTACCCTCCTCAGGGGGCTTGGCCCCATCCTGCCCCAAGCTTGCTGAACATGTCTGAAAGGACTGGCCAGTCTTCCCACTTCCCTGCCGTCGTCTTCTGCCTTGAAGCATCGTACACACGCCCCACACATACACCCTACAGTCAGCAGGCAGGAGGGAGGCTGCAGGAGCCACGGTCTCTAGATTGGGACAGGCACCAGTAGCGATGTGTGTGATGGGCTGTGGAGAGGAGCCAGGAGAGGCCTCCCTTGTGCTTTTCCCAGGGACCAGGGAGGGAAGTTCATAGTATCTTTGATTTCCAGTGGGCCTTTAGCGGCCACCTGGGCCAACTTTCTTCATTTTATAGATGAGGAAACTGAGTCTTAGAGAAGTAAAATGACTTGCAAGGTCACTCAGCTAGCAAACAGCAAAGTGGGGCATTTAGTCCTAAGTGCTCTGATTGAATTCAGCCATCAAAGTAGCTCTTGCTGCCATCTTAGGCGGGGGTCCATTTCTAGAGATGATGACCAGAGTGTCTCCTTCTGGGCACCCCTTGGCAAAGAGCACTGTGGATGGCCCAGGAGTGGCCATCAGACACTGGGTGGGGCTGGGGGGAGGGGATGGCCAGAGGAACCTTGTGCTTTCTCATTTCAGTGTCCTCTCCCTGCCCCTCCCCCTCCTTGGAAAGGGTTGGTGCAGTGATAGGAGGGGGAGGGCTGCCCTGCAGTAGCCGTGAGGCCCAGAGAGGTCATGGGTGAAACATGACAGGGGTAGTTGGGGCCTAGGGTAGAGAGGGAGAAATCCTCCAGCCCCAGGCTTCTGGAGAGGCAATGGGAAAAGAGAGCATAGAAGAGAAGAGTGAGAGAGGGAGAGAGATGTTGACACATTGAGTGAGATGGGTGGAGAAGCCGAGGCAGGGGCACAGATCATCAAGAGACTGCCCTGTGCTGAGGGCCACATTCTCTGGGGAGCTGCTCCCGAGGGCTTCCTTTGGTGGACATCTCGCTAGGCTGGCGGGGAAGCTGAGCCTTGGGAAGCAGTTAGGCCCCACAAGAGGACTGGGCCAGGGGCGAGGCCAGAGCTATCAGGAAAGTTTTCAAACTGACAGATCTGCAGAGCTGAGACAGCCCTGGTCAGCTGAGGAGCAAACACAGGGATGGAGGCAAGGACCTAGCTTAAGAAGCCAGAACCTCACAAATGAAGGTTGGTGGGACTCTACCCTCTGTTCACCTGAGGCCTGACAGAATCACAGAATCATTTTTCTGAAGCTGGGAGGGACTTTAGGTGAAGAGATTTGTCCAAGGTCACATAGCTGGTAATTGGTGATCAAAAACCCGGGTCCTTTGACTCCAAATTTGGATTTCTTTCTATTTCTCTGAGGAGCAAGTGTGCCTAGTTTCTGGGGTCTGGTCAGAGAGAGAGAAAGAATGAGACAGGGTGAGGGAGAGAGAAACAGAGAGAGGGAGATGAAAGATGGGAGAGGAGGAGAGAGACAGAAGACAGAAAGAGACAGAGAGAGGGAGGGGGAAGGACAGAGAGAGACAGACAGAGGGGGGGAGAGAGAGATGGGGTAGAGAGAAAGAGAGAGAGAGAGAGGAAGAGAGAGAGATGGAGATGAAAGATGAGAGGGGGAGAGAGAGACATAGGGGACAGAGAAAGAGAGGGAGGGGGAGAGACAGAGAGAGAGTGGGGACAGAGAGAAAGAGGGGGGAGAGAGAGGGGGGGCAGAGAGAGAGGAAGAGAGAGATGAAAGATGAGAGAGAGAGGGGGAGAGAGACAGAGACAGACAGAAAGTGGGGAGAGACAGATAGGGGGCAGAGAGAGAGAGAGAGAGAGAGAGAGAGAGAGAGAGAGAGAGAGAGAAGAGAGAGAGAGAGAGGAAGAGAGATGAGAGATGAGAGAGAGAGGGGGAGAGAGACAGAGACAAGAGAGTGGGGACAGAGACAGAGACAGACAGAAAGAAGGGGGAAAGAGAGACAGAGACAGATGGGGTGGCAGAAAGAGAGAGAGATGAGAGAGAGGAGAGACAGAGACAGAGTGGGGACAGAGAGAGAGACAGACAGAAAGAGGGGGGAAAGAGACAGAGACAGACAGATGGGGGGCAGAGAGAGAGAGAGACAGAGACAGATGGGGTGGCAGAAAGAGAGAGAGCGAGAGAGAGAGAGCACACAACATGCTTCTCCCAAGCCTAGATTCAGAGCCAGATTCCCTGACAGGGAACCCCTAACAAGGTCCCAGGATGAGAGGTCCTAGACCCAAGTCAACACAGATGTGATTTCTTAGGGGAGACAGAGGGCAGGGGAAAGCCTGATTTCAAATCCTAGGTTAAGCTCCTCCAAGGTGCCCCCCCCACCTCTACCTTTACCATATGCCAAGATATACCAAAACATTCAATTCATTTTGCACCCTGCCCCCCCCCAAATCTCAACGCTGTTCTTCCTTCTGCCCCTTCCCTCCTCCAGGGCTGTGGCTCTCAGGGCATGGTGTGGGCGAGCTGGGCTGAACAGCATCTCAGCAGCTCCTTCCTACAGACCCCTGGGCTTCCCCTCAGGCAGAGGCTTCCTGGGAGGGGTTTGTGTGTTGGGGGACTCAGGTCAAGGTCAAGGTCAGGGTCTGGAGTGGAGAGCTCAGAAACATGCACATTACGTAACTCGGCTTTAAAATCTCTGGATCGTCTTGTCTTACAGAAATAATACTAACTCTGTCATCTCCACCTGGCCATCCCCAGACTCACTGGAGGCAGCAGCGGCAGGTGAATATAGGGGGCCAGTGTTATCCCCTGGAGTCTGGAGAGGTGGCCAGGGAGGTTTGGGGACTGGGCTAAGATGTCACTCTAGTCCCCTCTCCCCGTCCCTCCAGAGAGCTGCTGTGGGTCCCAGGCATGTCCTGCCCCTCCCAGGCCCGCCTGGAATTTCCATGGAGATTGGTGGCAGAGAGGGACCCAGGGTCCTGTTGGGTTGCTCCCTTGATGCACCACTGGGACCGAGGTTGGTATTGGTACCCTCCACCAGACTGGTGATGGGAGGATAAAAGGGGGCCCCATGGCCCACAGCCTGGATAGATCAGATACAGGAGACAGCCTTGGTAGGGGGGCCCAGAGACCAAGGGGCTAAGGAGACAGTCGGGGTTTATTGCAGGACCCCCTGAAGGATGGGGCCAGGGCAGGGTATAGGATGTCAGTGCCTGCCTCTGCTGGTGACTGGAGCTCCCTGTCCTCTGAGGGGCCCCAAATCAGCCCCTGTTCTGGTGGGGTTACTTGGGTCAGCGGGGCGTGCTGTCCTGGGGCCCAAGAGGAGATGGTAGCTTCAGTCCAAGAGCCCTTCCTGGGGGAGGCAGTGCCTGGGGTGGAAGCTTAGGCAAGGGGGAACCCCACTCCAGGGTCTCAGCGAGGGAGAAGAGGCCCCCCCAAGCCATCGACTCCACAGCAGATCGTATTCCATGCGACTGACCCAGAGCTCAGACAGAAGGCCTCTGGAGGGGACCCAGGTTTCTCTGGTCCCAAGACCAGCTTCTGCTAACTGGCCCCTTGAGGTCAAGTCCAAACCTGCATCCCTTGGGTGGGGGTGTCCAAAGAGGTTGTCTGCTGGAGGCCTGGGTTCACTCCAGAGCCTCTGGGTGAAGGTGGTGGGTGAGGGGTGCCCACTGGCCCCCCTGCCCGGGGTTAGCAGCCACCTTCCACCTTGATGTGTAAGATCTTGGAGAATCCTGGTCGTCGTCTTAGAGCCTAGGGAGAGGAGAAAGGGTCAGGAACCTGGTCATTTCTGCACCAGAGACAGATGCCCGGCCTGGCTTGGTCTTCCCTCCCCTGCCCAACTCTCTGGGTGAAACGCCACTCCATTCCCTGGCCCAAGTGCCTCCATTTATAAAAAGTGCAAGCAAAGCCAGAAAGCTCTCCCAGGATGGACAGTGACAGGAGATCAGGAAGAGGCTGGCAAAGGGCTTCAGAGAATAGGACTGACTGGGGGGATGGCTTCGTGTGCCTTCCAGAAGCCTCCTCACTAAAACCACAAAATAGCCCATAGACCAGGGCTTCACAAACTTTCTTTTTACTATTTCGATAACTGTATTTCAGCCTGACTGGATTCCTTTGTAATCCTACATATTTATTTTATGCATTTAAAACCATTATTCAAGAAGGGCTCTATAGGCTTCACCAGATGCCACAGGGTCAGGACCCACAAAAGGTGAAGAAAGCTCTTCCCGAGACTGAGTTTGGGTACCTGGGATGGGCTGCTGCTATTCTGCCTTGTAAGTAGATGTGATTCGACTTGCTTTGGATTGAGATGTAGTCTACACAGCTGCTGGAATGATTTTCCTAAAGCAGATCTGACCATGTCACTCCCCTCCTCAATTAATTTTCAATGGCATGGCAAGCCCAAAGCATTTTGTTCAGAGGAGAGGCTGAGAACCAAGCAGTCCTTTTAAATCTGTTGGAAGGCAGCCCCTAAAATGATTTGCTGGGGATATGCGATGGTATTCAGAAACCGACTCCTGTTGAAGGGGAGGTCTACCAAGGCTCTGGACAGAGATGCTTCTGCTAACAAAGGAAGAGTTCAAACACAGGCTAATGCCCGTAGGCACCAGTCGACAGCATGGCCTATTCTGGGTTCCTGGAAAGTAAAGAGTATGGAAGCTGACATATGTCTCTCCTTATGAAGAGAAAGTAGCTGAGGTTTTCTTTCCTAGCCTGATGACTAGAGGGGTTGGGGAAGTGACAGCCCTGCCTTTTTAAAAGAGCTGATGCTTACATTTTGGGGCTAAGCTAAAAAAAGTAAGGCAGAGTCTACTTTTCCTCCTACAGGCAAGAGAACCTCAGCTAAGGACTGGAGCCCAGGAGATGCAGAAAAGTGGGAGTAGCAAAATGTTACACCCATTGGAGAAAGACAGAAACATAACATAGATGCAGGTCCCCAGGCCCAGCAGAGGATCACACTCATTAGGGAGCCTAGCCAGGAAGGGCAGTGCCATGATATCACCAGAAGGATCTCTGGGCTTGTAAGAGTTGCCTGGAATATGCCCTGGCCCTCCATGTTTCCTACATGCTCAGGCCTGCATGTCCACCCTCCCTGATGATTGTGTATCTCTGTGGCAGGTTTGTGGGGAAGGAGGAGGACAAATGTTTTATTGCCATTCTTCTTATGAGGCTATTTTATTACATCCTTTTACTGTGAAGTAATTATGTCCTCAGACTAGCCACAATGTTAAACACATTGGTGGGGGCTTCTAAGTTATAGGTTTGAGCGGATGCTGCTCCACAAAATATCCTTAAACTAGCGTAGATTTCTCGGGGATGCCACATACAAGAGGGGGATGCTCCAGGTGCTACATTGTTTTTGTTTGTTTGTTTTTTCAGCCAAAGACAAAGTTTATTAAAGATCAGCCGTATTGGCCGGACTCTTAAGGAATCTAAGCATTTATATCACTAATGCAAGAGGGCCAGATCTTAAGAATCTGAGCCAGGTGCTACGTTGTTGAGGCTTGTCTGGGATCTCCATTTTGCTTGTCCTATTTAATGCAGGCATCCAGTAGAGAGGAAAAAAATTCTCTCTTCAGGTCACGAATGAACAGGAAGCTTTCTGATGCATGCTTTTGTGTTTACAGGTCAGACCAGCTACTGAAAATAGCTATTATACTATTTGTGGTAAATGCACTCAAGTTGTTTATCAACATTGCAGAATGGTTGGGTTACATTGCGATTGAGAATCAGGTCTAAGAGTTGTCATGGATATGGTTGGAAGCTTGGGGCACAGTAAGGTTGTGGAAGTGACTTTTGATTATGATGACAATGATATGATGAGAATAACTGGTGAGGGATGGGGAGAGATGGAAAGTACAAGATAGGGAATGTAGGGCTGGAGAAAGAGTAATGGTGCTATATACGCTGCTTGAAACAGCAAGGTAGACCCATGAGAATAACTATTAATGGGACTACTTGGGAATTCTTTTGGTAAACTCCTTAATGATGAATAGCAGCAGGACTTATTGGTAAGGAAAGCTGGAGACTTCCTGGTAAAAGAAGAGATAAATGAAGGCCATGCTTGCCAGAAGAATATCAAAGGATCATATCTAGATCTTGAGCTGGAAGGGTGCTCAGAAGCCATTTATTCCAAAAATCTCATTTTGCAGATGAATAAACTGAAGTACGGGAAAAGTACGTCACTTACCCACGATCACATAGGTAGTAAGCAGAAGAGCTGGGATTTGAACTCAGGACAAGCTCTCTTTCAAACTCATAACCCTGCCCCTCACAGAGAGCAGCTCATGTACCATCTTCACTGGATCATGGTGCAATGATAGGGTCGACTCCAGCAAATCCAGATACAGAATCAATGGTGAAGGATGGAGTGCAGGCACTAAGGCGATATATCAACTCTAATAAAGGGGACTCAAGAGGGAAAGGGTTTCAGGGGAGTGGCCCATCTAACAAGTGAGGGACCCTTTGAGTCCTGGCTGGGAACTATCATAGTGATGATAAATGGGTGGTACGGGACCAACACAGACAAACAGGGGTGATTACTGGAGGGGCCTGGGGGCCTGCTTGGGAAGTGCATACATTGAAAATGGAATGCTTTCAGGTTTTGGGATGTCAGTGCATGCTGCAGCCATTCTCTCTTGATTACCTTTCCCTACTCCATATATATTTTGTGTATACCTAGTTATTTCCATGTTGTCTCCCTCATTAGAATGTAAACTCTTTGAGGGAAGTAATTATTTTTCCCTTTCTTTGTACCTCCAGTGTTTAGCACATTGCCTGGGGGTAGAAAGCAGAGAAACATCTGTAAAATCTTTTTTTTTTTTTGGTTTAGGCAATGGGGTTAAGTGACTTGCCCAGGGTCACACAGCTAGTGAGTGTTATGTGTCTGAGGCCGGATTTGAACTCAGGTCCTCCTGAATCCAGGGCCGGTGCTCTATCCACTGCACCACCTAGCTGCCCCCACACATCTGTAAAATCTTACAGAGAAAGATGATAGCAGTCATGAGCAGTACTGACTCATAAAGCAAATGAAAAGCATGGTGAAAGAGCTAATTTAAGCAATATCATCCTGAGGGCATTTAAGGATAAAAAGGAAAGGAGGATAAGAAACAGAAGAAAATTGGAAAAGATCTGCAAAGATTTTTCTAACAAACTCTTTTCACTATCAAGGAAAAGTGGAGGCGTCACACTTGGATTCTATGACCGCAGTCCCAGAAGTACCCAGAAGGGAAATGGAATTGGTATTGAAGAAAACAGACAAGTCTAGACTAAAAAGAGAGAGAATAAGCTTATTCTGGAAGCAATACAATTTTGAGGACATCAAGGGATGGTTTTTAAGGTTGCAGTAAGAGGGGAGATACAAATATGAAAGATGTGGGAAAATCTAGGACTTCAGTATTGCAAAAAAAAAAAAAGGAATCTGAGGTAACACCAAAATCTACCAAGCCATAAGCTTAGTCGTATAAGTATTAATAAATGCTTTTTGATTAAATGGGAAATGACAGTTGGACAGCCAGTTTGCTAGTACAGGGAAAGCCAGCTCCAAACCTTGGCAAGATTGACCTCAGAAGAATGCCTTCTTGGGTATGGAGGAGCTGAAAGACCAGCTGAGAGAAGTGTGAGTCGCTGGCACCATCCAAGAGTACCATAGTCTGCATGCTCAAAGAGGGGAGAATGGGAAGAGCTTGGGAAGAGCCAGACTGTATTAACTATTGGGCACGGAATGAAAGAACTAAAGTGGATTAGTCTACCATGCCATGAATTCAAGATGGCCTAGACTGTTTGTTAGGCAGCTAGTTATTTTTATTATTGGAAAAAGGAGAAAGAAATAGAAACACATTGTTTTCAGGTTTGTGAAATGCCTCTCAAATATCTCATTTGAGTCTTAAAACAATCCTGTAAAGTAAGTGCTATTAATATTACTATTAATTAATATTAATAGTAATATTAATATTATAGATAAAGAAACTGAGGCAGACAGATGTGATTTATCCAGGGTCACACAGTGGGTGTCTGAGGCAGGATTCAAATTCATATCTTCATGACTCCAGCACAAGGGAGCAGATAGCCTTTATCTGCCCAGCAGGATTCTACCATTTTGAAAGTAGGCCCCAAAGAATCTCAAGGGAACCGGTCATGTTTACATTGGCATATCTGAATCAATCTTTCCATCAGCAAGTCCTTGTTAAGCAGCTGTCCTGAACCAGGCTCTATGCCAAGTTCTCTGTCAGGCCCTCTGTCAGGTGCTGGGGGTGAAAAGACACCTTTGCTCTCAAGGAGCTCCCGTGTTATCAGAATAACTTTGTCCTCTCTGGAACATGAGGTTGGTTGGAAAATGTTGGTCTGCAGTGTCAGTGGGTAAGCACAAGTTTTTAAGAACTTCTGTCCAGTACCCGGGTGGCAGTGTGTCAAGGAGTCAGTACAGACCCTGAGTAGAGGCGCATGCCAGCAAACCGTGTCCAGAGAATCGTCACCAACTAAAGACTTTCCTGGGACCTAGTGGTTATCACGAATTTGTTATTACGCTTTCGCTCACTAATCTCACTCATGGTTCTATGTTTGGGAAGAATCGAATGTAGGAGGGGCAAGAAGGGTCAATTTGGACCCACCCCATAGACACAATTTGGAACGAGAGTTGTGAATGAGTTTTCAAGGACTTGGTAAAACCCCTCACCCAAAGGCTAACGTTGCCTTATGCAGACCCAGACAAGATGTTTGCATGGCATGCTCACACTAGCCAGGCACGGGGCCAGCTTCGTGCTGAGAGAATCATGGTCACAAGAATATGACAGTGAGGCTCGTTATCCCAAACACAAATTGGAGTTCTTGGTGTTGAAGGGGGATGCCTATCATTAAGAAGTCCTTTGAGTAAGTGAATAGAGCAAGCACTGCCCCCAATCTATGAGCACTGAATTGGACACTATCTACCAAACGTGAGTGGAGGCACCAGCCAGGTAGGAGTTCAGTCTACACTCTAGTGTAGGGAAGACCACCGAGGAAACATGCCTGTTCCGTAGACGACGTGAGTCTGAAAAGGTGGCGATGCTCACAGAAGAGGCGAAAGTTACCTGTGACACACAAAGAGCCGGGCCTCTATCACAGCAAGTGCCGTTGACCACCTGGCGCTCCCATCGGAAAGTGCGCCATCAGTGGTAACTGTCTCTGTATGACCAGTAACGCATCCATCACCTACGGCCTAGTCATGGCTTCAGCTCAGAAAAACTCTGATAGGTACAAAAATGGCATGGTGCTCAAATTCATGGTCAAGACCTTTGGCAAGGGCAGAGAATTCTGCCAAGAAACCTGAGCATGTGAGATAACGGATTGATGGGGAGCCATTTTATGCCAAAGACTGGGCCACTTGCCAGGTTATAAAGTAGTCCCAGAGAGGGGATGGGGCCCTACAAAACAAAACAGTACATTGCAACTCCTATTGCCTATTGGGGAGGTAGTGAGAGTCCCTGGTGAGCAGAAGGAAAAGAGAATTGGATGGTTGGTGAAAGGGATTCTGGGAAGAGCTGCCTTCTTACAATTTGCAGAGGCCATTAGTGACAGATAATAATAGCTTAGGAGATAATGATTCAGATGAGGAAGAAACTGAGTGTCCCGCATATTGGAAGGCAGTGGGATAAAGTGGAAAGAGCCCTAGCTCAGATGTCAGAGGACCTGGACCTGGGTTCAAATCCTCATCTTTGATGCTTATTATCGGTGTCACCTTGGACATGTCACTCAACTTCTCTGGGCCTCCTTTTCCTCATCTGTAAAATAGAGGGGTATAGTAGATAGCATCTGAGGTCCCTTCCCACCCTAGACCTATGAGTCTTTGATATCCACTGGACAGTCAGAGAACTCAGTCTAGTCTATCCCAGACCCAGAAGACTTCTGTTCAGACAATGGGGAGGGATGAACCCAGACACAGCCCCTTTCTAATCTAATAATCCAGTTGTGGAGGCCCTGAGGGAATGGAGGGATTTTATAGAGAGCCTGGAGACTATAAGATTCAGGCTGAGCCTTCCACAAACCCGGGGGCAGGATGGCAGGTTAGTGGTCCATGGATATTGAACTGTCAGCCTGGGTCTTCCAGAAGCTATAGAAGTGAATGTTGAAAACCAAAACCAAATAAATAAATTTTTAACAAATGAGGGCATGGGTCACGAATGGCAAACACTGCAGAGAGGTCAGGAAAAGGAATGTCAGCAGAAAACCCCACTAGATCTGGTGATCAGTTCACTGGTGACCCTGCCCCCACCTGTCTTTGGTCCGATGCACAGAAGTGCTTGAAATTACAAGAGTGGAGGAGTAGGTGTGGGAGGCAAGTGAGTTCTCAGGTGCAGGCTGTGTGGTCTGGGGAATCACCCACAGTGCCAAAGCCCACGAGGGGCTCTAGGGAGTGATGCACTTACCTCTGTTTCCAGCTACCCCTACCATCCTCACTCACCTCTCATCACTCCTTTTTTTCCCATCCGTATCATTTTCTTACCATCCTCTGAACCTGGATACTTCCCTGAGGACCATGGCTTCATCCCTTGCCCTAGCAATTCACCACCATGTTTATAAACATCAGCTGGCCAATTTTAGTCTTCACCCATCTAGCCTGCAGGGGCTCCAGATCTCAGGCCATCCTCAGATGAAGGCTGCCCCATCCCATTACTTAGAGAACAAGAGGCATTCTTCTTAGAACTGTTCCCCAGCCCTATTCAGCCTCCCCTGGGTCTCTGTCATTTTAGGGATTGAGTCTTTATACACTCCACACCAGAAGCAAGTTCTGTGACAGTCATATTAGAGGAAATGGTTTGGGGGGTCAGACAAAGCCTCCTTCCAACCTTCTCACCTGGAGTTTGGTCACCATTTCCTCAAACAGCTTCCGAGCTTCCGGGCTCCCAGGTTCTTTGAAGTAATCCACAATCCCAATCTGTACCACAATGGACTTGAGGTTCCGGCAAACACCTGAGAAGGAGCAGGGGGACAGCAGATGAAACAGATCTCGGCTGGGCACATGACCCAGAACTTGGGGAATGGAGGAGGAAGCCATATATCTTGTCAAGCCTCTCAGATACTAGGAGCCAGCCTATACTATTACACAAATACCCAAAACTCAGATGCCAAAGGAAGGGTTGGGGATTTTTACCTGGACTTGCAGAGGACTAGCAAATTATGCATTCATTCATCTTCTTCTCTATTCATTAATCTATCCAACCATCCATTCATTAATCCATCCTTCCCTTCATTCATTCACAAATCCATCCACTCATCTATCCCTCCATTCATTAATTCAGCCATCTTTTTATTCATTAATCCATCTATCACTCTGGTCATTCATTAATCAACCCTGCCATCCTTCTACTCATTAACACAATCACCCGTCTCTTCTTCAGTTCATGGATCTATCCACTTATCTCTCTTTCCATTCATTCATGAATCTATCCCCCCACCATCCTTACTTCTACTCGCTAATCCATCCATCCATCTCTGCATTTATTAATCCATCCATCCCTCCATTCATTAATCACTCCATCCCTCTAGTCATTAATCTAACCATCCATCCATCCCTCTACTCATTAACCCATCCATTCACCTATCACTTACAAAGCATCCTCCATGTGCAAAGTGCTGAGATATGGAGATAACTAAGACAGAACCCCAGCGTTGAAAGTCACTAAGAACCTAATTCCACATCAACCCTAGTCCTCACTGGTTTCTTCCTAGAGTCTCCCCAGCCTCACCCCTCACCCCAGCGATTGGTGCTGTTGGCATGTGATTGACATATGAGCCACAACAGGACAAGACCAAGCATAGCGGGGCATGCTGACTGGGAGGAGTGGCCCTGGCTCCCCCATTGACTCACTGTTGAAATGCAGCAGGGCCTTTGGGGTAACCGGGGTGGCTGTGAGCACCAGCATCTCCAGGCCCTTCAGCCCCTCTCTGCAGACCTCGGCCGCCACCTCCTGGGTGATTTCTGCCACATGGTCCAGCTCTAGAACTTGAAGTCTCATGCAGTTCCGGGCTGGAGGTAGGTAGGGGGAAATTGAGGAAAGGTCAGGGCTGAGCAGCCACTTCCTAGATCTGGCCAGCTTGGCTTCCCCATTAAGGGGAGACGGTCCACAGATTTTCACTTGATTTGTGGCCCTCCCTTCCTTGGCTAAGCCAATCTCCAGCCTCTTAGTAAGAGGATTCCCCTCATCCTTCCCCGCTTCCATTAACTGGAGTACATTCCCTCTGGGAAATGAACCATTAAAAACTCTCCAGGACTTTCCTCAGCCTCTTCAATCTTGCTAAGTCATGCCCTCAGTCTTCATACCTCATCCCCTTCCACTCTAAGGGTAGACCCTGGGTCACTCCCTGCTTAGTTCTGGGACTTGCTGTTGGTCCCCACCAGACCCCCCCCCCTTCCCAAGATGTGGCCACACTGCCCCATGTTGGAGGCATAGATATAACTCAGGGGGAAGGAACCTCCAGATAAGGCTGCCCAGAGAGCAAGGACTTACACTCTCCCTTTGGCGGGGACTTACCAAGTGATGCCAGGCCCTGCACGCCACAGCCTGCACCTCCTACACCTAGGGCCCTCAGGTGGGGCCAGCATCGCCCTATCATCTGCAGGCACCGGTTACTGAAGCGTGTGGGCTGCTGGCTAGAAGATAGGGTGAGGGGAGCAAAAATGGGGAGTGAGAAGAGAGGTCAGAGGGGCTACTGGAAGTACCCAGTGTTCTCAGTCCAACCCCCTAAACTGTCTGTCTGCATCTGGCAGCTTCTCCTATGCCTCCTCTTCCAGGAAGGCTTCCTAGATCTATCTGTCCCACTGTGTCTCCCCATGAGGCTGTAATGGCTGCTTCTCCTTCAATCTCTGTCCCAAAATGCATCACCCATCCTGCACAATACAACCCTGAATCCACTTGTCTTTGTCTCTATTAACTCCTTAGTACTCCACAGATTTAAGGGATTTGGAGGCCTGGAACCTTAATAGCACCTGTCAGCTGTGGGATGTGGGGGCCAGAAAACCTAACAGAACTATGGACTGCACAGAGAAGGAGCAGAGCTTCCACAGATCGGGAGGCGATGCTCCCACTGAGCTCTGCCTGGGCAGACCTCATCTGGAGCAGCGACCAGGCTGAGGCTGACACTGATAGGCTAGGGTGTCCTCCTTGGGGAGGACGACCAGGACGGTGAAAGCCTTTCTTCACTCCTGCATACAACCTCACCTTGCCCCACTTTCTCCTCTTCTAGATTGTGGGTACCATGAAGGCAGGACTTTCTCCCCTTCCTCTTTGGCTGCCCTGCCCTTGCCCAGTGCCCTGCCATCCTGACTGGTGAGGGTCTCAGTCACCTCCGACATCCAGGCAGGCTCCAACCACGCTTCACTTTACTCCCTGGACATCTTCTCACCTAGGGGACTTTGCTCCCTGTCTGTACCACCCCTTCTCCCGCCACTTTCTATTTCTGAAATCATAATCTAATCACGACCACTGCCAGAAAGGGTAAATCAATCCATTCTCTATGGTTCTACTCACCATCCCTCAAACGCCCCAAACCAAAGTATCCCTCCCTGATCACCACCCCCCTATTGATGTTGTCTCCCCCATTAGGATGTGTCTACTCCACTAAAGAGTTATATGAAAAAAGTGTCAATGACATTTATTGGTATCTTTGCTTTTCTATCACCTACATTTCCCAGTGTAGCCCTTCACCCTCTCACTTTAGCACAGTGCCTGGCACACATAGGGGCTTAATAAATGTTGATTGATTGATTGATTGGAATAAAAGGGGGGGGAGGGAAACAGTTGGCAAAACCAACCAATGCATCAAAAAAGATTGATGCATGTAGCATTCCACATCCGCAGTCCCCCACCTATGCAGAGAAGCCAAAAGAGGTGCCTCCTCATATCTCTTCTTTGGGTCCAAGCTTGGCCACTATATTTTTATATACTCCATACTAAATGCCATCTACTATGTTAAATCACGCTGTATTGTTTCAATTTTTTGTGGTTGTTCTTTCCATCATTAACTTTATTTTTCAGCTGAGGGGAGGGAGTAATGCTTTGTGGTTTATAAAGCATTTTACCTACATGATTTTTTAGTCCTCACAGCTAACCTGTCAAGGTGGTAGTGTTGAATGATACTGTGCCCATTTTATAGATAATGAAACTAAGGCTCAGAGATGTGATATGGCTTATGAGATGACAGGACTGAGAGCTGGGAGGGGTCTTAGGGATCACTGAGTCCAAATCTCTCCTTTCATAGATGAGGAAACTGAGGCCCAGAGAGGAGACTCTTGTGTAGTCCAAGCATGGATGCTCCAATGTGCAGAGCCAAGATTCGGGTGTTAATGTTCTGTGCCAAAGCTTCCTGCTTTCTCCCGTTTCTGAGGACCTTGCCTTGGGGGTTTCTGGATCAGGTGCCCAACCCTCCAGTAGCCCCTGGACCCACTCACCAGGGGTGAAGAGGGGCCACCTGGAGAGAGATGATCTCCCTACAGCCAGCCCCCAGGGCCCAAATGACTTCATGGCCTACAGGATCTGTTGCACTCCTGTTGGGAAGAGAAATAGAGTGAGGGCCCACTTGTGACCACTCCCAGGTGCTCCTGGGAGCTCCAGGCTGCCTTCACCCCACCCTTCTACCCTCCTCCTCCTTGGAAGCTGCACAGGGCGTGGAGGTTTTCTCTTTTAAAAATGTCACTCTATCTTTTGTTTTTGTATCACCTTCATTTCCAAAATATATCCCTTCCCCTCCCAGTGAGTCATGCCCTTGTAAAACAGAATAGAAAAAATTTTAAAAGTAATTCAGCAAAACAATCAAACAGCCACTGAGTCTGACAGTATAAATGCAACGAGCCACATCCACAGTCCCCCACCTCTGCCAAGAAGGGAGGGAGGGAGGTAAGGGGTGTGTGCGTTAAAATTTTCAAAGGCTTTCCCCATCACAAGCCTATGAAGAAGAAAGCTGGGCAAGTATCATCAATCTTCATTTCACAGACACAGGAACTGAGGCCCAGAGAGGTTATGCCACCCCCCCAGGGTCACACAGCTGGTAAGTGTCCAGTGCTCCTGCCTCTGTACCCATTGCCTCTCACTATAACACTGAGGCAGCAGAGTAAACCAGTGGTCATCTCGGACCAGGGGTCAGAGAATGCTTCTTAGGGGAAGAACTTTAGTAATCAAACGACGTTTGGTGATGGCACTGGAGAGATCTAGGGGTGAGGTAACCACCTCTGCCTCATGAGATCTCACTTATTGCTGCCTCCCTGCATTCCTCCCATCACACCCACCTGTAGGTGACAGCTTGCAGGGCCCGGCAGTAGCAGCTGGCCAGCCAGAGGGAGCGGTCCGTGAGGACATTGGGGCAGTGGGAGATGCGCAGAATCAGCAGGTTCCCACCGGCAGCCTTGAGTAAGGACTCCAGCCCTGCTTCCAGGCATCCCCTGGGAACAGTGACCAGCTGGTCAGGAGGCCACCCAGCAGCGTCCTGATACCAATTCAACTGTCTAGTCCAATAAGCATTTATCAAGCCCCTGAGATGGGCCAGGTACTGGAAATGCTAGGACCTGAAGAAAACCAGTTCCTACCCTAAAGGAGCTTACATTCTATTGGTAGGAAATTAGAGGCTCATGGCTTTTGAGCTGAAGGGGACCCCAGAGGTTAGCTAGCCCGGGCACTCCTTGCTGGAGATGGGCAAACCAAGGCCCAAGAAGGAGGCTGGCTCTGGACCTGGGTTCAAATTCATTCTCTGGCAGACACTACCTGTGTGACCTTGGGCAGGTCACGGTTTCCTCATTTCTAATAATAACAGCTAGCATTTATGTAGTGCTCAGGTTTAAATATTATCTCATTCGGTCTCCCCAAAAGCCTGTCAGGTAGGGGCCATTATTATCCCCATTCTTCAGATGAAGAAACTGAGATTGAGAACTTAAGTGACTTGTTCAGGGTTGCACATTCAGCAAGATTTGAACTCAGGTTTTCCTGACTCCCATATTCTATCTTCCCAGTAGAATGAAAAATAATGACACATTTTCGTCTTTGTATGCTTAGCATACACTAAATGCTAAATAAGTAAATAATCCTGGCATACGTTAAGTGCTTAATAAATGCTTTGTTGGATGAGATTGAAGATGTGGCACCCCCCCCCAATTCCACCATTGCTTGATTAGCCTGGCATGTGGCCGGCCTCTATACCCTGGCCTTGCCTAATCCCAGGGCAGAACCCTTCCCAGCTGCCTCGTTCCTCAGGCCAATGCTGGATCTGTCCCCAAGCTCTCATGCTCACCTACCTTGTGCTCCTTAGGTATTCCTCCTTGCCCTCTTTTTTCCCCCGTTGCCTGGGCTTCAGGTTCTGCAGAGTCAGTGAATGTGTCTGGGTGCACCACTGGGACAGCATTGCCAGGAACTGGGAGGGGAGGAGAGTCACATGTGAGGGTCCCAGGGCACACGCCTGGAGACACCACCAGTGCTAATTGAAAACGAAGGCAGAGGAAGCTGGCAAAATCAATCTATCCAAAGCACTGAGTAAGCACCTACTGTGTGTTCAGCCCTGGGCTTGCGAAGAAGTTTTCAACTCCGAGGTCTAGTTGGAGAGAGAAGCCTTCCTTTCACCCAGGAAATGGAGAACAACAGAGACCACATGTATACGTGCAAGAGCAGTCATGCAGACTGAGAGGATGGAGAAAGGAGAGACAAGAAAGGCTGGAACAGGTGAGGAGGCGCCGGGCCTCCAAGAACATGGAGAAGGGTTGTTTTTCTTTTCTCAATTTTATTGATATCTTTTGTTTTTACAGTATCTAGACTTCCCACTGTCTCCTCTTTCCTTCTCCCTTGTACAGGGAACAATGGAAAACACATTTTTTTGGGTTTTCTTTTTTGTGGCTAGGCAATGGGATTAAGTGACTTGCCCAGGGTCACACAGCTGGTAAGTGTTACATATCTGAGGTTGGATTTGAACTCAGGTCCTCCTGAATCCAGGGCCAGTGCTCTATCCACTGCATCACCTAGCTGCCCCGAAAAAGCATTTATTAATCACCTACTATGTACTGAGAACTTTACAATCATCATCTCATTTGGTTCTCACAACAACCCTGGGAAGTAGGTGCTGTTATTACCCCCATTTTACAGAGGGAGAAACTGAGGCAGATGAGAGATTAAGTGCCTTGCCCAGAGTCACACAGCTAGTAAGGGTCTTCCTGACCCTTGGCTCAGCACTCTGTCCACTGTCCCATCTACCTGCAGAGATCCATCTCTTATGACAAAGAATTTTCAAAAAGAAAAAAAAAAACTGTTCAGCCAAACTAATAATCCATTGAAAAAGTCTGGCATCATCTGTAGCATTCCCCACCCACAGTGCCCCCACACCTGCAAAGAAGTGAGGGGAGCTAACTTTTCTTCTTTTCTTTGGGGGCAGAGTGTGGTCATTATAATTTAACAGCATGCAGTCTCAATTGATCTGTGGTTCTTTTTTTTTTTCAGCTTTAAATAGCTTTAAATTAAATTAAACAGTTTAAAATCCCCCCTCAATTATATTTCCATAAAATTTTTAGCATTCATTTTTGCAAGATTTTGAGTTCCAAATTTTTCTCTCTCCCCTTTCCTCATCTGAAAATGGTAGACAGTTTGATATAGTTTATACATGTGTTATCATGTAAAACATATTTCCATATTTGTCACAGCTGTGAAAGAAGAAACAGATCAAAAGAAAAAAGATGTGGTTCTTCTTTCCACAGCCACATTACTGAAATCATTGTGTGTGTTGCCTTCCTAGTCCTGCTGCCTTTACTCTGCATCAGTTCATAAAAGTCTTCCCATATTTCTCTGTCTTCATCACAGTCATCATTTCTTATAGGGTAGTAATATTCAATTACATTCATGGACCACAACTTATTCAGCCCTTCCTTAGTTGATGGGCGTCTACTTTATTTCCACTTCTTTGCTACCATGAAAAGTGTTGCTGTAAATATATTGGTGTATGTGCATCTTTTCTTTGTATCAATGACTTTCTTGGAGTGTGCCCATGCTTAGCAGTGGAATTTCTGGGTCAAGGGAGACGAACTTTTAGTCCCTTTCTCAGTGCAATTCCAGATTGCCTTCTGGAATGACTGGATCTATTTACTGCTTTACCAACATGACAATTCCCAACTTTTGTCATCTTCACCAATTTGTTGGGTGTGAGATGAGACCTCAGAATTGTTTTAATGTGCATTTCTTTCATTATTAGTAACTTAGAGCACTTTTTTTATTTAAAATTTTTTTTGGAGCATTGTTTCATGTAGTCGTCTAAAGTTTGCAATTCTTTTTAAAACTGTTTATATCCTTTGACCACTTATCTACTGGAGAATGACTTTTGTAGTTATATATTTATGTTCATGTTCATCTCTATAACCTCATGGGCTGTTCTTGGCAAAGATACTGGATACCTGTCATTTCCTTCTCCAGCTCACTTTATGGATGAGGGAACTGAGGCAAATGGGGTTAAGTGACTTGCTCAGGGTCACACAGCTAATAAATGTCTGAGGCCGGATTTGAACTCATGAAGCTGAGTCTTCCTGATTCCAAGCCTAGTGCTCTATCTACTGCACCATGTATCTATGTTAGTTGTCTATATAACTATATTTATGTTAGTTATCTGTATAACTTTGTTATCAGAGATATGCAACACAGACATTTTTTCCTAGTTGACTTCTTCCCTTTTTAGTTGCCTTGGTTTTGTTTGTGCAAAAACATTTCAATTTCATGTGTGATAGCGGCTTCACCAGTCCTGGCCTTTAAGGAGGATGCAGTTCACGTGATCTTCATGTGAACTTTGGTGTAGGCTTAAGTATCATGCCTGCTTTCTGGGCCACTAACCACAAGGTGAAGAAAGCACTCTTTTGATTAGCTGCTGAACTGGAACTCACCTCTTGGCCAGAAAGAGGCCTGGCTGTAATTAAGGGAAGACGTGTTTTAAGTCCCCAGGCCCTAATCTACACACCTGGGTCCACATGTGGCCATGAACGTGAGCTTCTGTTTTTTGCCTCTGTGTGTTTACTTTCTCCTGTTTTGAGGTGAGAGAATATTTGAAATAATGGGCTATGAAATACTGGAAGAGTGAACCTACAAGTCTGGTGAAAGGAGTGTAGGACAGAATTTGTTACCAGGTGAGGCATCAGCAGGAGTCAAGCCAGCTTGGATGCCAAATTCAGAAATGAACTTGGTGGGGCAATGCTCATAGCAGCTATTTTAGGTAGAGCCCACCCCTCCCAAGGACTGAGGTGGCAAAGGTGAAAGTATGCCCTTGGCTCTAGGGGGAAGTGCCCTGTACATTCTCATAAAATATCCCTTTGTCAAAGGACTACTAAATGGTTAAATGATATTAGGTCATGAATCGATGATATTTAACATTGGAGAGAACACACCAGGATCGGGGCTCGAGCTGATGCCATTATGAAAAAACCACCCCATTGCCTCTCAAGAGCTTCCTTAGAACCCTGAGTGGGGACCCATCTCATTAGTGTCAGTGGAAACTGAGAGAAGGATCCCCAGAGTTGATAAAGCTTACATACATGGAGCTTTAATTTTTCAGAGACTTAGATACCCCATCATCTAAAGTCATGTACCATCATCAGAAGAATACTGAAATTAAAAAAGATGGTCCTTTACTTTATGGAGGGACTTAGAGTCAGTGAAAGTGCTAAGCCATTATTTGGAAACTGGCAAAGGCAATTGGGTCCATTGTCATCTTTTCAATTTTAAGTCTGTCTCATTGTCCTTGTGCCATTATATTCAAAGTATATGTACTAATGGTCAAGCTCCAGTTGGGTTGTCCACCCAATACACATTAGACATATATACATGGACAATAGGTATTCCTCATCCACTTAGTGTTTCCTGTGTGCATAGTTAAGACAAACTCAATCTCATGTTCTTGGAATTGATTTAATTAGGACAATTTCATCTGCAAGTAGGAGCATCTACAGGACCTCACTATCTATCTATATCTTTCTTCCATTGGGACTGTGTTGGATAATCTCCATGATGGTGGCAGGTACCTTTGGTGAGCATACCTGCGCCTCTCATGATATTGATAATCAGAGGATTAAACCAAATTATCTCTGTTGTCAGATCTCTGAAGGAATCTGGTATAATGTTGGCATATCCATGGGAGACAACTTATTGGAGAACCTTCAAGGGGATGTTTTGTCCTACTGAATCAAGTGCTTTTGCAAAAATAGTCCAGAAGCATTGAGACACAGTGGGATGTGGTACCCTCTGTGCCTTTCATAAAAATATGGTCTGCTGCAGGATTTTTTCACCAAAATTGGCCTGTTTCTCAAGCCTTGCATCATGGTTGCCTTTGATATATGTGAAGATTATCCTCGAAAATTTTATAGACATGGAAAACTAGGCATGGGGGTCCAAAGTTAGAAGCATTTGCTTGGCTGTCTTTTTTGGAAATACTGTGTAAATGTTGGATATTATCGTTATCTGTGTCAGCAGTTATCTGTCCCACCACTAGACAGCCTAGCAGAATGCCTTGCACATAGTAGGTGCTTGATAAATGGAATAGAATGGAATCTCAACTATCTCCCTCTCTACCCCTTCAGTGCCCAGTGCATTGTTTTGTATACAGTAAGTGCTTAATAACAGTTGAACAATGAGGAACCACTGATGGATCCTGGACAAGGGGTTACATGACTAAAGGGATATTAACCTGGTGGTCATGTGTCCCATGAACTAGAAGGAGAGGATGCTGGTGGCAGAGACCGGCTGGGAGTGGTTGGAAGGAGGGGAGAGTGGAGGGATGGAGGGGCGCAGGAGGCTGGGAGGGGTACCTTGGAGCAGACGCGGGCATTCTCTAGCAGCACGCGGGTCCAGACAGCGGGATGCCGAGCCACGAACCTCCAGTCCTTGCAGACCTCAGCAGCGTGCAAGAGGGTACGGGTGTCCAGGTAGGTGAAGATGCAGAAGAGGGCTGCCCGCATCTTCAGAATCTCCGGGCTGATGACTTCGTTGGAGCGTGAGGGGCTACCACCATCAGCCTGCCGGCCCCGCCCGCTGCCCCCCTCTGAGCGGGCTGGAGGACCTAACACAGTGTCAGCGGGGTGCACGGTGGGGAAACTGAGGCATGGGGTAGGGGAGGAGAAGGCAAGGGAGGGAGTGGTGGGGAGCTGGGCAGGAACAGGAGGGGCATGTCAGGTATTGGGGGAGGAAGGGGCTGGGCCACGGACACCCCTGGAGAGCATGGCTAGTGTGCTGGGGAGGAGGTAGAGGGAGGAAATGCTGCTCTCTATATAGACTTTAACAAGAGGCAGGGGTGGGGAGAAAGGAACACAAAGGGCCAAGAGCTATTCAGCCAAAGGGCTGAATTCTTCATTTCCTGCTGATTTTGGAACTTAAATTACTTTGGCAGAAGCATAGGTTCTGTTCCTGACTTTCTCATTGGCCTGGGTAAATCACTGTGCCTTTCTGGGCCTCAATTTCCCCCTTCTGTAAAATGGGAACAGTCATCTCACTCCCACGTGATGAGCTGAGACAAATGCAGACGTGTGAGTTTTCCCTCCTCTCTGGGTGGGGAAGGGCCTAGAAGGGCCTCAGAGGCTGTCCGGTGCAACCCCCTTGATGAGGAAACTGAGGCCCAGGCAATCGAAGTGATCTGCTCATGGCCACGTAAGCAGTAAGTGTCAGAGGTGGGATATGAACTCGGGCCTCAGACTCGAGAGCCAGGGAGGGCTCTTTCCACTAGGCCCTAGATTACAGGGAGTGAAAGGGTCACTGAGGGGCAGGAGAAGGAAAGAAACAAGGCTTTGGCCGGCGACTCCCTGTCTGTCCCCTCCCAAACCACCGCGATCAAGGGCCTGGGCACTCACCGGACAGACGGCAGCTGCTGAGGGCTCGGGGTGGCGTGGGTCCAGAGGCCGAGGCTTCGGAGGGCCCTTCGGCCTCAGACTCGGTGGTGCGGGAGCCCACATCGGAGACATCGCCCTCCTCGCCCTCCGTGCTATGCCGGCGAGGCCTCCGCTGCCAATTCTGGATGGCCTGACGCCTCAGGGCCTGAGCTCCGGGGCACCTGGGGCCTCTCCAAGCCCCCTCCGCCCTCAGCCCGGGCCCCTGGTCCTCCAGCCCCACTGTCCCCAATGGCTGCCTCTTCTGAGGGGTAGGGGTCTGCCGTGTCACTGTCGTAGCAGCCGGAGCTCTGAGACACGGCCTTCGCACGGCTGGAGGCCCTGGGTGGAGGCAGGAAAGGCCAGAGGAGGTGGCGGTGAGGAAGGGCTGGGCCAGGAAGCCCCAGTCAAGGGTGAGCCACTATTTAAACAACCTTCCCAAATTCCCCCTCCTCCAGGGAGCCTTCCCAGATTGATTAGAGAGGAGCAGACAGGTCAGTGCAGGTTCTGCCATGATGGCTGAAGAAGGGAGAGTGGAGGGTCAACAGCTCTCCCCAGGGGAATAGCTGTGTGGGGGTAGGATAGGGAAGGGGTGCTCAAGGGTGGGTGGGGAGCTGGGATCGCAAGAGCTTACCCTGTGCTGGAGGAGGAGCGGTGATTAGACACGGCGTATGTGTTGTGCATGATGGGACCTGAGTGCCGGTCCCGCTGTGGGGAGGGGGCAGAGGGTAGGATTGGGAGGTACAGGGACAAGACATAGAGGAGAAAAGAGGGGAGTATGATAGGGAAGGGGAAGGAGAAGAATAAGAGAGAAGACAAGACAAGGAAAAAGGAAGAGAGGTGGGAGATCAAATGGGAGGAGGGATAGAGGAGGAGAACAGAGAAGGGGAGAGAGAGGAGATGGAGGAGAGAGGGAGAGAAGAGAGGAAGAAGAGGGAGAAGAGGAGGGAGAGGAAAGGAGAAGAAAAGAAAGGGGAGAAAGGAGAGAGGGAGGAGAGGGGGAGAGAGGGGAGGGAGAAGAGGGAGAGGGGGAGGGAAGAGAGGAGGGAGAGAGGGAAGGGAGGAGAGGAGGGAGAGAGGGGAGGGAGGAGAGGAGGGAGAAGAGGAGAGAGGGAAGAAAGGAGAGAAGAAATAGGAGAAAAGAGATGAGGAAGAAAGGAGAGAAAAGGGGAATTGACAGGAATGGGAAGAAAAATAGAGAAGGAAAGAGTGAGAGATAAGAGAAGAATGAAGAGAAAGGGAAGGATTGAGAAGGTACAAGGAGGGAATGGTAGAGAAGAACAGAAGGGCAAAGTGGGAGAGGGAAAGAGGAGGAAGACAGACACACAGACCCAGAGAGAGCTCCATGAAATCCTCCCGTGTCATTGGCCCATCCATGTCCATGCACCTCCCCCCTACCCCTTCACGCTCCCCTTCTTTTTCCCCCTCCCACTTCCCCAGGTCATCCCTGACTGTCCTGAGCCCTGGAAGGTTGAGGGGGGCCTTGCTCTGTCTCATCCTTGAAGAACAAAGGACCCCAGAGATGGGGACCCCAGTCCAGACTGATTCTTCTGGTGCCAGCTCTTGGCCTGGGCCAGGGCCAGGTCCCGGAAGGACCTTCAGCTTCCCCTTCATGGCCCACGTGGGCCTGGTCCACTTATCCTGGGAGAGGTTCCAACTACAGGGAGACACTACTGGGTCCAGGGAGACTGATGGGAGATGCATCCCTGGGACAGCGGCCAATCCCTCCAAGAAAGGGGAGGTCCAAGAAGGAGGCCTGCAGGCCCCTCCCCCTTGCCTGCTGAAAGAAGGCAGAGTGAGGGGGAAAGAAACCTGGACTGTCAGCAGATGTGGATTCAGATTCAGCCTTGGCTCTAAACCTTACTAGCTCTGACATTAATTAGCTATGGCCCATTTGTGTAAACCTGTATGACTGTGGGCCAGTCACTTCACTTCCTGGGCATCAGTTTCCCCATCTGTAAAAAGAGGGGCTGGACTGGTGAGGTCCCTTACAGCTCTGGCTGCTCATGGTCCCTGCAGATGACAGCTGGGACTCGACTCCAGAGCTCCCCCAGACTCCCCAGGCCCAGCAGCACCATTGCTCCCCCAACACATACTTTCAGAACCTCTGCTGATCTGTGGCGGTGGGCCCAGCCCTCTGTGCTAGTTGCTGTGGCCCCCTGAGGATGCCCCTCTGCTCTCAGCTTGGTTGTGCTCAGGAACAGCCCCAAGGCCCATTGCTGGGGCTGCCCTGAAGCCTTTCCAGGCTGGCAGGACCTTCGCCACCCAAGGAGGCACTGGAGGTGACAGCCAGTGATGGGAGGAAGATGCCAGCCTCCCATCAGGGCTGTGGGAGAAGTTATCAGCTACAAAGTGATGCAGAAATGCTACACCTGCCGGAGGGGTGGTGTGCATGATGGCTACGGAGCTGGCCTCAGAGCCAGGAAGACCTGGGTTCAAGACCTGCCCGTGATACACATTGGCTGTGTGACCCTGGGCAAGTCACTTAACCTCTCTCCTAGCCTCAGTTTCCTCAGTTGTAAAATGGAGATAAGCCTTAAAACACTATAAAAACACTAGCTAGTAATATTTTGTTTCTTCCTTCCCTTGGGGACCCTGGTATTTTAGAAGTCAAGAGGATAATAGTTAGCCCAATATTTAAGCTTAAATGGTGAAATCCCAGGCATCATTGGATGGCTGGGGCTGGGGGGACCCTTGGGGGTGCTGGCTGGGTGCCCATTCTCGTAAGGATGGAACGGATGACAATTTACGGAATATTTCCGAAGCCTCTCCATGCCCCGTCCTGGGAGTCTGGGAGCTGGCCAGGCACTCACCATTCTGCTGGTGCCCTTGGTACCAGGCACACTGCTCCGGCCCAGGCTAGCACTGGGGGTAGTGCCACAGCTGCTGCTGATAATCTGGAGCTGCTTCTCGGCGCGGTCGGCACGGTCCAGGAGCTCCTCAATGAACTGCTGCAGGCGCACCTTGGCGTTGGCCTCCCGGGCGGCCGTCTCCTTTAGGAATTGGTCGATTTGAACCACCTCCCTGCAGGGTGAGGAAGGCGGTACGCTACTTCTGGGTCCCCTAAGGAACCTGTGACCCACGCAGGCAAGCCCCCTGACTGCTGACCCCTGGAGGCCCTGTAACCTATGACCTCAGGTATCTCCTCACTTGAGACTCCCAAGGATCCTCCTTACCTGTGATCCCTGGTAATCTCCTCACCCCTGGAGGGGACCCTCAGCTATGGCCTCTATGGGCCTTGTCATCTGAGACTCTCTTTACCCGTGACCCGTGAGGGTCCTTTTCCCTAAGATCACCGGCTACCCCGGCCAGCACCCTGCAAAGTACTGTGTTCAGTTCTAAGTGCCACAGCTTAGGAAAGGCGTCTATAATCTACAGAGAGTCCAGAGGAGGATGGCCAGGAGCGGCGGGTGGAAACTGCAAAGAAGCCAGTTTCTCTGAGCTTGATGTCAGGAAAAGCTTCCCTACTCCCAGATGGGATGGGCAGCCTTAGCAGTGGAGGGGGTCCCTCCTCCTTAGAGATCTTCCAGAAGAGGGTGCATAACCACTTGTCAGGTGTGTTAGCGGGGGGATTCCCTCAAGGTCACTTCTACCCTCAGATTCTGTGACCCCTAAGGACACCCTCACCTTGGGTCTCCCACCCCCCAGCCCAAGCCCCCTGCATGTCTCAGACCTCAGGAAATCCTTGGGGGTCACAGGTGAGGTTAGCACACCTCCTCCCCACACTGCTCCTGGCTCCACCCTCTGGGGTCCCTTCACTCAATGCTTGATGGCTAAGGGAAGGCAGTGAGTGTGTCCCTCTGCCCTTTCTGAGTCTTCCCTCCATACCACACATCCCTCTTTCCTTCCATTGGCCTTCAGGTGAGTTCCTGGCCTCAGGGGCATGGGCTGTCTTGGTTCCACTCCTCTGGACACCCTAGCTTATCAACCTCCTTTCTAAATATGGCGCCCAACTACTCCAGATGTGTTCTGACCAGAGCATCGGTCACCTTGGTCCTATAAGCCATTCTTTTCTTGACACAGCCTGAAATTGAAGCACCCCATCCCCCAGTGGCTTTCAGACAAACTCCTATGTAACCCATTTCTCCCCCATGTTGCACTTGAGAAATCAGTTTCTTTAACCCTGGGGCAAGTCTTGCTATTCAGTCCAGGCCAGGGATTTCTCCCTGCCAAGGAAACTCTATGACAACATGTGGCCTTATGGGCACTGTCTGGCACTTCGAGAGCACGAGGAACTTGCTCAACATCGCAGCCCGAATGTACCAGAGCCAGGATTTGAACACAGCTCTCTTTCCAGAACATCACCTATGCTTTCTCAACTCCCATGCTCTGTAAGAGGCCTGCTTAACGCCTTCTCCATCTGTGCCGTTTATGTCTTGTAGGCACCTGGAGATGGGCACGTTGTCTGTTCTCACTGGACTGGGAGGTCCGCGGGGGCATGGACTGTTTTTGCCTTTCTTTGCACCCCCAGCCTTAGCACAGTGCCCAGCACACAGCAGGCACTCATGAATGCTTGTCCATGGGCAGACTCGTCCGTCTCATTAGCTCCAGCCCCATTCTGAGCCCCGCCACATCTCTGAGGAGGCATGGCGCCCGTGCAGTCACCCAGACACACACATGCACGCTGTCGGCCACGCGCTCTAGAGCGCTCGAGGCAGGGCTCACTCACTGCTGCTTCCTGGTCAGCTCCTGCTCCTTGCGCACCAGGTCCTGCTTCAGGGAGGCCAGCAGCTCCACACTGACGTCCACCTGGCGGGAGAGCTCCGTGGCCCGCTCTTCCAGCTCCTCCTTTTCCCGGCCAAGCCGGGCACTCTCCTGCCTGGCCTTCTCCAGCTCCGCTGCCTTCCTCTCCAGCTCTGCCTGCAGCCGGCCCACCTGCCCCGCGATCTTCTGCTCCACCTCTTCACTCAGACGTTCTAATCGCTTGTCCACTTCCAGTTTCTCTAGGGCCCGGATCTTTAGCCGAGCCAGGCCTTCTTCATAGGCCATGTCAGCTGGGGATGGAGAGGCTGGGGAGGCCGAGGCTTGGCTGGGGCCAGGGGGGCCAGAGCCGGGGGGTGGTGTGGATGATGCTGAAGAGGCTACCGATTTCCGGGCAAACAGCTCACCCAGTGGGATCTCGATCTCCCGCAGGGCATAGCGGGTTGTGGTGGGCACGAGGCTAGGCTCACCCAGGTCTTCACAGGAGACTCCTGCAGGGACCAGGTCTCCTGGGAATCGAGCGAGAGGGGGGTGGTGGTGGTGGTGGTGCAGGTGGTGGGCAGTCTGGGCCGGAGGTCCCACCCCCTGCTCTTTGCCTTGGAAGGATGTGCTCTCAAAGACATCCCGGCGGGCACCAGGCACAGCCAACATGGCGGTGGGGTCAGGTGCCAGAGGGAAGACGGCAGCGGCGGCGGCGGCGGCTGCGTCACAGATACTGTTGGTCTTAGAGAGGATGTAGAGGGTCTCGTAGGTGTGACTGTACTCCAGGTGAGCTCGAAGGGAGGACAGACTCCGGAAACGCTTGTGCTCCCCGCAACGGGGGCAGCGATAAGGCAGGTCTAGAGAGGCCATGACCTTGACCCTCCCAAGGGGAGCCCCTCTGCCCAGCAGCCCCGCCCCGTCAGCCCCAGGGGCGGGGCTGGCTCAGGGCAAGGTCATGGCTGGTTGCTGGGGAGCCCTACCAGGAAGGGCCAGGCAGGTGCAGGGCATCAGGCCAGCCGGGGGGAGATGCTGGAAGAGAGGAGACCAGGATTAGCAGAGTTCGTGTTTCCCCCTTTCTCCCTCCCCTTCTAAACAGGGCTGATGGAGGCACAAGGCTCCTGCCTGACACTTCCTCTGTGAAGCAGTTCTTGCCCACCTCAACCTGAAGTGAACTCTCCCTTCAAAGGAAGGAGAGAAATGCAGAGGGTGAGGGGGGTTCTATGCGAGGTGCCCCCCTCTGGGAAATCAGGGGCTCCCCCATCCCCCTGCTCCAGGAAGATCCAACCTGGGGATTCCCCCTGGGACTGTCCCTAGGAATGAGCTGGGCCCTGCAGGCTCCTTCCCAAGGGGAGAAACCAGCCACGCTCTGGGCCCCTAGACAATGGAGGAGGCTCCACAGCCCGGGCTCCTGCGGATAGGGCCCAATAAACTCCTAGCTGGCCAGCCGCTCTGTCCACACAGCAGATGTTGACATTGGTAGAGGCCTTTAAAGGCTGCCAAACACTTTCTGCAGAGTACCTCACAATAGCCTTGTTAAGGCCGGTGCCATTATTATTCCCATTTTACAGATGAGGAAGCCGGCTGAGAGATAGTGACTTGTCTGAGGTCATGTTGCTAGGAAGTATCTGAGGTGGGCTTTGAACCCAGCTCTTCCTGCCTCCAGGACCAGTACTTCAGTGCTGATGCCAAGGATTTTGAGTTCCTAAGAGATGGAGGAGACCTTTGTGGTCATTGAGTCCCTCATCAACTCCCTCATTTTACAATTGAGGAAACTGAGGCCCAGAAGTTAGAGCCAAAATGATGTGTCCAAGACCACAAATGAAGTAAAGGGCAGAACCAGGACTGGAACCTCAGCCCTCTAACTCCAAATCTAGGTCTCCTTCCACATCTGCATCCCACTGTTCCACCTTGAAGTTTATGGAAACCCTTTTCTTCCCACTAAGGGCTTCTCTTCCCCCACCCCCCAGGGGAGTCACAGCCTAAGCATGGGAGCCCAGGATGTCCTCCCTGGGCTCCTGAAGGGAACATGCCAAGATCCCCCTCTCCCCTCAGCCTCTAGCATACGGGGCTGTACCTCCCCTGCCCCAAACCCTCAAAGCACCCGCTTCCACCCTCAGCATCCTCCCCATCCTCTCCTACCTCTGTCCTTCCTCTGCCCTCCTGCCTCCTTGCCCATACAGGGGGAAGTCTCTGCACCACTGTGGTCGAGAATAGCTTCCTCTCTGCGCTACTCCCTACCCTGCAGTCTGGCTTCCTCAGCCCGCTCTTTCCAAGGTCATTCACCAACCATCTCCTTATCCAAGGGCCCTTTCTCAGTCTTCATCACCTGCCCCTCTGTGGCATCGGTCTGCTGTGGCTGCCAACCAGCGCCTCCTTACTGACATTCTCTCCTCCTCTGGCTACAATGTCCTGGTTCTTCTCCGAGCTCTCTGACTAAGCCTTCTCTGCCTCCTTCATCAGCTCCTCTCTCTCTCATCCCCTATCCATATGGAATTACTGAGGTTTCTTCGGAGGGATGATCTCTAAGGTCCTTTCCCTTCTTCAGTGTTAGGATGCTGTGCCAAGATGGAAATGCAACATGTGCCACACACACACCCACACCCACACCCACATATACCCTGTATATGTACATACATATGTATGCATTATATTATGTATAATTACATGTAATATTATCTAATTATGTATTATATACTATAGAGACATGGTAGTACAAACATTTAACTGTTGTGTAAGGATCAGTCATTATTGTTAACATCTCCTCTCTTAAAGTTCCAGCCTCCATACAGATGACTCCCATCTCCCTCATCTCTAGGCCCACATTCCTGAATATTTTATGCCCCAGATTGAAAATGCCCCCCAGAAATATCTAAAACCAAACTCTTCCTCAGGGAGTAGTACTGAGTCAAGGTGGAAACAGTGCTGACCAGGAGTCAAAGACCTCAGTTCTAGGCCACACTTCCTTTACTGTGAGGCTGCGTAACCTTGGGAAGTGTATCGACCTGTCTGGGCCTCAGTTTCCCCCTTGACACAATGGAGAGTCTGAATTAAAATGACAGCTGAGGTTCCTCTGAACAATAAAAGTTGGGTTTTCTGAAGGTCTCTCCCCTTCCCAAACAAATCCCTCTTGCTGACTTCCTACACAAATAAACAACCAGCTAAACAAATAAATAAAATATAAGACAAAAGGGTGAGGCGGATTTGAGAAGCAGGTGAGTGTTCTATGCTTAATGTGCACCAGGTGGTGGGGACACAAACGCAAAAACACGAGCTCCTCTGGGAGGGGAGATATTCCCGGCAGAGTCAACGCAGGATACAGATTTCAAAAATACACAGTGATGGGGGTGGGGGCTGGGGCGGGGAGGGGCACAAATAACTGGCCTAATCAGGCCCTGGCCCTCCAGGGGGCTGGCAGCTGAACTGAGCCCTGAAGGGATGGCCTCGGGTTTCCTTGAATGGCTGTGATGTGGGAATGCATTCTAGGCACTGGGGACAGCGGGGACAACATCCTCCACAGAATCAACACCTTCAGGGAGGGAGGACTCAGTAACTCTGCCAGTTCTATTGCTGGACAGCAGGAAATGGTGAGAAAGCTCTTTTCTTCCAAGGAGTTCACATCCAGCTTCCGGCGACTCCTACCCACTGCTCTAATCCTGCCCTATGGGGCCACAGAGAACAGATCTGCCCGGACTCTAACAAGGGTCTCCTTCCAGGTCTCCCTGACATCACCCTCTGTCCCCCCTCCACTCCATCCTTCACCTTGCTCTGCCCAGACTCATATTTCAGTAGAAAACTGGATGGATTTGGAGTCAAAGGGGCTGAGTTCAAATCCCACTTTTGTTTTATTACACTGGGCCTCATCTTCCTCATTTGTAAAACAAAGGGAGTAGAACAGATCACCTTTTGTTCAGTCAGAACTAGCTCTTCAGGAGACCATTTTGGGGTTTTCTCGGCAAAGACACTGGAGTAGTTTGCTATTTCCTTCTCCAACTCATTTTATAGAGGAGTCTTCCTGACTCTAGGCCCAGCATGCTATCTATACACTATGGTGCCACCTAACTCCCCCTAGATGATCTGGGCCAGGGAATTCTTAGCCTTTTGGTTGTCTGGTGGAGCCCATGGACCTTTCTCAGAATAATGTTTGTAAATGCATTTAAAAAAAATGTATAGGATTACAAAGGTAACCAATTATATTGGTATTAAAAAATATTAATGTATTTTAAAAATCCCACGAATTCACCTATTCCAGCTGAAGAACACCTGACCTAGAAGGTCACTTCCAAATCTGAACCAATGAGGCTATGAGATCTGGTCACATTGCTCTCCTGGTCAACAGACTTTGGAGACATCTGTCATCTAGGGAGTGAAGTCCAGATGCCTTGGGCCCCTTGCCCCAGGAACTTTCATCTTTGATGTCCCATTTCTTTACTCATACAGCTCCTTAAGTGGGGACTGCTTTCCTCCCTCTTTTCACTTGCTAAATCAAATGAGATAATAGATGTAAAGGGCTTAGCAAATGCCTGGCACACAGTAGGTGCTTAATACAAGCTTCTTCCCTTCTCCTTCCCCTTGAAACACCCATTCTTTAAAGTCTACCTCAGATGCTACCTCCTCCAGGCAGTTTTCCCTGATTTTCCCCTGTTGGTAAGAAGGGCCTACACCAAAACCTTACAGAGCAGTCTCTTTTGTATGCCTCTGACATGCTTAGCACATCACGTCACATATTATAGTTTGGGTCTAAGCTCCCTATTAGACCAACCACTAAAGAGGCAAAGCCACATCCCATTTAAACTTTGCTCCATTCCCAGCAAGCAATTAATAAAGTGACTGTTTGTGATTTTGTATTCTTAGACCTCAGCCCGGTGCCTGCAAGGTGTTAATAAATGCTTATTGGTTGATGACTGAATGACCACATAGGGCACTCCCTAACAGCCAGGATTCAAAGGATAAATATTTAGTTTATATGAAACTGTTTGGAAACATGGCTAGTGAGGGGTGTGTGTGTGGGTGGCGGGGCACGTATACATGCACACCTGAGTCTTCTCCTTAGGTTATCTGGTTTCTTAGACAGAGCTTATTCTCACTGCGATCTCATTTGCCCCATGAAGCCCCTGCTGAAATTGGAACTTGTTAGGGAAGACAGGGAACCCCCAGACCCTGAAACACATTTGTTGTGGTCTGGCTCCCAGGTGATGCCAAGGATGTCCTCCTCTGCCTGGACTTAGGTCCTGCCATTATGAAAGTGCTCAGACATTTGAAGGAATGATCTTGCCTAGCTGGCAGCTAGGTAGTGAAGTAGACACAGACAGAGAAGACTCATTTTCATGAGTTCAAATCCGGCTGCAGACACTTACTAGCTATGTGACCCTGGACAAGTCACCTAACCCTGTTTGCCTCAGTTTCCTCACCTGTAAAGGGAATTGGAGAAGGAAATGGCAACCTGCTCCAGTATCTTTGCCAAGAAAACCTGAAATGGGGTCAGGAAGAGTTGGACACGTCTGATATGATTCAACGACAATCATCTTGCCTACCACGGTGCACACAGTAGGTGCTTAATTAATGTTTGCTGATGATGGGATGATGAGGTTAAAGGAAAGAAGACTAGATTTGGAGCCTTCTGAATCCCGCTTCTGCTCTTGGTGCCTTGGGCAAGTCATCTTACTTTCTGGGGTCTCAGTTTCCCTATCTATAAAATGAGTAGGTTCTTCTCATTGACCTCTAAGTTTCCTTCCTGCTCTAAGAGGTTCCTGGATTTATTAAGTACTTATTCTGCATTAGGCACCGTGCTAAACACCAGGGATGCAAATGTATGAAAGCAAGTCGGTCCTTGTCCTTAAGTGGCTTCCATTCTAGCGGTTGAAAAAGAAACACAAAGGGGAACTGGAGGGAAGGGACGGGAGAGAAGGTACCCATGGCAGGGCAAGCAGCAGGCAAGCAGAAGGATGAGTCCGGAGAGTGAGTTCCTAGGACCTCAGCTCATCCAGAATCGCAGAACGTGAGTCAGCCAGGACCTCAGTGGCTATCTTGTC